ATCAAGCTGTTCGATGAGAAGGAGATCCCATACTTGGTCAAATGGGCCGACGAGGACCCAGACCGACCCGTCGGGCTTGTCTGGACCTTTCCATACTGTATCCAAACGTGGCAGCGATTCCCTGAAGTAATCAGCTTCGATAATACCTACAATACCAATCGCTTTAAGCTTCCCCTTTTCTAGGCGACCGGTCAAACCTGCCTCGGCACGGCCTTCAATGCCGCATTTGGCCTAATTGATAACGAGAGGCGCGAAGGATTCCAGTTCCTTGCAGAGAGTATGCGACAATTGATGGAGCAGCATTCCATCCGGCAGCCCGACGTCATCATTACTGATTTTGACGATGCGATGAAGGCTGCATTGGATCACCAATTCCCCGAAGTACAGCAACAGATCTGCATCTACCATATCAATTCCAATGTCCTTCTTCGGGCCAAACAGCGATGGGTTAAGGATCAGCTTTCGTTTAGCAGCAGTAGTAGTAGCAGCAGCGATCCTTTCCCTTCTTCCGATTCTGCCGACGACACTCCTACCCCCTCTCAGCCACCCCGGCTCAACAACCGGGACAGGCAATTAGTCCACGCATCAGCTCCTGATACCATCCCACATACCTACCAAGGGGTTTTGGCGATGTGGAAGTTGGTTGTATTCGCTAAAAGTGAGGAAGGGTTTGAAAAGGCCTGGGCGAATCTTTGCAAGGAATTTGACGACCAACGAGTCATCTTGCGGTACCTCTACGGGACTTACATCCCCGTTAGAGCGCAATGGGCACGCTGTTTTATTCGCAAGTATCGCAACTTCGGCATTCGCGTCACGTCGGGTACGGAAGCAAGTAATAATAACGTCAAGAGTTACCTTTTGAATGGCATGAGTCACCTATATCGCCTTTTCGAGGCGATGCAGGACATGATTGTCGACCAGGAACGGGATTTTTTTGATGCCTGTGCAGCGGATGAGGTTCTCACGGCACGTAGCAACCGAGGCCCAGGCGCTGAGTATTTAGGCAATCTGTCGGGGGTGATATCGTCGAAAGCGCTGGGGTTAATTACTGAACAGTATCGGCTGGCGCGGAAGGCAATACCGACGGGGAGGGTTCCTCGCCCGGCCCCGCTAGGTGATTGTACGGATGATTGCTCGGTCTCGACGGAACTTGGGATCCCTTGCCCGCACAAGATCTACGCCAAGCTTACAGACGCCGGCGCATTCACCAAGTGGGAGGTTCACCCACGATGGCACTTGCGACAGTCCACATCTCGCAATCCTTACCGGCGAATCCTCGACCCAAGGATTGCAACCAACCTCCGTGGCAGGCCTAAGAATACCAAGGAGGCAATTCCGTTGCAGCTTACAGTCCGGGCGCCAGATCAATCGAGGTCCCAGCCCGCTAGCCAGGCCAGTCAAGGTCGACGGGGTCGGCCGCGAGGGATCCGGAACAAGTCGACGCTGGCTCGGCTGGCGCTGGAGGAGGGCCAGGAAGAGAGTAGCCAGGCGAGCATGCCATCCCCGCGCAGGACACGAAGCCAGTCGGCCTTACTAGGGGCTGGGAACACGACAGGCGCCCGCGCCAGCGGTCGTAGGTTACAACCCAGCATTCGCAGGCGACGGAGCCAGTGGGAGATGTTGAGTGATGATGTATAGAGGTGACGGCTGTAAATTATAACTTCGGGTCGTCTTTCCTTAGTATTATAACTTATATACGTAATCGAAAAACCTACTAATTTACTTCACGGGCTCGAGCCGGAGTTTCAGTCTTTAAAGTTGCCTCCCTCGATGTCGACCGTTTTTAAAGTCTGTAAGTCGGGCTCGAGCCCGACCTGCGTACCCAAAACTACTTTAGGCATGTTAAGCGAACTGGCTTCACCGCTTTTGGTGGGGGAGTCCTGCACTAATATTAAAAATTGGGCCAATCAACGACCGGGATTTTCATGCCTCCCTAAGAGTCATGCCTCCCTATCAATTCGTCATGCCTCCCTATCAATTCGTCATGCCTCCCTATCAATTCGTCATGCCTCCCTATCAATTCGTCATGCCTCCCTATCAATTGCCTTTAGGAAAATTCCGGGCCATTGCGGGTCAATGGGCGGCGTCCATTCTTTCTTTTGTATAGAAACCTAGAGCCTATCTGGATAGGCAAACCGTTGCTAGATAATAGCTCGATCAACAAGCCTTTCTAGCTACCGTCGTCGTCCCCTGAGCGTGCGTGCCCACGTTAATAATCACCTGCTGCCAAGTGACTGCGTTCACACCAAGGAGTTCGATTGGTCTGGTGCCAGGTGAATGACAGGCTGTGTGAAGACTTGTATATTATCTCGTGGTTATTTCGTTCTATCCGCTGTAAATTAAGGTAATTAGTGTAACTAAGTTAGGTGGGGGAGTAAGCGAACGCCACTGATCCAGAACATTCTAGATAAGCGAGGAACACAACCAACCCTCTTATATAAAAAGCCCATAACTCAACCAATTCTTTTCCAATTCTCTTCATCTTCAATTCGTTTTATTCTTCTCTTGACAATGGTTTCATATACAGAAGAAGACCTCCGCAAGGCTTGCGAGGAAGCCGTCAGAACACATCGATTACGCAAAGTCGCGCGAAAATGGAACGTTCCACCCTCCACCCTTTATGGCCGTCTACATGGCTCCCTACCTCGAAATGTTGCTCATCAAGATGAGCAAAGGCTTACACAGACCTAAGAGGATCGTTTAGTCGAATGGATTCTTCTTCAACAAGATTTAGGATTGCCCCCTACACATGCACAGATCAGGGAGCTTGCACGCCGTATTCTAGCTGAAAGGGGGGACTCCTTACCACTTGGAAAGGGGTGGTGCCGTGCCTTTCTTAACCGCAATCGAATTTTGAAGACTCAGAGGGCCAAGAGAGTCGATTCGGTCCGCGTCAACTGCGCTACAGAGTCAACAATTCGACCTTGGTTCAACCATTTCCAAACACCAGCTATCAAGGCGATTAAGCCAGAGAATCGCTGGAACAAGGACGAATCTGGTATTATGGAAGGCAGAGGAACCAACGGCCTTGTCATTGGAAGCCGTGCCTTTAAGGCGCTTCAAAAAAAACAGCCTGGAACCCGCACTTGGACCACTTTTGTCGAATGCATCTCAGCAGCTGGCCGTTGCCTTCCTCCTTTGGTCATTTTTAAGGGGAAAAGCGTTCAACAACAATGGTTTCCTTTGGATATGAAGCCATTTCAGGATTGGTTCTTTACAGCAACTGAGAAAGGATGGACTACCGATGAGACAAGCCTCAAATGGTTAAAAAATGTGTTCATTCCTCTCACCAAGCCAGCAAACTCCTCTGAGAAACGACTCCTTATTATTGATGGCCATGGCAGCCACACAACTGCCGATTATATGTGGGAGGCATTCACAAACAATATTCACATTATTTATCTGCCTCCCCATACTTCCCATGTCCTCCAACCCCTAGATTTGGCCATATTTGGCCCCCTAAAACGACTTTATCGCAGACGGCTTGAGGACCTTCTTGCTAACGCCTTTGACGACTCTTCTGTAGCCGGAAAACGTGCGTTTCTGGAATGCTACCAGATTTCACGCACAGAGGCAATTACTAAGAGTAATGCTAAGTCAGGATGGAAGGCATCAGGCCTTTGGCCCTTGAATGTCAACAAACCGCTAAGAAGCCCACTCCTCCTCAAGAATTCTAATACTTCACGCCCCTTAAGAACTACTATAGTTACCCCAGAGGTTCGCACACTCCGTATGCCAATCCTGGAGGATTATAGAGACGATCGGGTGCAGTGGAGGACTCCTAGAAAGGCACGTGATTACGTTGAGCAGGCAAAGAAGTTCGCACGCATCATCAAAGCAATGCCAGCGGATAAGCTCTTCCTCAGAAAGATTGGTAAGGCTTTGGATAAACAGGCCTTTGAACTGGCTATTAGGAAGCGAAAGATTGAAGGTCTAGAACACACTCTCGAATCAATAAGAGCCAGAAAGAAGAAGAAGGTTGAAGAAGATCCAAATACCACCTTTGCGAATATTCAGACTATTCGTGAGGCCCAGAGAGCTGTAGGGCGTGCAGCAGAGGTTTTAGAAGATGCGGAAGAAGCGGATGATTCAGAGGATATCAAAGATTGTATTGAAGTTTTGTAAATAAAAAGATCACCCTTTCTTTTGTTGGAGGGTTAGTTGGGACTCCTGCTTATACAGAATGTTCTAAATCAGTAGTGTTCGCTTACCCCCCCACCTAACTTATAGCTCTTCCGGCGCCGGGTCGGGTCGGATAAGACCGGATGATATAGGATCCGGAGGACCTTCGCGTCCTAACTATGCAGGCAGATTCGGTAGGCAGTGGCTGGGTACCTTAAGATTGCAACTACAACCTCAAGCCACCAAGATGCATGCAGAGTGGGCGACTGCCGAGTGCCGACCGGCTCGAGCATGGTCTGGTCAGACCCAGAGGAAGGTTGAAACGGCCGGCCACATGTCAATCGCCAGCGCCGCTTCTGCTTGCCTGTTCTGTTGCTCGCATGCATGGGTCTAGACATGCATGGGTCTAGACTCTGTAGGCCTTATCAGGAAGTCTAGACCTCATGGCGTTTTTTCAGCTCGGCGGGGTATTCCTGCAGCCATGTCCATGATCCCCCATTTTCGGCTTTCCTCAACAGGCTCAAGGCCCATGTGGCTTAGACCAAGTCAGCTGGGCTTTCTGGTCCGAATTTGTGTCCGCCATGCAAGTCGCTGCAGACCGAACAAGTCCCGACCCAGACTCTGCAGGGAATGTGGTGCGGCTTTTGACAAGAGCTGCTCCCACTTCTGTCCTGGCCTGAATGGGGCACACTCGATATTCGGGAAATCTTGGGAAACAGTAAAGGCTGAAACGAGGAGTTCCTCTAGTGAAAGACAAGTGAATGCCCGGCGCCTGCTCTGGTCCTCGAACTTCGAGTTGCTCCAACCCTCCCGACATAGCTAAGCCCTTTAACTCCATAATTAACTAGTATCTAGCATCTTGTTTTGCTCTGCCTAACATGCCTCCTGACGTCCCTCCTACCGTCCCTCCTACCGTCCCTCCTACCGTCCCTCCTACCGTCCCTCCTACCATCCCTCCTACCATCCCTCCTACCATCCCTCCTACCATCCCTCCTATCACGTCTCCTACCGCGCCTTCGAAGTACCAGTGGCAGTACCCGGCGCTGACTCCCAACCAGCTGGACGTCATTCAGGGCGATATCTGGAGCAAGGGGTTTCCGAAACACAATGAGACGTACTATCTGTTCAAGATCGCTCCAGGAAATGCGACAGCCTTTGCACAATGCCTCAGGAAGATGGTTGTGGACCAGCCGGAGCTCATCTCCAACTTGAAATCGACGAAAAAGGCCCGTGACGACATCGCCGCCGAGAAACAGAGGGCGAAAGTGGCGTCCAAGCTGGGACTGCCCAATGGAAAGCCCGAAAAGCTACACATGTCATTCGCTCTGATTGCTTTTACCTACAAGGGCTTGAACATGGTAGGTACCTTTTTCGACCTCGATCTAGCGGCACTGCCACCAAGCGCTCGCTAACCTGCCCGTCTTTATATCCAAACTGGCCTTTCGAAACCGGGCAGTCTGGAGTTGAACGAGGTCGGGAAGACCGATCCGGCATTTTTCAAAGGCATGAAATCAGACGGCGACGCCCTGAACGATGCGAAGACGGGCTTGGACCCTCTCCTCGCCAACGCCAACGAAATCCACGGGTTGATCAAGGTCGCCGGATGCTCCACGGGGTCGGTCAACGGACGCCTGGAGAAGCTTCAAGCCGCTCTGCAGCGTGGCACAGTCATTCAGGACGTGCCTGGGGGGGCTGAGGGCCGGCTTGACGGTGCCACCAGGGAGGAACCCTTTCGTGGCAAAGAACAGTAAGATGGTTGCCGATTAATTTACCCAAGACCTGATTGATAATTACGCTGTCCGGGCACTCATGCTTCCGATGAATCATAGTTTCGGATTCGAGGACGGGATTTCACAGCCCCTGATGAATGGGATCGACGACACACCCCCAGTGCCGGACCCAGGGGCCCTTGCCGAGTTCAACATGGACACCGAGCAGAGCATCTTGGTTGTGACGGGGACCACGCGCCACGAGAATTCCTCGGCCCGGCGTCCCGACTGGATGCACGACGGATCCTTCCTCGTGTTCCGCAAGCTCGAGCAGGACGTCGGGGCTTTCCGGCAGCTCAAAGCCAGCTTCGCGACGTACCAGTGCGAAAGCGCAGCGCACATGGGTGCGAAGTTGATGGGGCGGTGGCCGAGCGGTAGTTGCCAGAATTTCTTTTCGCCCCGTAACTATCATTCATGATAGGCAGGCCGTGTCGTGACAAACTGCTGACGGCAGTTACAGGTGCTCCTCTTACGCTCCCAGCCTACTACACCACGGACGCCCCTCCCGCCGACCACGAGAAGGTGAAAGCGATGAACAACTTCGGCTACGTGAAGGTTGACGACGATAAACTGGCTGCATGCCCGTTTGCCGCACACATCCGCAAGACTAACCCGCGGCGCTTTGGCGAGTGGGACGCGAACAGCGGCGACCAGGGGCTCAAGTTCGCCAAGATGGTCCGCTGCGGCATCGCATATGGGACCGACTACACCGAAGGCGAGCCCGCCGGCCTGCAGCGCGGGCTCTTGTTTGCCTGCTACCAGGCCTGCATCGAGGACGGCTTCCGGCACATGCAGCTGGCTTGGTCCAACAAGAACTCCTTCCCTGGCAGCAAGTCTGGTCTCGACCCCATCGTCGGCCAGGCCCCTGCGGGAGAAGCAGTGAAGACCTTCGTTACTGACAAGAAGGGGAATAAGAAAGAGGTGCTGATCACGGCGCCACTGGTGACTTTCAAGGGTGGCGAGTACTTCTTTGTGCCGTCTATTACGGCCTTGAAGGGCGTCTTGACCGAGGCCCCCCTCTGAGTTGAATCACGACCTGGCGCATGTACCTTTTCGTGAATATAGCAGCAGCTCTTCCTTTCGTCTTTTATTATTATTATTATTATTATTATTTTGCCCTTCCATGTATTAGTCAGTCGCTTCAACGCAATCCTAGCATCTCGATAATCTAGTCCCCAAGTTATGCTCCATGCCAACTACGTTGCCTAGGTTCTAGTTAGTGGTGGAGACCAAACCTTGGGGACCGACCGCCCTCTCTCGCGACAAGCTAAAGCAAGCGGACGGAGGGGGGAGACAAGATGTTCGGTACGTAGCCCCTTGATACAAACACCTGGCCGACAACTGCGTGTATGCATGAAGAGAGAGGCCAGGTCCATTCATCCAGGCCAGCTCTTATCACGCAAGCCTTCTTTTTGGACAAACTCGGCGGGTAGGTAGAGGGCTGCCGCTGCAATGCAGGTGCCGTCCGAGAAAGGTGAAGTTTAGCGAAAAGCCTCGAGAGCCGCGTTCGCGGTTTACTACTCACCCCAGGGCTCCGGGGCCGGAAAGAAACCTCCTGGCCGGTACTGTACGTACGGCTTGAATGGTCTTTTGTGTGTGCGCCTTGTCGGTATTTAGGTTACACTGTGCCAAGTTAGGGAAAAAAAACAAAGTTCAGCTCCCAGGGAGCAAGTAGTCTAGCCCGGAAGCGGTGTGCTGCAGACGAGCTTTTACGGTTGGGGAGACTGCAGGCCCATTATCGTCCTTCTAGGACTACTACGGCTAGGCTGAAATCTCAACTGAGCTGCTGCAGATCGCCACAAGCACCTACAAGATATGCCACCGACCACTAGTGCGTTTAGCCTTCCTCAGCTTTGAGCCTTAGCAACAGCCACGTAGAGATTCCAGGCGTCTTGCAATTCAAGGGGCTTGGTCTAGACCTAGCGGAAGCTGCATCTCCCCCCCCCCCAAATCTGCATGTTTTCGGTAATGTGACCATGCAGGGAGCAAGGATATCAACGTAAGAGCAGTCAGGTCCTGTCGACGACCACGGCGCGGACTCCTCTTACATTACCGAATGAACCTAGAAGCATCGAGAAGTTAGGGGAGCCGAGTTATTCAGACGGCCTCAGGGCGTATTTGCTATCTACCTGCAGACATAAGTTCAACTAGCCCAGGCACATACCCGAGCTTACCACACGTCTCGGAATCTCCCTTCATGGTGAATGCCTGCCTACCTTGTTGCAGCAGCACCCAGCGAAGCAAGCACCATGTTCAATCTCGGCCGCAAGTTCTTCTACGAGGCCGTGGCCCTCTCTGAGCCCGAGTCTGAGCCAGATAGCACGTCGGACTCGAAGGATCAGGATCTGCTGCCAGTCTTCAACGGTGCAGAGAAGACCACCATCGTAAGGCTCAGACAGCAACTGCCCTTCGTCGTCAAGGTCGTCGTCTTGACATCTGTCTTGGCTTCTGCCGTCTTCTACGGCAAGTCAATCGCCCACTGTGCTGCCCTGGCGTACAATGTCATCCTGCAGTGTGCCAAGGCCAATGGTCACAGTGAGGCCCCCGACAATGCGATTGACAAACCCCTTGGCCATGCGGTCATGGCCAACAAGTCCGTTTCGGCCGCAGCAACTCTCTGGGGAGCGACGCGCATAGAAGACCGCACCGGCTGGAAAGCTACGTGCAGCAGCAATGGCACGGACAGCACGACGGGCTGCGACAAAGCAATCGATGCTCGCGGAAAAGAGACAGATTGGAAAAGTGCGAGCAAGCCGGGTGCCGTTCACTGGATCGTCATCGATCTGGCGAAAGAAGTCAACATACATAGCCTCGCCGTGACACCGAGCAACAGTTGGGAAGCCGCCGGAGGGTCGGTCCGGAAACATGGGGTCGAGGTTCGTACACAAACCGGCGACTGGCAGACCGTTGCCTTCGGGGCCTGGAGAAATGGTAGCATAGGTAACGCGCCTTGCGAATGATCTCACCAGGAAACCATTGACGAAGTGCTGACAAGCTGCTCCAGAGACTGCTGCGACGTTTGAGCCTCGCCCAGCCCAGTTCGTGCGTCTTTCGGTGCTGGATACACACAAAGACGCGGATTTCGTCGCCATCAGCGACATCAACGTCTACACTCTCCCTGCCGTTCCAGCCGCTGTGGCGGGCGGAGGGAGATGGAACTACACGCTGAATTTCCCCCTGGTGCCCGTCACGGCCTTCTTGAACCCGATAACCCACCAGCTGGTGACCCTGGCGTCGTATGCACCCGACAAGTTTGTCAAGGACACGTACAAGTACACGGTCCTAGCCACGTGGGATCCACCGAGTGGAAATATGACGGATCAGTTTCTCGGGCAAACGGAGCACGACATCTTCTGTCCCGGAACGTCGATGGATGAGAGAGGCCAGCTCATCGTCACTGGCGGGTCCACCTCGGACGTGTTCAGCATCTACAACCCCAGCCCCGGGCGCGGATGGGAAAAGCCCAAAAACAACAAGGTCGCAGTCTCGCGCGGATACCAGGGCCAGACATACCTGTCCGACGGCAGGACCTTCATGATCGGGGGAACCTGGTCGGGCGGCAGCCCAGACGAAGACAAGAACGGCGAGATATACGATCCGAACAACGGCGGCGGCTGGACGGAATTGCCCGGCATCGCGGCCGACTACATCAGGATGAACGCAAGCCAGAGCTGCGACACGCCGCAGACGTCGAAACCCTGCTTCGTGAATGAGTGGCGGCAACACCACGCGTGGCTATTCGCCTGGAAGAACGGCAGCGTGTTCCACGCCGGCCCTTCGGCGAGGATGAACTGGTTCTTGGTGAAGGACTACCCCGGAAGGGTCGAGCTCGGAGGCTACCGGCGAGACGCGGCCAAGGGCTTCGCCGACGGCGACGCCGTGTGCGGCGCCGCCGTCATGCACGACGCCGCCAACGGCCGCATCCTCACGGCTGGCGGCGCTCCCAACTACCACTACTGGCACGACCCCAACAACAAGGACCCCAAGGCCGGGCACCGGCGGGAAGCAACCACCAACGTGTTCAGCATCACGCTCGGCGCGCCCGGCCGCGTCGTGGAGCCGACGCAGCTGGCCTCGATGAAGCACCAGCGCATCTTCGCCAACGCAGCCGTGCTGCCCAACGGCGACATCTTCGTCGTCGGCGGCCAGCGGCAGGGCGAGCCGTTCTACGACGACACCTGGCAGCCGGTCCCCGAGATCTACACGCCACAGACAAACAGCTGGCGCGACGCGGCGCCGCACTCCACGCCGCGCGTGTACCACTCGTGGGCCATGCTGCTGCCGGACGCGAGCGTGCTCGTCGGTGGCGGCGGCCTGCAGCGGCCCGAGACGGACCACTACGACGCGCAGATCTACCAGCCATCCTATCTCCTCACGCCCGACGGCAAGGACGCCATCCCAGACACGCAGCGGCCCGCCATCAAGGACGACGGTGTGACTGAGTACAAGGTCGGCGACACCCTGTCCATCGTGACCGACGGCGACGTCGACGACGCGAGCCTGATCCGCTACAGCGCGGCCACGCACGCGCTGAACAACGACCTGCGGCGCATCCACTTGACTCTTCAAGGTGTTGGCAGCAAGAACTACACTGCCGCCATCCCGTCGGACCCGGGCGTCGCGCTGCCGGGGTACTGGATGCTGTTTGTGCTGCGCAAGGGCGTGCCCAGCCACGCAAAGACCATCCGCATCCACACTTGAGAGTCTCTCTCTGTCTCTCAAACAATCGCACTGTTTTGCTTCATTAAAGGTTCAGCTCGCTGGGGGGGGGGGCATATGTCTCGAGTTAATAATACAAGATTGAGATATTGATGAGCCACCACAGGTTTCGATTGGTCTGGTGGCAGGCTTTGATTGGTCTGGTAGCAGGCTTCGATTGGTCTGGTGGCAGGCTTGTGTGGGGAAACTTGCATATCTCTCATGATTATATTGTTCTATTAGCTCTGAACTATTAGTGTGAGCCATAGCCCCTCCCACCGCCTGGGGCTGATCGGGTCCGGAGAGCAAGATCCGACCTTCGCGTCCTAGACTAATTATAAGCAGATAGGTACCGCAGGCAGATCCGGTAGGCAGTGACTATCCGCGTGGTGGCGACGTGTTTGCTGGCTGTGCGCTCTGCGGGGCAGCTTGGATGACGGGATGTCTTTTTTTTGACATTGTGACGTTATACTGGAAGTGGCATTGCGCGGGAAAGGTTGGCCTCGGAATACTGGCCTCGATGATGTATGTCGTTGTATTGGAACGAGCGTGGAATCAGGGGTTAAAAGACACTGGATTCCGATTCGTCTTTTAATTAATATCGGGATCGTGGGGGAAATCAACGAAGGAAAAGTCATTGGGGGAATCTCGTAATGTGTTGGAACAGCGGCAATAATGACCGTACTTTTGGTGCAGGAGGGAGGTGGCACCAGGCACGTACATGCTCACGTGGTACGCGAGCGCACGGGGGCCTGCGTGCCGATCCACCAAAACCAAGCCCACCCAGAAACCTTAGTTGCTTCTAGAGACAAGCAATGAACAACCATTACCCCCCCCCCCCCCACAGTAGTACTACTACGAACCATTCCGGAATACCACGAACATAATGATACTTGCAAATGAACGAGGAGATATTCCCTGGAAGTTCAAGCCAAACGAACGAGAATAAGCAGCATTAATTGACGTGAGAAAGAAGAGATGGCAGGTCCGGGGACCTTTGACAGGGCTCGCAACAACCCAAACAAACCAAATCGGGACCTATATTTGCATTGTTTGAATGTCGTCTGGAATTGACCCACTTTTCATGGAATTGGACAGGCCCTGGTTGACATGCCTCTGAGCTTCCTTCATTCTTTGTTATTTCCTTCATTCTTGACTCGGAATGTCCTCAATTCATTCGGAATGCCCTCTTTCGGGCTGATTACAACGCCTCCCTTGCCCTCTCTCCATGAGTATAAGGAAGCGTTCTTTTCTGTACTTTTAGACCTATTGAGCAGACAATTCAATGCGCTGTCAACTTCGATCGCGTGCAACATTGAACAAACCAGGCCATCAAGTGCCGAGCGACGACAGCCCCACTCTTAGTTCTGGGTGGTGATACCGCAGGAGGATGGTAATGCACAGTCAGCCAATATCGCTTCCAAAAAGAAGCAGGCTCCTGGGGCACGGCTCACTACAAGTCGCTCCCATTTGCCCATCTCTGACGCGGCTTGCCCCTTCTTATTGTTGGTTCCGGCCTGGGCCGAGCCGACACGTCTAATGAGGAAACCAGAAACCACCGTATTGCGTTCAAACCTGAGCTTCAACTTTCTTTCCCACCACCCAAACAGGGCTCCCGTCTTGCCCACCATCTTCCGTTCCTCGCGCGACGGGCAGTGAACCTACGTTTTCTGAACACGTCGAGTGCCCCTGGGCCAGCTAGGTCTACGCGAAACATGGATATCCCGTTGCTGCAGCTCCGCGATGGTAACAAAATATCATTAGTAAGATGCTCGCTGGGCGGCCACACTATTCGTGCACTGCCGGCCCCAGCTGAGATTCCATGTAGCTTGCCTTTGGAACGGGCACGGCGTGGTTCAAGGATGTCGGTGACACGAGTTTCAATCGCAGTCTTGTCGACCTGATTAAAGCAGCCATTGCGAAGGGTCTCTACCATCTCGACTGCGCAGAGATGTACGGAACCGAGGAAGAAGTCGGCATCGCCATCAAAGAGGCCGGCGTTCCTCGCGAGAAGCTCTTCGTCACCAACAAGGTCGCTCAAAGCATTGGCAATATCGCTAATGCGATTGACCAAAGTCTCAAGAAATTACAGACCGACTATTTTGACTTGTGTGTATTGCCTCTGCTTCTCCATGGAACATTCCCCCCCCCCCAACCCCCTCTTCCGGCTCTTCCCATTGATGCTGGGGCAAACTAATGCCGCACAAAAGGTACCTCATCCATATCCCATTCTTCGCCAAGTCCGAGGCCGACTTCCAGGGCGCGTGGAGGGCGATGCAGGAAGTCAAGCGGTCCGGCAAGGCACGGTCAATCGGAGTGAGTAACTACCTGCGCCCGCACGTCGAGGCGACGCTCAAGGGGGCCATCATCCCGCCTGCCTTGAACCAAATCGAGTTCCACCCCTACCTCCAGCGCGGGAACGATTACGTCGCCTGGTTGCGCGAGAACGACATCCAGGTCGGCTCGTTCAAGGGCCTGACGCCTGCCTTCCGGGCGCCCGACGGACCGTTGCGCCAGCCGCTCGCCCGCATCGCGAAAGCGCACGACACGACGGAGGCCGTCATCCTCATCAGCTAGATCATGCACAACAACATTGTCGCTATCACCACGACGACGAAGCCCGAGAGGCTGGATGAGTATGCGCAGGCGCTTAAGATCAAGTTAACGCCGGAAGAGGCCCACGAGATTACGGACGTGGGCTCGACCTATCACTTCCGCACGTCTTGGTCTAAACATTTCAGGGACGAGGACCGATCGTGATGTTTAGCTTTTTCATTCTTGATTTGAAAAAAAAAAAAAAAAATAGAGAACTTTGCTTTGTGTGGTGATGACAAGACCCACCTCTGATGGTGAGTTGGATCTGTACAATTGTTTGCATGCACTTCTATACCATGAAGTCCGTCAGATCTGGTCGAACATGAGGGCGCGTAGGTAGCTGCAGGCGCTCAAGAAGGAGCTCTATAAGCTGGAGCCTCTCTTTTGGCCCGAGCCTACGTACAGGGAGGGAATCAAGATTGTCAAATGAGATAGATCCGCTCGTTCACTTCCTTCCTGCCATCCTGAAAACCCGGGTAGTATAATTCAGTTTTACGCTATATATAATTTTTCAGTGGAATATAATAGGGTATTACTCCTTATCGTCGGGTTATTGCTAGGATAGTACTCCTATCTCCAGGACTCAGCTCGGCTCAGGGCGATACTCAGTACGCCTTAGCTCCTACTCAGGTTTCAAGCTAATACGGATTTAGCTAAAAAACGTTGTCGGGGGTGACTATAGAGGCAGTTAGTTGCTACTGTTTTCTTTCAGTTGAAAGCTAACTCGAAGCTGCGCCGCTCAGCCCCTAAACAAGGCCGACCAGCAAGCCATCGTCCTATGCGAACCGACCTCGGGGCAGCTTGCCTCTCCCGCACGGTTTCTTCAGGGGGTGAGGCACGACGGCCGGTACTCCTCACATGGTGTGAGAGCAGCGGCTCCGTGCCCCCAAAATCTCGTTTGCTCGCCACGCAGAAGTCCAGGGTGGTACCGGTGCGTCATCAGCGAGTGAAGCGCGAGACGACGATGCCATTAACCTATCACAGCCTTCTCTAATCAGCAGAACCAGATCAGGCATCCAGTCTGGCATCCGGTCCATCGAGACGTGGGGCGCCTGGTCCGGAATAATAGGGCTCTGAGTGATAGGCAGAGGCAGAACAACTGCCGAGGTCTAAGTTGCTGTCGACATGTAGCGGGGTGGCAGTGTCAGGGCCGCTGACGCGAAGACGGACAGCCGGTCCACGAGCCTGGGCGTCGTGCTGTTTTGTTCTTGTCTTCTTGGTCGTCGTTGCCCTTGTCGCCCTCGTCGCCCTCGTCGCTACGGGATCCCCTGCCGAGGTCTTGGCTACGACGGCCGGGTACTCGGCTGTGTTGGTCGTGTTTGTTGGCGTCAACAGTCAGTAATGATCAGGGGTTCAGGGGCCGGGTAACAAGGGGGTTGTTTACACCCATACCCAATGTAATCTAGTGTATGGATGCTTTTTTCTTTTTCTCTTCTCCCTGGCCCGCCCCCCCCCCATACCGCTTGTTTTCGTACGTTTGGCAACTGAACTAGCAGGCCCTGAGCGAGCAAAAATCCCATTCCTAATTCTACCAGAACCTTGTTCCAATTCAGAGAGCAATTTCCGCGCAACTGCCGACGCCTTACCAAGTTGGAAAGCAACTAGGTCAGGAGGAAGTTAGTTCGGTTGCCAAACGAACAATTATGTGCAGTTTAAAGTAGTAGCCCGCCCTCCCTCTGATTAGAGGACCAGTATCGTTCTTTACCTTCTTTTTCTTGCCAGTCTTCAAAAACCATGTCTTTTACCATGAATTGAGATCGCCAGACCAGTGCACGCAGTACTGCCTTTTTCTTTGTCATTTTAACTACCCGGCTATGGATTCCTGTTCCTGTACTCTGTAAGGCTCGCCTGCGGCTCGTATTGGTGTTGTTTTCGTGGTTGTTGTGTTGTGGTGCCTTCACCGCTTCAGTAATTGATGGTCTTATCGAGCGAGGTTGAATCAAATATCGGCTGTTGGGCCACGAGTGGACAACCCACCTAAAGATACTAACGCTACCTACCTAGACATATTCAACACTTCGCCATATTATAAGCCCCCTTCTTCCATCCGCACGGCGACTGCATCGGGAAATCCAAAGACCTGGTGCTCAATAGACCGATACAAGAGTACTGGAACCGCGAGGGCAGCGAGCGTGCTTGGGGCTGTCTCGGAAAGACTGTGGACTGTAACATCTAACCCGAGCGTATTTGATCTAATTAGCAATGATATCCATAATCAGTTGGCTTGACGAGTCTGTAATTACCTCTGCCACGCCGTCTCTTGCGACGTTCCTGGACGCAGTTCCACAGCAAAAGGCATGCTGGAGGCAGTGGAACAAGGAACGCAAATAAAGAAATGAGGGCTTCAAGTTCATCTCCATAACTAATCCTAGGATGTGTAATGGATAACAGGAGAAACTGACGACCATCAGCAGCGCCAATATGGCGGCATCATGTAAAATTACACCAAGCAATGGCCTCCTATCACCGACATCGAAGTCGTCCCGGCCCCTGAGTGAGGCCCTAGTCACACGAGAAAGTTGAAGCGACTAAGGACAGCGCATTCAAGACAAGAATCCGGCAATCCATTCAGAAATATAGGTGCTAGCTCTGAGCTGTTTATCAAATAAACTGGCTGGCCATGAGGCCAACCTAAGCCCAAGGACGGCGCGTACCTTGCAACGTGTGCCAATGAGGCCTCACTCGGAGCCAAATCATGCCGTGTGGCCCCAACTAAGGCTTATTTTTGCACGAGAGTCTGACCGAGAACATAGCGGAAGCTTAGGGTTTAAAACGCCGGGCAACCCCCCCTCCAGTCTGTCGATGACTTTTTTCTTTTTCTTTTCGTGACGTCTCTCAGTGACACCCCCAAAATTACCTACCTTTTCATTAACCCCGGGGTCCCGGCCCACGCCGGCTAAAAATACACTACCTGACCAGTCAGGAAGGGGCAGCGGAACGGCCTGGGCTTTCGGTCTTGCCTCCGGCGGGCTGTTCGCAAGCTCCCCAGCAGCGGCTTCGGTGGCTCCATTCAGCCTAATCAACCGAGTTGTTTGGGTGGGTGCCGGTTCAAACTTTGACATGACTACCTTACCTACTCGCTAATCATTTTAAGAACCTGATTTACGGGGATTGCCCGAGGGAGGACAATAACATTGTCCTCCCTCCCCCCCAATCTCGGCGCAATGGAGCAGTGATCAGGTATTCAACGACCCTGGGGGACTGTGGGGAAGTCAGTGTGATCTCTATGGCATGGGGCTTGTAGATGATGGTGCCAGCTTCCCCTGGTTCTCTGGGTCGTTGGACTTCAAACACTGGGCGGTGGACAGTGGTGTGGGAAATGAGACAACGCACAGGACGACGACAACGGTTGGCCGTGAGCATGGGCACGAGCATCACCACTTCTCCCCTGGAGCAGCAGAGCCTCCCCCTCTCAAGGAGCAACAGACCGACGACTGGGAACCCCCAAACTTCCCGATGTCGGCCTATCTCACCGACAAGCTGCAGAGAGCTGGTTCCTCCTCCCCAGCCTGGGGTGGCCATGGTGGCTCTACATCTCCTGGCACTTCCACTGATCTTGGTCCCACGCACGGGCCGGTTGGTGTGCCAATGGGAGCCCATGGTACCGCTTTAGTCTCTACGTCGGAAGGCTCCAGCTCTTCGGCCAAGAAGGACAGGTGAGTAGTTAAACGCCCCTTCTTTTTGGTCCATTGAAAGCGCTAATGACCTCTGCCTTGAATCGGGATGAGTGGTAGCCGAAACTATGCATGCACAGAGCCCGGTTGCCAGCAAGCATTTAACCTCAAGGAAGGATGTTCACAGACAAGCCAACTCAGTCCACCGGAAACAGCAGGGTACTTGTCCAAATTGCATCAAGGTTTTAGCCAATCGCTCAGACAACCTGAAGCGGCACTTGGACAAGTATTGTAATGGACCAGTCTGGCTGGACTGCTAAACATCATCACCGTTATTATACGCTTAATTAGCCCACCACTTGACTACCCTAATGCTGTTAGGGAACGAACCCTGACGCTTTTAGGATAGGAACGCAGAAATGCGGCCACAACCCCTTACCGGTCGGGACCTGTATCCCTTGCCGTCGGGGGATAAGAGGAGAGTGTAGCCCCGTCAATAAGTTTACGAGAAATTCTTCACTGAAGTTTGCTCGACATTTACCTCATGACGAGCCTGCATCTAGCCGAATCACTCGCCGCCGCCGAGTTCCGCAACTAGCAACGTATCGACCTCGACGTTGGCAGTCGGAACTCTGGAGACGACCTTCCCGCCGAAGGAGAATAAGGTAGTTGACATTGTCAACGCCCCATCGATGTTCTCCCTCAGCAGGAAGGTCGTCTCCAAAACCCCAACTGTCAAGTCTTGTGTTTTCTCGTTGATTCTCGTTGATGGTAACCGCCACGCTTTCTAGTAATAGGGGTTGTGTCAAGATTTCTCGGTTTCTTCTTCTTTTTCTTTTTCTTTTTCTTCTTGACCCGGACGAGCAATTATCGCTTTTTCGTATTTAATTTAGAGTTAGATGTCAGCATTAGCAAATTGTGCGCCAGTTTCAGTTCATATACTTCTGTTTAGAGATGATAGGAAGAAATATTAGAGAAATAAGAGAGTGTCTTCATTCTGGTGAGTCCCGAATTCTTGACGAAGAAGGAAAATTACATCGTCCAAGAGAGACGAAAATGGCATTTGAGAGAAGGAAATTTGTCCAAGGTAATTAATACCTTCTCAGGTGAGGAAGGTGCGTTCCATGTTGCAGTGATGATGTTTCGGCAACTTGGAATGGAATTACGTAAGCCACACGGAGATACAGTATCCCTGTCAGTACTCGTGAAACGCTCTGACCCCTGAGACAGAGTCACGCAGCATGTCATTACACGCGTGACCGATTGCGCCAAAGGTGTCAGAACGAAGGGGCGAAATACAGCGCAATCAAGAATAGACACAAGAAGAACACAAGACGGCCATCCATCTCATTGACCTTTTCCCCCTACCCCTATCTCACTACTTACACAAAGTCCCACTCCCGAGTCCCGTGCAGCCCAAATCCCCAAATCCCCCAATCCTCCCTCCGCGCAGCTGCCGCGAAGGACCCGGCCGTGCCGTCTGGGCAGACAGACCGACAGACAAGTTAAGTAACACAGCAGGACCCAAGAATACACCAAAAGTCCCCTCGGTGCGCCGCCCACCCGCACCACACAGATGCTGCACATGCATACAAGTTCCGTACGCAACTCATATCTTTCAATTTATCTCATCCCGCAATGGATGCATTGCTAGGTTGCTTGCCGCTCCACGTTTTGGGGTAAAGTCTAATTTAGGGGGGGGGGGCATTTTTAACTCTCTCGGGACTTTCGTCCACGTTTCACTCGCACTCCCACTCACAGACGCACACGGCCGACGCAGCCACACAGACGCACACACATACGACACCACACCTACCAGGAACAAAAAGGACGGAGAGAGAAAAAACCCCCATACGCAACGTGGCACAAGACACTCACGCAATTACTAACATGTGCGTCGCCGGGCTTCCAAATATAGATAAATACCTAGATAAGCAGAGAAAGGGTCGATCCTCCTACTCTCGTCCCACAATCAAAATACATACACGACACTCTAGCTCCCTCGTGGCAGCTTCCAGCCGGTCGCGGTGCTGTGCGGGAGTTTGGGTGTGTTGTGTTGCCGCGCCACTCGTCGAAAGTTCAAATCCCCCCTTTCCTTTCCGTAGGCACATAGCTACAGTAAAAACACAACGCAAATGAAACAAAATATAACAAGAAAGGAGGTGGGATTCCCAATCAGGGCCGACTATATGAGTAAATGAACCAAAAAAAACATCTCTAGCCCGCAGGTATCTCCCAAGCTATGACAAGAAAAAAAGAAAAAAAAGAAAAAAAAAAGAAACCGCGTTCAGTCAGTTAATAAGTCGTCAAAAACGTTCCTTTCCGTAGAATGCCCAGCCCCAGAGAAAACAAGACCAGAACTGGACAAATTACACCCGTCTGCTAAACGAAAAACAAGCCCGAAGAAAAAAGGGTAAAAAAGGGAAAAAAAGGAAAAAGAGAAAAACAACCCGACCCTTTCTGTATGCATACATGGCTCATAAACCGAAATCTGCACACGCTCCGCCGTAATCATGCTCCTCCCACTATTTCCAAAATAATCTAATAATAATACGGGCTTCGCATGCCCCGCGAACCAAGCCTTCTCTCTTTCCAAACCCTCTTTTTATATCTCAGCTTCGTGTCACCGCCGTACATCTCCAAAGTTTCCGTTTTCCACGCTCGGATACGCACCGCCGCTCATCTCGGCCCAGTCCCAGTCTAGCGTCATCGGCAGGCTGAACAGGTCTTGCGGGAGCATGGGCTGCTGGAACATGCCCATGCCGCCCAACGGTGGGCTCCCCATGCCGCCCATCCCCATGGTAGCGCCTATGGCGGCGGCTCCCATGGCACCGTAGCTAGCCGGGTCCCCAAACCTGTAGTCACCTTCACCCCCACCGTTGGCTGTAAAGTCGTTTGTCCAACCAGTAGGGGCGATTCCGGGCGACGGGCTCTGGCTCATCGTGTGCGTCATCGGGCTGTACCCGTTAGGCGGCGTGTGGTAGTCGGTTGATGGCGGTGAGAGATGCCTGTGGCTGTTGCCGTTACCGTTGCTGATTCCATTCATATCGCTGTGGCTCGGCTGAGGCGTCGCAGAACTCGAGGTCCCGGGTCTTGGTGTCTGGCCTTGGGCCGCTGACGAGGGGGTGTGGGGAATGGGCCTGAACGAGGGAGACGGGGCACCGCCGTTGGATGCCGAGTTGCTCGACGTTGTCTTGCTATTCGACGAGTCATGGCCCTTCCGCTTCCGTCGCATTGAGTGGTCCTTTTCCGCCTTCTCGATTACCAACTTGGCTATCCGCTCAAACTCGGAGCAAACGCCGAGCATGCGATGGACGCCGCCAGTCTCGGCCTCGACACCGAGAGTCAGGAGAAAGGTTACAACCACATTCATGAGCCTTGTGTCTGATCGCGCTCTGGGGTCAAGAGGGTTCTGCAAAATATTTCCAAACAATGTGACGAGGGCAGACACGGGAAAGTATAACACCATCCTACATAAAATGTTAGAAACAAGGCAGTGTGCTGGCAACAACTGGAGGAAAATGGCTCACCAGACACAAGAGAAATCCCCTTGAGGGATGTATTTCAGCAGGGAAATCGAGGCTCTTGCTGCTGCGGTGCACAGTGCTGCCGAAGAATAGACGCGAGGGTTCAGTGGTCTCGCATTGAGGCCCTGGATAGCATAATTCGACAGTCGGCTAGTCCAGTACCCGTGGTGTATCGACATGCGGTGAATTGTAGTCAAACAGCTGTAATAGTTGAAGTGCAGCATGACGATATGTAGGATAAGCGGAGTGTGCGACGCCTTAATCTCGTGCTCGGGCCGGAAATCGATGGGAATGCTGTCTTTCCAATCTTCGAGTTCCTGGTCGAGCTCTCCGATTGTGTTAAGCAGCTCGCCGTCCGACTGCTTGGTTGCCTTGGTCGAGTACAGCTTGTTGTACACCTTGCCCTCAACCATGGCTAGCTCACACATGACTCGGAACAGGTTCATCTTACCCTTTCCGTCTGCCAAGGGAATGTTTCCGATGTTGTCGACGGGATCGGCATCGGGCAGGCTCACGTTCATGTCGTCGTCGTGTTGCGCCGGGGGCCTTCCCGATCTCAGGCACAAATCCTTATCCAGCATGTAGGCAATCCAAAAGACTCTCTTCCGCTGCTCGATCTCGACGGGATTCAGGTTGAACCCCGTCACGCGCTTGTGTAGGCCGATGCTGTGCGAGAGTCGGATTGCTGTGGCGATCAAGAGAAAAGAGGGCTGCGGGTTGGGCGTTCCCTGCATGAAGAGCGCCATCCCCAAGAGCGCCTGCACGCTGAGCAAATCAGTGTTCCGCATGGTGAGCTCGGTGAAGACAGACATGGCATTCTTGAGATAGGCCCACGCCTTTTCATCTTCATCAGCTGGTACCAGGTTGCTCATGACTCGCAGACGGTGAGCAATGGCCAGAGCCACATTTAGGCTCGCCCACCATCCGGACCCCCGGTACGGGTCGGACGAGTATTGCCTCTCTACCAAGTGCATGAATGTCGGCTGGTGGAATAGCGGCAGCATGCAGTTGAAGTTCTCGAAGTAGTCTTTCAAAAGGGACAGCGCTTCTGGCTTTGGGGGCAACTCCCTAAAGACTGTGCGGCGGAAAATGTCGCCGAACACATCGGGCTTCCAGGCCGTCCATTTATGGTCGTCGATCGAGACGTCCGAGATCATCTGCTGGAATGAGTTGTCTCCCGTCTTCTCATTCACCCACTGTATCCCCTTTGGCGAAAAGATGGAAAACCCGGACGACGAGCCTTTCGTCTGTTAGCAACCGTCCCAAAAAGCCCTTTGGTCCGATTCACATACCGATATATCTCGTCTCGCCATAGTTGTTGGTGACCAGAGAGCACATCATCTCCGACAAAGCAGCAACCTCCTCCTGTTCCTCCTCTTTCTTATCCGGCGTGAGGGATTTCCTCTTCTCGTCCTTTGACGGCTCGGGCGATGTCAGGGAGCTTTGTGGCGTCGAGGCGTTTCCATCCTGGGCCGACGCCGTCTGGGATGGCGAAGTAGGGTCCGAGGCAGCCTGGGAAGCTTGTCTCGACTGCTGATGCTTCTCGGCGAGCTTCTTTTCTAATGTGCCGAGGTCGGTAGCCCCATTGTCGTCCTCGCCCAGCAAGCCTACGTCAATGCGTTAGCCAATAACTCGCCGGCGCACATGTATCGACAGCACAGCAGGTCGGGATAAGAAATACCTGACAGCCTTAGCAGGCTTTCCATACGGCCTAGGCGGTTCTCGAGGCCCTCGATATATTTGGCCCTGCAAGCAAAGTGTAAGCCGACATGCCCGCAATGTCTGAGACGTGTATGAGTATGAGACTGACGCACCCTTTGGGGGGGTTCCTCTTCTTCTCCACCTGGGTGAAGACACATTCTGTCTTGTAGTTGACGCAGTGCGTGCAGAATGGCAGTTTCCCGTCGCACTTAATCTTCTTTTTCCTGCACATGTCGCAAGCCTATAAGACAAGAGACTACATTAGCGACACCGAATTCCCTCATGGCGCACAAGCAGCAGCTCGGTGTAGGCCATCCGACTCACCCTCGCTATCCTCCGCCTCTTTGCTTCGTTCGAGTCTTCGAGTAGGCCGTGGTCGCCAAACATCTGGGCGACTGACAGGTCGGGCGGGAGCCCGTGTAGTGGCATGCCATGTTCGGTGTATCCGCCAAAGATCTGGGGCGGCTGGTTCATCAGTGGCGGGCCGGCCATGGGCAACTGGAAGCCGCCGTGCATGTGGTCCATTGTGGGAGAGGTTATCGCCGAAGCGAGGGACTGCGCTGTTAGTCGTTGTCGATGCGTATGTTGGGGGGTTGTTGCGTGCGGATACGCTCGTTGCGTGGACCGAGAAGGAAGCTTTGCGGTCGTCTGCGGCGGTGGTGGGCTTTTGGGACGGAAGGTTGGGGGAGGCGACGTTAGCGGGGAGGATTAAGGTGGGCAGTTAGGCAGGTCGAGCGTTGGGGGAATTAAGCTAGCCGCCGTGCAGGGTGGTGTATGCTATTATTACAGGCGACCGCTTAACCCTCGTCGGGTTGGTCGAATCAGGCGCAACTCTTGTGGCCCGGAAGGCCCGGAATTCGGGGGCTGAGCTCTCTCCTAGGCGGGCTGTCCAACAAGCAACATTTCCTCTCGCGGGGGTATTGGATCGCAGATGCGCCACGCGATCGTTGCGCAGGGCTAGGCGAAAGTGAGACTGGAACCGCGATCTGGGGCTCCCGTTCCCTATTACACTGGGCTACTCCGTACTAGTGCCCTAGTGCAGCCGACCCTATTGCGGCGAGAAGATGAATCCACGCCGAAAGTGGAATAGGCAACGACGTAATAGGCCTAATTAACGTAGAAGACTCGAATAGCTCGGGTGGCGCTTTCGAAGCCGTCAGCAGGCGGGGCGAGGCGTGCGTTCTCAAGAGCAGGTTGGCGACAAACAGGCGAACGCAGAGCAGCAGATTGAGTTTGTCGATAATTACGGCGAGGATGAAAGGGGGGCAAAGATGAAGCAGAGACGGACTCGGCACGAAAAGGACGGGCCAGCACGGTAGTTTAGCACTGAAGGTCGAGACAGGAACAGGAACCAGGCGGCACGATACCTGAGGCAGGGACGTTTACGTGTGTGGGGGAGGGAGGCGGGGGGCGGAATCGTCCCGACTTAGCGTGTGCACGGTGGCCGGTGGTTAGAAACCCAGCAAATTCAGGGTGCACCTGGCACTTCTTGCCCCAGGCGTCATGATTGATAAGCCCCGCTTTGTGTCTTGGGCCTTTCGACGGGAACCACGACGGGAGCACCTGGAGAAGGCGCGCCCATGGGCGCCGGGCCTTCTCTCTGAGGGACAGAGACTCTGCCCATTAGCGGCTACCTGGAGTGGCACGGATCGAGGTTCCATTCGTCGTTGACACTCCGGACAGGGCAGCATCGGCCGCATCACTGCATCGGCCGCCCCACTGCATCGGCCGCCCCACTGCAGCAGTGGCGGTCTGGGCTGTCTTGTCTCTCGAGTTTGCATCATTTTGCAGTCGGTCGACGGCTCTCTCGCAGCCCAGAACGGACACAACTTTCTCTCCTGTCCTGTAACTATCTGTTTCTGTATTGTTTGTACTCCGTACACCGCAGCTCATTGGAGCAGCTGCCGATATACATAGTATAGCATCCATCCTTCCAACGGATACCGACTACCCCAGACGTTTTGCATGCCCTGGGATCCTCGAGCGCTGACACCTGAATCTGATGTGCATACAGGGGACCGGCGAATCCAGTGCCACCCTGCCCCCCGACCCGGAGTCCGGTGTTTGGAACTGGCTGGAGCTCAACCACCTTGCAGCACTTGCAGAGGACGAGACTCGGGAGAGGCAGTTGGAGCTTTGGACCTTGAAGTCGCTCTCTCCTGCCTATACTAGTTCGAGGTGCTCGTCCTCGGTAGGTATCTATCCCCGAATCTGCTGTCCCTGGCCGCCATCCCCATCACAAGAGAAAGCAAGTCTTTCGTAACTGCTCGTGTCCGTCCACCGTCGTCATATCCCGCCAGCCCTTTTTCACGTAATCCTTGCCTCCCATCAGTACAAGGCAGGCGGGCGGACGGACGGACGGGATAGGTACTTAGTAGTAAGTGATGGCGAGGCGTGTAACACACGCAGATCTGACCACCGCGCGGCCCAAGTGGAGCGGGATTTGGCTCGTGCCTCTCTCTCCACGTAGTGGCCAAGCCAAACCCTTGCCAGAATCCTTGTACTGCAAGATGTCTAGCATGTGCTGTACCAATATAAGCACTTGTGCCTCACCAGCCTAGTTCTTCCTTGTTGTGGCAGGTGGGTCCCCGAGAACCTTGCCTGTCTGTGTCTCTTGTTGTCTGCATCTCTGTCTGTCTAGACCCAGCACCAGTTTACGGATACACATACGTAGATGTTTCTACCAAGTGGCGCACAGCCGGGGATGCCCGCCTATTTGCTGCCCTCGTGTGTTCTGCTTCTGTCCGGCCGGCCAGCACAAGGGGTGCTCGTCTCGTTTCCATGCTCGGGATAGCTTCGTGTAGTTCCTTCCGTATACCGCGCCCAGCCCGCCAAATTTCACCCAAGGGGCTCGCATCTTGGCTAGGTGCTTCTTCAATGCGGCGAGGAAGGAGACCGGGAAGCAGCACGCACGCACACACAGACAGTTTACAATACCCCACCCCCAGGAAAGGAAATAGATAGAGGCAAAGTTCCAACCCTAAATGGGACTGGTGGACGATTTCGTATCCCGTCCCAGTCCCAGCCCAGCACACAAAATCACTCACTCATCCATGATAGCCTTACACACAGATACGACAAGGGGGGTGTAGGCCACCCACCAGTTGGGCGTGGGTTGTTGCTAGCTATGCGCAGCAGTTTGGTAGCTCCGGTGCCCGAATCGGAGGAAGGCGGGCGGGCGGGCGGTGGGCGGGCAAGCAAGCAAGCCAAAGCAGGCAAGAAAAGCAAAAAAAGAACGGATGACAAAACGAGAGACGAGTAGGTAGTTTTACCGATTCCGTACCATGTCATTGATAAGGTGCGGATGTCAAAAGCCTAAATGAATTCCCGAGAAAATTAACCACATGTATGTATCCGTATCCACCGTCATTATCGTGTCCCCTCAACAGAGACATGTTTTCACTTGCACTGGCTTCCTACCAAAACCCCTTCTGCTGCTGTGCTTCCATGCCACGACGTGCTTATCTATCACCACTCGTATAAAAAAAAAGGCATTGGCTGGCTAGCATCAGCTTACTGCAAACACGTGAGAAGGAGGGATTCTCGCAAAAAACTGAAAGCACGGCTGAAGGATGCCCGAAACCCCGATAGGAGCGGGGGCGGCTGGTGTAAGTGGCTGGCTTGGCTACCTAGCTGGGCCCTGCCTGGACTGACTGCCATGGCGGGATCTGGGATCTGGATCTGGAGCTGGAGCCGACCGTTCACCCACCACTCTCAGGCAAGGTTATACTGGTTACTATACCTACCTAGGTAGGTATGTATGTACTGGGGGCGGGCGGGAAGACGAGGAACAGGCACACACTGAGTCACTGACAACAGACTGTGCGTCGGGAGTTTTAGTTTCTGGAGCAAGGTACTTCGTAGAAGAGACAAAAAGATTGGATGGATGGATGGAGCCGTGTGTGCGTGTGCGTGCGTAGTTGAAACGTCGAGGCTCCCGCGCGTTTCATCGGGGACCATTCACTTTTTTCGTTAGCCATCTCAAAAAATAAGAACGGGCTTTGCGCCACGACAACTTACCTAGGTAGGTTTTGAACATCCGAGCGGGCGATATAGCCCAACTCCCCAAGAGACAAAGAAAAACGAGAAAGAAAGAAAAAAAAGGAAATATCACGGATCACCTCTAGCCCTCGAGAATACATAGTACAGAAACGAATCCCCGAGCTGCGTCTTGTGCCTCCTTCAGCGGCAGTGTTGTTGGCGGATGCGAAATCCCATGGGCCTCATGCCACGCCATACAATGCCATGCATACCTACCCACAGTTTGCCCAATTTCCCAGACAAGGCGATCGAGGGGGAATAGACATGCGTCATCGAAGCAGCAGAGCAATCAGCAACAAAGCCATCCCAAACCAAAATCAGAATCTCGGAATGGATCGAGCGAAAGAATGGAATAATTTGTCATGAACGTTGTGCAGTGCAGTGCAACCCAAGATCCAAGCGGTGGGGTCGCTCGAGCGCGGGCTGCCTCCCAGCCTTTGAGAGCCCTCTTTCCCTTGTTTCACAACTGTCTCAACGCTCATCTAGAGTCCTGATGTTTTTTTCCCCATCTTTTAGTGAACACCCCTTCCCCCCTTAAACCCCAACAACCCTCCACCCCCTGACTCGGATCAACTTGGCTCACATATATGCTCACATATGCGATCCCATACTTGAAGAGGATCGCTTCATGCCTGTGACACGTGCCATGAGATCTGCAGTGCTTTTGCGGTCGACTGACTGACTGACTACTGTGTAACAGCGGGTTCACTATTGGCTATTGGCGCGCTCGGGGTCCTCGAAGGCTCCGTGGAAGCGTTGAAGAAGCCTCCAGAAGCCCACGACCATCAAAAGAATTCCGCCGTGCCCGTCGGAGTCCGTCGCTCATCATGTGCCTGGACGAGAGACAAGCTCACCAACTGACAATGGCACCTGGGGATAGGGGAACACAGCCACGTAAACAAAATGAAAACAACGGCTAAGCTGTCGCCAACCATGTGGTAATCCAGGTCAAAGATCGCATCAATAACTCGCTCTCCCATATTCAATTGTAAATACCTCCCGTTTAGGGTGCCAGCTTGCTAATCTGGGCAACAATATACACAGAAAGACTGGCGATAAATACCTCCCGCGCTCAAATGGCGATCTGAACCAAAACAGAGAAAAACAAAAGGTCCAAGCCTTAGCTTGGAAAAGAATTTGGCTGAATACCCAAAACCAGCCCATCTTCCGAATCTATCGTATGACGTGCAGCTGACAGGAAGCGTCTCCAAACAGGCCGCGAAAGCGTTAATGCACCCAAGGCTCTGCTTCCATGAGCACCCCTAGCCTTGGCCCTAGGCGACTGGTTTCAGACATTAGAGAATAGGTGACGAAGAGGACTGGCTATCGAAATGACATCATTACGGGTGCGTGCGCCATCAAGTATCCTCGGTGAACCGCGAGCCGGATCCGCCAGACCCGCGCGACCCGGCTTGCGGCATGAGGCTCCGACCGAGCGGGTCGATCGTCGGAGGAGTCAATGGACGATGGTCCGAAAAGAAGGCCGCTTGCTCCTTGACCGGCGTCCGGCCGGGGCCGGACCTCATGATTGGCACGCCGCTCTCCGGGCGCATCGGCGACCCAAGCTGCAGTTGTAGTCGCGGTGCGTCGTCGAAGAAAGCCTGCGAGTCTCTGTAGTAGGATGCGCCGCTCATCGTACTGTCGTGGGGATTCCTATCTTGGCGGTCGCTGGGGTCGCTGTAGCCGTCTCCCCCCGATTGCAGGACTGGCAGCAACTTCTTGCCCGAGACCCGATAGAAGCCCCTCTCTCCGGAGCTCGGCTCGTCGGCGGGTCCTTCGGCAATTCGTTTGTTCCCGCTCAGCTTGGCGAGGGCGGACGGAATGGCAAACGGAATGGACCTCTGCGACATCATTCCCCCCCCTCCGCCCGACCCCGAGGGTTGACCGCGCCCCTGGAGGGGGCTATCTCCTCCATCTCCCAGGAGCATAATCTTGCCACCTTGGCGCTTCTTCCACTTGATAATAAACATGAGAAACAGAGCAATGATGGCAATGCCGGCAATGCTGCCAACTACGCCGCCAATGACGGCGCTCTGGGCAGCAGGCGTGAGCCCGGGGCTGGGCGAACCCGTCCCGGTTGCAGAGGCTTGCGCGGGCGCGGTAGCCCCTCCGCCAACGCCCGGGGCGCCATCGCCACCGGCCCCGGCCGCGGGGGTTGTAATCTGAAGATTGAGAGTAGTGGTCGCAGTGATAGACTGGCTTTTAGATGATTGCTTGGAACGAGTGGATGAAGATGACTTTGTAGAGTTTGTGTAAAATGAATGCACCGATGTGCTGTTGTTAAAGAGTGACGGGAAGCGAACTAACGAGCAATATTTAGTTTGGGTACTTTTCGTGCTTTCAATGTCACCTGGTAAAAGGCCATCTTACCGGATGAGGAGTTGAACCCCCCAGAGGATGAGAACGTGGGAAAAGAGGTGGCGCTGCTGCTGGAAGGAGCGGGCGTCACCGTCTCCTGGCCGGAGGACAGCGACAGGGGTGTCGACTCGGCCCGGGCGGAGGCGGCGGTGGACGAAGGCGCTCCATCGCCCGATACCTGGGGCGCAGATGCAGACACGCTGGGCAATGCGTTACCCAACGCCGAAAGACCGGCGGCGGTGACACCCGCGACGGGTTCTGACGGCGGGCGTGTGACGGCGTCGGAGAGAATTGTTGCGACGCTAATTACGGCGCCCGTGGCATCGACGACGTGCACGACGGCGACGGTCTGGACGACGACGACCTCGCGGGCGTGCAGCTTTTTGTCTTCTGGTGATGAACGAATGTGGTTGTTGTTAGTATTGCTCTCGTCGCCTACGAGTCCGCCGCGGGCAACATGCTGCTGGTCCTGCTGATGCGGATGCGGAGAATGCAAATGACGATGGCGGTTGTGGTTGTGGTGGTGGTTATTGCGGGCCTGAAGGAGTGAAGACCCGCCGACGTGGTTAGTCATCGTGCCGACCAAGCGTGGTGTGGCTGTGAAGGCCTGAATGAGCGAAAAAGGTAGCTGAAAAGGGAGCAGCGTGGCCAGGTTTCTATTTCGGAACTTCGAAGGGAGCCCGTATTCGACGTGCGTGACTGCGCTCGTGTGTACCGCGGCTCGTCAGCTCGAGGGGGCGGGCGGTGCTGCGTGGTCTCGAATTGGTCGCCCAGCGCATCCTATTCAGTCGAATTCGTCATGGCTAGCCGTCATCCCATCATCTTGGCTACGCAAGTCGGCAAACTGTCGGTTCGGGTGCAGGTCAAGCTTCGTTCTCGGCCTGGGCTTCGGCGGCCGTCCAGTGGAGTGTCGATGCGGGCAACTTAACCGGGCGCTCCCACAACACCTCAGGGCCGTGGTCGTGGAGTTGGACCGACGATTCAGTTGCGCGCCAGCTTGGATGCGTGGCGAGGACGGTTGCAGAAGGGAAAACAAAAGGAGACGGACCAAGTGCCCGCGGCGCGAATGGGCTGCGCGACATCAAAATAATAAGAGATGGCGATTAAAATGAGGTGTAGGGGCCCTGCCTGCACTGCTGCTGGGTTGGCCTGATCCCAGATTGAATCGCCCCAAAACACCCGTGTTGGCTGCGCTAGAACGGACCCCACAGCCAACGGACAGACGGCTTTCCAATCTCGCTTGGCTGAGAAAGTTGGATTTCTGCCACGATTGGCCAATCACGCCTTGCCAGAGACCCTGCAAGATTAGCGGCACATCACTCTGCCATTGGACAGCGAGTTTCGATCTCTCTTGGAATGGAAGGCGGAACCTTGAGTTCGTGTTCCTGAATTGATTGCCTTCGTCTTCCGCATTGACAACATGAAGTCTATTTGAGCCGTTTGTTCGCCGGCCTCTAATTGTCCCAGCTGTTATCGCAACCCGCTCGAGGCAGATACCCGGGCTCATCCCCAACGGTTCTTGCCCTTGGTCCTGCTGTGATTCTCAAGTTTTTTGTCGTTGCCCGTATCTCTGAGGATGGGCTAATGCGTTTGCACATGTTGCCAACCGATACAAATCTCCTTCCTCTCCCGATTGTTTCACCACAGTCTCTTAGGCATGGACGGACCCGGCCCGAATTCTTGGCGCTGGATGGGAGACGCAATCACCCGCTTCTTGCAAGGAATGCCTGCAACTGAGACTGAGAAGTACACGCGTATGGAGCATCATGTACTATGCCTTGCGCCTATTATTAGGTAAGGTATCCGTAGGTCGGTTCGCACAGAAGCCGTCTGCCGTATCCTGTAAAACGAGGCGCCGTTCTGGGTAGCGGAGGCTGTCGTCGTTGATACTCTCCGCTGCAACGGTTGCATTCAAGAAACCAGGAAGCCGAATACGTACAGCACGGCCTGTTTACGCGCAGGATTGAGCGAACGAAATGTCAAAAACAGCCTACTACATACCTTAGTATTAAAAGTCTTGTCCCTATTCGCGTTCCGAAGAAACTTCCATAGGTCGACAAACACCAGTCCCTTGGTTATGCGGGGCACCACTACCAAGAGGTCTGCCGCATGGACATACGATCCGTTCTCCCCCACCACCCCCACCATCCCCATTGGTATCAAGTCCCTCACACGGACTCGCTTCTCCCATCAAACCTAAACTTCACGTTTGGGTTTCCAAAAGTTTTTCAGGTTTTTTGTTTCCAGCCCAGAAATGGATTAGGCAAAATTGAACACGGAGCCGATGCCGCAACGGCACCAGCTAGCTGTACATACATACCTACCTTCCTATCTATCCATCTCCACAAATAATTGCTACTTTGCCTTATTTGTGTGCCTATTCTGAAACCCAAAAATCGACAGCTGAGCTTCGCTGACGTCATGGCCCAGCCGACGACAACGGCGACGAGACTGTCGCCGGCGCATTCGATGTCGTCGCTGCATCTGGTAGAGGCTTCTTCTGGAGGCGTAGTAGACTGGATGGCCAGCGGGCCGGGCTCGTCAAGTGAGGGCCCGGGAAATGACAGTGACGACTACTACCCGCGATGGAGGTCGCTCGATCCGCGGTCGTCGTCGACGCAGTCCCTGGCGCCCTCGGAGCGCGAGCAGCGGCGCACCCTCCTCATCATCTACGTGCATGGCTTCATGGGTGACGACTCGTCCTTCCGCTCGTTCCCAGCCCATGTCCATAACTTCCTCAAGAGCGTGCTGGCCGACACCCATGTCATTCACTCCAAGATCTACCCCCGCTACAAGACGTACAAGGCCATCGAAGTGGCCACGGACAACTTCAGCACCTGGCTCGAGCCCCACGAGTCTCCGACTACCGATATAATTCTCGTCGGCCACTCCATGGGCGGGCTTTTGGCTGCCGATGTCGTGCTGCAGGTGTGTTCAGTTGGCTTCCAGTTGTGCCTCGAGACAAGAGCTCTCGCCTAGTGATAAAGAAGGGTGTGTTTGGGCTTGTTACGATCACTGCTGGACTTTCAACTGACTGGCCGACCAACCGCAGCCAACTCAACCCCCCGTGTATGGATCTCCATTCCGCCACCGAATCTTGGGTACCATTTCGCTAGATGCGCCGCTGCTCGGCCTGCATCCGGGCATCGTTGTTTCGGGCATCACGAGTCTCTTTCGTCCTGCCCCCGGCCTGCCCCCCGCACCCGGGAGGGCGGAGGGTTTAACACCCGGCTTTGCACCCGCAGGGCCCTGCTCGCCTAATCTCTCCATCTACTCAGAGCAAACTTCCTCTTCCCCGTCACAATCACTGGGGGGAATGTCAACTCCGAGCCTGATGACAAGTACATCCTCCTCGAGTGCACAGCCCCAGGGCCTTGATCCTTTCTTCAACCCCGCCTTCTTCAACGATGCGTCCTTTGTAGACCGAGGGTGGCTGAAGAACGTGGTCCATTTTGCGCAGAAGCACAAAGCTGAGAACCTGTTCGGGGCGGCCGCGAGCCACATTCTTTCGCATCTCGAGTTTGGCGGCTGCCTGGCCGACTATTCGGGGCTGAAGTTGAGGTATACCAAGCTGAGAAAGCTTGAGGACGTAAACGACCTCAACCCACTAAGCGGTGGCATCCGGGTCCGTTTTATCAACTACTACACCATATCAACGGGGATACCGAAAAAGAAGCAGCCAGGTCATGAGCCTGCTCCAAACGCCACAGCGGAACCCAAAGATGAAGCCAGCGTTCAGCAAGGCTACTTTCCGGACACGAAGTCGCTCGACGCCGGAGCCTCGCAGCCAGTGACTCCAAGGATATTGATCAAGAACCACAGCGACAGCGGCGTGAGTCCCGCGGCTCTTGAGATGCTTGAGCCCATACCAGAGCCAGAATCACCCGACCGGACTCCTGCAGCACTTTGGCAAGAATCCCAGCTCTCTCTCCGTCCAAAGGTTGCCAGCAGCGACGGAAACGGCGAGCCCAACACAGCAGCACTTTCAGAACCCGCAGAAGCGATCGAAACCGAAGCATTCGGCGATCCAGACGCCCTCGCGCTGCCGCCGATCCCGAACCTTCCCAGTCCTCCACCTGCAGCACCAGACTTTACCAGCATCCAGGACAAGGAAGCGCGGAAGCAGGCCGAAAAGGAGGCGAAGCGGGCGCAAAAGGCGTACGAGCAGGCTGTCAAGAGCCGGGAAAAGACGATCAAGGAGCGGCAGAAGCTGGCCGAGAAGCAGCGGCGCAAGGGGCTCAAGGACGCCGAGAAGCGCGAGCGCGACGCGCAGAAGGAGCGCGACAAGCTCGAGCAGAAGGAGCAGAAGAGGCTCCAAAAGGAAGAGCAGGCAGCATTGAAACAGCAGCAACAGCAGGCATCGCAGGGGGGGGGAGGAGAATCCGGGGAGGCAGCAGCAGCAGCCGAGCCCAAGAAGAAGCTGCGCAAGTTCTGCATGCTGCCTGGCAAGAACAGCAGCACGGGCGAGCGCGACACGGCGTGGGTGCCGGTACACATGGAGGGCGTGGACGAGGTCGGCGCCCACTGCGGCCTGTTCTTCGCCGAGGGCGCCCACTACGAGAAGCTAGTCAGCGACGTGGGCACTCGCATCGCCGCGTGGGTGCACGAGGACGCCTCGCGGCGCGCCATAGCGGATCTTGACTGAGATTTATTGTACAACAGTAAAGGTCGGTGAGAGCAGAAGCGTGAGGTAGTGGAGATAGCAGTATCGAGTACATAAGGCGCGTGCAACGTACATAGCAAGCAGCAGTATTTACAGAATTGATGCCTACGACGTTTGGACTCTCTTCTATCCGGTAACACGCAATCTGTAGATACTTCTCTGGACAGATGGGAGAAGATTTGGACACCCGTCACTCAAGCTCTCTCCCGTAAGCAGGTCATTACTGCTCAGCTCTGTTGTGTGGTTCCCTCGTTTTTACGAAACGCCAGCTTCCAATTCGCCCAGCCGATACTGTTTCGGCCGACTGTGTTGAGATATCAAGATAGCACCGCTCCGTTGCGGACTATTTGACTAGGTATGGATGCAAGTTCCACGTTCGTAGACCACTGAGTCTACTTCCGAAGAAGAAAAATATGAAGGAGAGAGAAAAGAAGATCTACTCGAAACATCTATCTTAATTACACATTAAACATGCAACAATAGGGTCTTACGGATAACGCCGGCTTGGTAAAGCCTTTACTAAGTCATTCATTACATTGAGATAAGGTTCCAGTATCCCAGATTTGGTACACAGTCGTTTGAGACGAGGCTTCCACCTAGACTTCAGGAACTATCAGGCTTTAACGCATGTCCAAATAACAAACTTACACTTGGCTAAATGTGACCTCGTTAACTTGATCATCACCAGGGTTTCCGTTCTCCTCCTCCTCCTCCTCATCATCATCATCTGAGCTCCAGCAGGTAGGTTAGCAACTGCTTGTTCGGTTCTCATTATCATAGTCTTCACAGGGTGATCGGGAGAGCGACTGTCCGTTTTGCGTAAGCTCAAGCTTCGCCTTTATTCCTTCTGCTGTCGTAGGGGGCAAGACCAGTCAGTCACAACAGGCACCGGCCCTCTAACAGGGTCCCGAAGATTAGGACAATCGCTGTTTGAGAAACTGGGCTGTTCGCTAGACTCCTAGACAACCTGACGGAGGACGGCGAGATTGAGGATGGGTACTTATCTTATGACTAAGATCGAGCAGGGCTAGGGTGTGTTTGTGTCTGCGAGTTCGCGAGGCGCCAATCTAATTTACAGACAACAACAGACAGCATAAATAGGTAGGTATTGCGTTTTGACCAGTTTGAACCGGCTCGCCTCCAATATACACCCTGTTCAGTGGCCAAGTTCACAAAACAAACAGAAAACCCCGGCAGCATCAGACCCAAACAGCCACCCAGGTTCCGACCCGACCGCAGCACGTCATCTTTCCGTATCACTACCATTACACAGAGAACAAAAAGCAGCAGCCACTGGCGCTGCCACAGACAGATGGATGGATGGACGCCACGCCATTCCGTTTCATCCCAGTATCTACATTCCGTTCCGTTTTGTGTCCTCTCAGCACACGGGCCCACACCGGCCAGCCCACGGAAGAAGATATGCCCTGAGCAAGGTACCTAATTTACCTGAAATGTGACTCTCGGACAAGGAAGCTAGCGGTCTCAAGACTCTCAAACGAGCAAAGACCAAGAAGCAAAGACGGGAAGGAGAAAGCAGGCCGCCACCTCACCTTCCACACATACCAAAGGGACCTCGTGCCTCACTTGCCCATGTGCACAAACACGCACGCATTCACTGTCACTAAGAACGTCACCAAGAAGAAAACAAGCACATGTGATCAAATATGCCTTTGCTTTTAATTCTTCCAGCTAGCTAGCACAGACTTGACAAAGAGTCTTTTTGAGGCAGAGCGGTACCCCGAAGTAGCTAGCAAAGGCCCTCTCAAGTGAGGAAACCTAGGTGTGGAAGAACTAAAAGTCCATAGACGTGCTCGAAAGCGAAGCCCCCTATGATGTGAGACGAACCCCCCAAAATAAAAGATGACTCTGGATGGAGGTGCGGTTTTTGCTCCCAAAAACATACAAACAATGCAGACAGATGCATGATGCGACCCCGGTCTCTGCTTGTCCGAAATATCGCTTTTCCTCCATCTCGGCGGCCATGGCGTAGACGCAATGACCAACCACCGTATGATTGATCGACTAAACAAATGGTCAATCGATCCGCGGGTCGAAGCGACCCGATTGCTCTCTCCAGCCTCTGTCCGTTACCATGACTGTCCGTCTCTCGCTCTCTCCGTCTCTCCGTGGTATGATCCCCCGCCCAATCCAGCCGAAAAATGCAAAGTCAAAATGATCTAGTGACCATGGTGGAATATGTCCCCAACGCCTTGCTGATGTAAAAAGAAATAACGTCATAAAAATGCAGATAAACTGCCCATTAGGATGGAGAAAATGGGGTAGAGGTCATGGCGACCAAGACGGTGGATGGCAAACGCATGCCCTCTACCTAAGCTAGCCCCCTTTCTCTCTCTTTTTTTTTTGGTTTCGTCTTTTCATGCTCCTATTGTCTGATCGGTGCAACAGGAGGCTCCTGGTTCTACAACCGCCTTTCCGCTCTCGGTTGCTGTCTCTCCAAGGCCCAGAGGAATGTGCAAGAAGACAAGTCTTCTCGATTCCTGCTGGCGCTTCTGAGAATCAACTAATCAACCAGGTATCACCCTGCATAATGATGATGAGGCGGAGTGTAGTCCAGCCCAATTCGTTGGGCATCCGGCTGTCAATGCCGTCGCGGCTCGAAGAATCGGTGTTTGGGTGACTTGGCAATGCTCTCATGCTCCAATAGGGCCATAGCCAGGCTGCCGGATCTGCACGAAAGGCTGACCACCTGGATGGCTCTGTTGCATGTTAGCAAGTCCGTTTTAGTCGGGATCAAATCCGTCGGTAGCCACCTTTTTGCGTCGCTTAAGGCCGGGAGCCATATCCCCTTCGCCCGTGGAGTAGCCTGTCTCGGCTCCATCATCTGGGAAGCCATCTCCGTAACCCTCGAAGCTGCTGTCACCGTAGCTTCGCTTCTTGATTCCGCGCTTGGGTCGGTTCGCCTCCTGAGCAACCGGCGTGTTCGTCTTTGCCCGCGGGAAGCCAGGGGTGGCAGTCAACGGCGTGTTAGGCGCGGTTGGTCTGGCCGACGTTGTCTGCTTCTCGCTTTTCACGGATCCAATATCCCCCAGAACGGAGCTATCCCACATGTGACGGGGAATGACACCCTTTCCCATCGTTGCAGCCCGAAGAAGCTTAGCTTTCGTCTCGGAGCTGAAGCCGTCGACAATGTCTTTGCCTCGAACAAAGTGGACATCCCACTCATCAACAGGGTACTTGGCCAGGTTGAGAATGCTATCCGGACGGTCGGGGTCCTGGTCGACCGAGTCGAAGTGACCCTGAACTCCCAGCTTCTTAATATGACCCTTGTACGTCTTTCGAATGGCATTCTTATCGCCGTTTGGTAGCACGCGGGCGACTCCAGCAGCAATTCCAGTCAAGCCGTAGAGCTCGAAGAGATCCTCGGACAAGAGAGGCTTGGACGGCGGATGCGCTGCGACACGTGAAAAAAAACGTTAACCAAAAGTCTCCAAATGAGAGAAGTAGGAATAAAAACGCAAGTCATCCGCGGGCTACGATGAGACCGGCACAAAGGCCGTGACACCAAGCCTGCGCAATCATTGGAGACAAAGCTGCCATTTCTGGCGCTTCATGTGCAGGTGAAGGGAGCCTTACGAGTTCTGCAAAGTAGGTATTTTTCGCCAACATCCAAATGAAGGTTCTCAATACCAGTTCTGCGATCCTCGATCTGGACTTTCTTCTTCTGTCGCTCCCCAACATCGTCGGTCGGACGCTTGCGCTTGTGCGGGGTATCGTCGCCGGCGAGCATGTCGTGCGTCATTTCCGAAGGGATCGAGCTTCCGTTAACGCTGTGGGCAGGAGTGGGCAAGGCGGTCGAGATGGTGGTCATAGAGCTCGTCACGCTCATGATAATGTCGCTGGTACTGGGGGAGAATTGGGAAGGGCTTTGCGGAGTCTGTGGGTGGAAGGACATGATTGATCGCGGGGATGGTTGACGATCAGAGGCAGGTGCGAAAATATTGGCGTGGTCGGAGTCGCTGAACGAGCGAGTGGCGACGGCTGGAACAACGAAGCCAGAGGCTGTCGCCGTTTTGACCTAGACTCGCAAAAGCATGCGAGGTCCGTTTCGCGAGAAGAAAAAAAGAATGAGAGCAGAAAAAAATCCTGCCAGTCGGTTGAAGAAGGGAAGGGAGGGTGGAAGGAAGTCGCGCGAAAGCGCCGACGGCTATCGCAGAACCTCAATCTGCCCTCATTCACTCTCTCCTCCGGCGGCTCCGGACGGCGACCGACTAGAAAAGTGCGGTGAAGCTTCCGTACGAGTTGGATTTTGTAGTGGAAGATGGCGATCGAGATATTTCGCAGGTCGCGGCCTCGTACTTGCACAGGGCGATTGCGAGACTCGGGCGGCACGAGGTGAAGGTCGGTGATGATTTAGTTGTGAAAGCGGGCACCGCTGGCTTTGGAGGAGGCGCAAAGACTCTCCCTTCTCCTCCACGCTAGTTGCCCAGTGCGCCCGTGCTCAGTGCAGTCAGGGTGTGGGGCAGACAGTGCGCAAAAGTCTCTTTTCTCCCCCCGTCACTTGTCACTTGCCTCGCCTGCCAATAGACCCCACAATTCCCATCTCAGATTTTACACTTGACCAATCGGGTTTGTGCGTGTCGCCCTGTCTTTGGTCTTTTTACGGGCCGTCGGACACTGTTCTCCATTGCCTGTCTGTCAATGGCAACTGAGGCTCGGTTTCATTTACTCGCAGGTTGGTCTTCATCAATCAGGCCGAATGCGATGCGCTGACTACCCGTGCATCGAAGCGTTCCTATTGTGTTCCATCCCCCAGCCGCTCACAAGTGCACAATAGAACCATTTGCACTGGGCAAGAGTCACGAGACTTTTGCAGCCTTCATGTCACTGGGACTCACCGGACGTGGCCGCAACGACCCATTTTCTCCTCACGCAAAGCGGCCTGACCAGGCAACAGGGAACTGCGGGGCTTCTGGCTACGACCTGATTTGCTACGTTTTTGTAACCTCCTGTCGTTCCCAAGCCACCGGGGTTGATCTCCTTCGCCTCTGCAGGTCATCCGAAGCTTTACCTCAACGTCATTGCCCCTCTCGCGGGCCGCCCAAGAAAGGCACAGATGCACTATTCAGGGATTAGATATTTAGAGCGTAGCTCACCCGCGCTGTGCGACAGGGAGTCTTTTGATAAATTTTTGCGTGATCAGGAAACTGCCAGGAGCCGCTCGTGAATCGTTAGCTCCCATTCGCCGCGGCCGTTAAGTGCGAGCGATGAGGACGATGAGGACACTGTCAAGTTTCAGACCACCTGCTCCGCCAGAGCCCCTACTGGATGCTAGGTTAGGCTTGAGCCCCGGAAGCAAGTGCTGCCGTCGGGGCCTAGAAACGGCGGCTGCTTTTACATCTGAATATATTAGCGATGACCTGACATGTGAACAAATGCTTGTAGGCCAACGGACGGTCGCACGGAAAGACCCGAATGTCCACGAGTCATGACTTGTTCTTTCCACTCCATCCTCCACCCAGAAGAAGCGAGTGGTCGATGGCTAGAAAATGAGTGTCGCGCCACCCGAGACCACCCGCATGTGAGAACAGCGTGCCAATACCGTCTACCTCCCATGCCTGAGCGATGCGACGCAGATGCCCTAAGCCCTCCAGGAGAGATAGTAGACAGGCCCAAACTCTTCTTCACCACAGCTCCACGTAGGAGGCGTTGGCAACGAAAAGAACGATGTTCAAAAGAAATTGTGGTTTTGCCAAAAATTCCCTAGCCAGCCACAGCCAACTAGGAGTAGTCAGGTATGTAGTTTTCAACTAGCAAAAACGTGATCTCGGACGAATCCTCACTGATACACGTAAAACCTCTGCACTGGGATGGGAGAGAAAGGAGAAGAAGGGGACCGAGGCGGTGGGGCGAGTTGTTTTATACCTGTGTGGTTGGTCCGTGCACGACTGCAATTTTTCGATGTGGGGCTTATGTGGGGCCTGCCTGCTTGCTTGCTACCTGTGCCCCACCAGTCACCCAACTGGCTTTCTGCCTCAGGCTCTAGATAAGCCCGGAGCTCAGCCACCACCCGCCGCAAAGTTCAGACCACACACAACCCCCAGCACTGCCCTCCGTGTGTGACTCGATGAGTGACCCTGACAAAACCGTGACGGAGTGCAGTCGCTACTCCCCAGATTTGGTCAGGATGGAAGGTGCAAATAATTACCGCCCGGTAGAACAGAGTACGTACAGCTGTGTCCTCGGGCAAGTGCATCGAGGTCGATGCTCAGAACGCTAAGCATGATCCATCCACGTAGAATTTTTGGATATGCGTAGATTTTTGTGTATATGGAGGGAGCTCCGCTCCCTCCTTTTCTTACACCTCTTTCTTCTCTCTACATCAACAATACAAACAGTCCTTCGACCTCATCTTCAACATACCATTCTGACCGTCTTGATCTCTTCTTTCCAACGGTATCATCGGCTTATGCCTGTGATTACTGTGAGACCCACAATTTGCCCTCGAAGTCCTCCTTATTTGGTTTAGCGCGGCCCTTCCATTAACCCCACGACTCTATGTCCTTCCGTCTAAAGATAATCAAGAATCTCTCCCCCCGGCGTCTCTTTCTTATATTCTTAACCTTTTATCCTTCTTCTCATATTCTTCGTAATTATATCTGATGAGAAGTGCCTAGAGCCATTATTGTAGTAGAGCCTAGGACTCTGTATATAGAAGAATGAAAGTGCAAGTTGACGAAGGAGATTTGTCGTGACGGTCTGCCTTACCAAGGTAGGGAAGTCAAAGGTTGAAGGCAGTAACGAATGTGGATTCAAAGCTAAGGAAGAGAAAGGAATCTATCGCGGGGTCCGCGAGGGAGAAATAGGTGGTGGTGCTGAGCATGTGGGAGGTAGTGCGCACAGACCACACTCTAACCACAATGCAGTCAATAGAATCAATCCTGTCACATGAGCCCTGTGGCGACCGTGACACACCGTGTTCTCGTTTACTAATCCAAAAGACTCTCAAAGTGTGACATTGCATAACTTGTGAAGAACCCTCTAGTCCAGCCTTAAACAGCTAGCTAATCGTAGCGTGTGGCAAAGGATTTCAAAACAAGGTTTGTCATCCACCAGCTAATTATTCAGCCTTTTACAGGAAAACAAAGAGATTCCTAGGTTCTTTGTATGAGACATTTCGCTATAACGAAAACTATATAAGCAAAGCTTGGGCATAGGTGGTGGGTGGGGTGGAGGTGAGCATTTTAAGCAGATTGAGAAGGATGTGACCTGAGCAGCCGCGTAACGGCCTCGTGCCCGTTCTCAGCCGCCCTCGACAGCGGCGTCCGCCCATCAAAATCCTTGGCGTCGACGGCGGCGCCCTTCTCGAGGAGCAGCCGCGTAACGGCCTCGTGCCCGTTCTCAGCCGCCCTCGACAGCGGCGTCTGCCCATATAAATCCTTGGCGTCGACGGCGGCGCCCTTCTCGAGGAGCAGCCGCGTAACGGCCTCGTGCCCGTTCTCAGCCGCCCTCGACAGCGGCGTCCGCCCATATAAACCCTTGGCGTCGACGGCGGCGCCCTTCTCGAGGAGCAGCCGCGTAACGGCCTCGTGCCCGTTCTCAGCCGCCCTCGACAGCGGCGTCCGCCCATCAAAATCCTTGGCGTCGACGGCGGCGCCCTTCTCGAGGAACAGCCGTGTAACGGCCTCGTGCCCGTTCTCAGCCGCCCTCGACAGCGGCGTCCGCCCATCAAAATCCTTGGCGTCGACGGCGGCGCCCTTCTCGAGGAGCAGCCGCGTAACGGCCTCGTGCCCGTTCTCAGCCGCCCTCGACAGCGGCGTCCGCCCATCAAAATCCTTGGCGTCGACGGCGGCGCCCTTCTCGAGGAGCAGCCGCGTAACGGCCTCGTGCCCGTTCTCGGCCGCCCTCGACAGCGGCGTCTGCCCATATAAACCCTTGGCGTCGACGGCGGCGCCCTTCTCGAGGAGCAGCCGCGTAACGGCCTCGTGCCCGTTTTCAGCCGCCCTCGACAGCGGCGTCTGCCCATATAAACCCTTGGCGTCGACGGCGGCGCCCTTCTCGAGGAGCAGCCGCGTAACGGCCTCGTGCCCGTTCCCAGCCGCCCTCGACAGCGGCGTCTGCCCATATAAACCCTTGGCGTCGACGGCGGCGCCCTTCTCGAGGAGCAGCCGCGTAACGGCCTCGTGCCCGTTCTCGGCCGCCCTCGACAGCGGCGTCTGCCCATCAACATCCTTGGCGTCGACGGCGGCGCCCTTCTCGAGGAGCAGCCGCGTAACGGCCTCGTGCCCGTTCTCAGCCGCCCTCGACAGCGGCGTCCGCCCATTGAAATCATTGGCGTCAATATTGGATAAGGCTAAAGGAGGCAGGAGGGCTACCAATATTTCGTCCCCTTGCTCCACGATGTAAGAGAGAATACCTCTTCGCGGATGAAAAATAAAGTCACGTCCGAGCTTGATCCATTTATCCTTGTCTTCACAATAGCTCTCCAATGTGCGATGAAGCAGAGATGCTGGAAGCTGGATTCCTAGCTGGGCCATTAAAAGTGCCCGCACTGCTTCATCACTATTGGTGGCCACTGCTGCAAAGAATGGTGGCCCATACCGCTCCTCTCCCACCTCAAAGTAGGTTAGGTTGGAGGGATAGCTTGTGATTAGGTTTCCTATGTTATGCTCTGCCAGTATGTATAAAAGGCTCGCATTTGAGGTGTGTCGACGTATGTTGTGTTTTTCGAATAGGTTATCGAAATCGATCCATACAGGGAGCTGAAAGTCTCGGAGAAACTCATTCTGGTTGATGCCGCTCCCCGCCGCTACATCTGCGTGAAATAAGACATTCCTGACGGTATACTCAAGAAAGGGAAACTTCCGAGCTGCCGACCGGCGGAGCTCCACGGCTTCCTGCGATGTTGCTTTGGGGAGAGGATTGGTGAGATTCAGAGAGGTAATAGCCTTGGCGTTAATTTGCGCGAGGCAACACTGTTTCAGTCGCTCATGGCTTTCTCCCCGGAAGTCTTTAAATTCTGGCCAGATCCCCTTCAGTCCATCTCCTTTTAGGAGAAAATCCCTCACAGACTCGTGGATAAATTGCACAGTCGGAGGTTTGGACTTGGTAATTTCGGCAAGACCTTTGGAGGAGTTGAGGATGAATTTTTTGACAGTAATTTCTGTAATCTCCTCGGGATCCCACTCAAATAGAGCCCCAGGTTCGATACCGGAGAGGACGGCGAAATATAACTCTTCTGGCTTTAGTGGCTGTCGTGCGAAGAGAACCCACTGAATACACAGAAGCAGCTCGCCTTTGTTGTGCTGGTCACGCGTCAAAATTTCGCGGAACAGCTCGTGCAGGTCTCTAGGGATATCCCGGAGTCTTTTCTGGAGTGCATGAATGCGGCCGCCGTCATACTCTTTGTTCAGAATCTCCACCACAAGAACAACCCACATGAACACCCCAGCTGCCTTTTCTCGAAGATCATGACGAATCGTTTCTGCATGCTTGCTGTGCCCAATATTCAGCTCGCTGTCCAGATAGTCGATTATATCCTTCACGTGCTCTTCTTGTCTTTCGAGGGCAAATTCCAGACCTTTCGCAATAGAAATATGCGGGTAGTAGCGACTCGAAAACAAGACTTGAAATCGAATCTCAGCTTGTACGGCCATTTCGCCAACATGCTCGAAAAACGATAGCATATCTCGAATCTGATACTCGTCGCACTCATCTAGAGCGTCAATAAAGCACGCCAACGGTGACTTTCCAAGACCTAGCACAGCTTGTTCAAAGAGCGCCTTAAGCGATTCGACGGTCCATTTGAGGCATGCACCATTCCACGATACCAGTCCGAGAGTGTCAAACACATCCTGAAGTGCTGGATACCGCTCAAGAAGCTGTAGTAGCAGTGATCGGTACATCCCAGTCGTAGACTTCTCCAGTTCGTCGCCTCGTGCGTTGAAGAAGAAGGAGATGATGGTCGTTTCCTTCATCTTTCTCCGCGCACTAGCTACGGCAAACTTCATCAATGTCGACTTCCCTGCCCCAGGTTTCCCCTTGATCCACAAGAAGCCGTGGTGCTCACCGAGCTTGGTGGGGTCGAGCCAGTCGAGGTACTCGGACTTTTGTAGTAGCCATGTGCATGTCTTGATGTGTGCTCTCTTGATGGTCAGTTGGCGAGCGTCGATCTGGTCAAATCTCAAAGATTCCAACAAAGTGCGTTTCTGACTTTCATCCAATATCAACGTCTTCCCTTCCGTCGATTGCCTTGGTGCCGTGGTTGCTATCCTGCGTAGAGCAGCAGCAACCTTTTTGTACTCGACGTCATCGAGTCCCGGAAATCGACACATTTCCATATGGTCCCGCCCAATATGCTCCACTGTCTCGGCTGCAATATTGAGGCAGGATGAGGTATCATGAACAACCTATGAAGGGTGATTAGTAAAGTGTAGGAAGTATACCTTGTCGTAGATAAAATACCTTTTGTCCAGAGAGGAGCCCAATACCAACCTCTTCTTGAAAGGAGTGTATTATCCAATTATGGCCCTGAGCCATGGGGCCGAATCTATCCCTCAAGTCTTTGAGGATTTCGGAAGACGGCAATAGAGCCTGAACGATTTGCTCATTCGCGGAGACGCCAACGACATTGGCTAGCCGTTCAGCAATGTGATGGCGAAAGCCGCGAGGATCGGCACCAGCGTGCGGCGTACCAAAGAATATTATGCCGGCCGTGGACTCGAGTATACGACCAAAGTGAGCCTGGTGACAATCCCTCGACAGCAGAAGCATCTTCTTGACAATGATCCCTCCAAGGCTGTGCGCCACAAACAACAACGGCCTCGTCGACTCGGTCCGACGTTCAGACTCCAGGGCAACTAAAAAATCCTGAGCGATACCCGAGACTGTGTTGCTGAGCATAGGAGGCCCACCCGGATATCCGATATGCGTGTTGTAGCCGTATGTGAAGATTCGTGCGTAGGGGACCGTTATTGGGACCAAATCGCGTGGCCAGTAGACACCTCTCTCGTGACGGGACGCAGGAAATGGGTTGAGTCTCCGATATTTGGAAGGGGGTTCCGAGGATTCGCCAGCAGCCGGGCTATCGCCGTAGCGTCCGGCATTTGCCTTCTTGGAAGTCCATGTGCGTTCGGGATGGCCGGTAAATCCGTGTATGAAGACAATGCTTCTCGGTCAGTAAACTAACTTGAAGCACTAGTGAGGCCAAGAAACCCACTCAAGATGCGGCTCGTGTGGCTCGAAAAGAACCGTCATCCCGGTCGCGGGGAGAAGCCTCGGCAAAGGTTGTGCCGCCGTCTCAGCCATCCTGTCGAACAAAGATGAATGCACCGAACTCTGTTTTGCAGTTTGAAGTACGACGCCTAACCCTTTAAGAGGATGCGGCTAATGCTCGTCGCAATGGCTTCGGTTTGTATCGCAGAGGAATTCAATAATGACTCGCCCGTCGTCGGTCGCAAATCGCTGCGACATAAAGCGCTTAGGACCGCCTCAACAAGAGAGAGATCTGTCTGAACCGGAGGGGAAGCAATTTCAGGACAAAACGGCGGAGAAGGAAGGCACCGCCAGCCTTGCGAGCTTTGATTGGGCACCGTGCACATTAGGACGATTACAGACTCCTACACAGCCTTGCCCCCGCCCACACGATCAGGCCCTCACAGCAGCGGTCATGTTAGGCTTGCAATAAGCCGGCGCTGTCTAGACATGTCCAAGGTAAAGAGGGTTGGGTATTCTGACAGGCAAAAACTTTATATATATATAATGTATAAAATGGCACTAGCTGAGCGAAGTTAAAACAAGGGTAACAGGGAATGCGGGGTGGCGTGGCGGGGCAGGTACTTGTATAGACACCTACTCTAGGGTAATATATATGAGGGGACAAGGGGCCCGTTGTTAGGAAATTGTAGACACTTTGCCCAAGCCATAAATAGAAGTGTTTATCATGTTCCCCTGCGCACGTCATTTTGCCCCCTTAAATGATACATATGCCTCGCTCAGAGGGAGCCGAAACTGGCAGGAAGCAAGACGCCGAAACCTGCCTCTCCTGAGTAAAGCCAAAGTGGAGAAAGATGCATGGATCTATAGGTAGAATCGACTGTTATAAAAAAACGCCAAGTGACATTGTAACGTAGAGACGGGAACAACAGGCAGGGGCTACGCCCTACCCACTGGAAGCAGTCGGATTACTTCTGAATAGGGTGACGGGACTCACCACCGCCTTGTTATCTCTTCCCTCCCCCTGTCCCAGCACTCCCACCCCAGAGCCCCAAAATGTCGGCTCCCCACAAACCAATGATAGGACTCCGTAGGCACGGCTCTTAAGCATGTTCAGGCTAGTGGGCGATGAATTTGACTTGTAGGCCGAACGTGCGGATTTAGCTGAGTAGAGAAAAAGGAAACCACCTTAGCGGGAGTACGTAGTCCGCTGCAGGCCCTGTAGCAAGACTTTCCTGCTGTAAGGCACGCCGGTTTGTTGGCCGCGACCCACGTTGCTCCTTGGCCTTATGGATTTGATATGGGCTCTCCGAGTTTGCTTCTCCGCGCTGAGCTAGAATTACCAACTTCAACTTCTCACACCAGCGTTTGGCAATCGTCCACGAGAACCGATCACTGTTCAATCTCCACCTACGCTATGTGACATACGCACGGCGCGCGGAGAAGTTCACAGCGACAATATAAGCTGATGTTCATTGAGCTATCTTGCAAAGCCCAGTCCTGAAGAATGGTGAAATAGCGGAATGTGGTCCATATATGGGAAGGAAATCATGCAGTTTCATGTTATTGACAGCACACGACAATCATTCCCGCGGCACCTAGCGTACATTGAATGGTAGAATGTTACATGTTACAGTGATTGCACGCGGTGACTCTAGAAGAGAAGTCACTCGTCCGCGCCCGTCATATGATACAGATCCGATAACTACACGCACGCCCTCTTTAAGCTCCTGTTGTAGCTATGGTCTTCGGCATTGAGGATGAGCTGGCCGATGGGCGGCCCCTTGGCGCGGATCCCGTTGACGGCGACGCTGCTGATGAGGTCGCTCTGGTGGTTCTTGACCATCTCCTTCAGCGCGCTCCGCTCAATGACAATCCTGCCCGTCTCCAACAGGTCCTTCACGTCCACGTCGTCCAGCAACATGGCCCGGCCATCCTCGCCCGCCACATCCATGGCAGTAAACAGGTTTGGCCGCCTGTCGCCCGTGATAAACGTGGTGCGGCCGTGCGCCTTGCCCCAGCTCAGGCCGTCGAGGATCTGCTTCATGTACTTGCGGACGAAGCCATCCTCGAGCTCGCGGCCGAGGACCTCGGCGCTGACCATCTGGAGGAAGTCGTTGGGCAGCGGCAGCTCCAGGCCGTCCTGGGCGACGATCAGCTCGCCGCGGCGGTAGCGGTATGACAGGGCAGTGCGCCACGCCAGGTCGTACACCTTGCGGTTGAGGCTGGTGCTGAAGTCGCGCGGGTGGGGACCGAACGACTTGCCGCCGCCGCGTAACAGCGGCGACTTCTTGTCCCCGCGCCGCGCCCGGCCGCTGCCCTTCTGTGCGGAGAGCTTGCGGCCGGAGCCGTGCACCATGTAGCGCGTCTTGGACGAGGCCGTGCCCTGCCGCGTCATGTCGCCCTCGTAGATGACGGCCAGGTGGAGGATGTCGCGCCGGAGGGGGAGGTGCAGGTGTCTGGGGGACCACGACTCAAGAGCGCGCGGCTCTAGCGAGGGGAAGGAGTAGATGGTGACGGGGACCGAGGTTACTAGCGCCTACGTGTCAGTGACGAGAGTAGCGGGTAGGTGATGAAGTATCTCTTGCGACCGGTAGTACGCGCAAGCAGCCGCCGCATGCCTGAGACGTACCGGGATTCCACGGGTCGCTGACTGATCTCGTGATGTTTTTGGCAGATGCTTGGGATGCCATTGGCCGGCTACATGTGAAGGAAGAGGGCCGGATCTGTAGCCACGACGTAGACGATCCGGTCAGTAGCTGCTCAGCTCAGCCTGTCCAAGGCGGGAGAGACAGAGGGGGACGCACCGGTGATGTCCTGCACGGCTGCAAAGCTAGACTGAGTCCCCGGAGAGCGTCGCCGAGGCTCTTCAAGCCCTTCCGGCTGCTGCTGCTGTGTGCCATGGCGGCCGTCTGTCTCGGGCGGCGCGGCGCGGCAATTGCAGTGGCGATGCTGTGCAGTGGCGATGCTGTGCAGTGGGCGGACGGGCGGGCGGGCTTGACAGACAAGATGCCCGTACCTAGCGACGGCACGGATACCGGCGATTAGGGTTTCTGTCGAGTTGAAGCCAGGAAAAGATTTGGAGTGCTAGCGCACGGACGCTTCCATGCAAGTTCAGCCAAGGTCCCCCCTTAGCAAACGTTAGCGCGTGCAGCTGGGGCGGAACATGCCGGGCGCTGTGCCAAACTAGACAGGCCTTAGGAAATTTCTCGCTGGCCCGTCGCGGTTCTTGATTGAGATTAACAGCCACAGCAAGAGCAGGAGGAGCTCAACACAGTCTCGACAGCGGGCAGGCACAGCTGCATCCCATCCTGCAGCCCGATTTCTGCTTCGCTTCTGCACAGCGGCCATGTCACGGTGCCAGCAGGTTGGGCAGCCCATTCTGCGGTCCATACGGCAACAGAGCTATAGCTACAGTGCAACGACATGCTCGATCCGATACTTCACATCAACGCCCCGGCGTCGCGATGACCGTCCGACCCTGCAAACGGGCTCTGAGCCCCAGAACCCAATCGAGGTAGCGCTGCTGGGCGCCACCCCACTGACGGGAGTACCCTCCAAGGCGTGGACACCAGAGCAGATGGCATCGTTCACGTCGCCCGAGCACGGATCGCGGAGGAGGCGGGCCGCCATGGCCACGAGCGGCAACATCCCCTTCGAGCAGCTGCCATACCAGTGCTTCCAGGAGGCCCGCAAGATCCTCGCCGAGGACCGTGCCGAGAAGATCGCCAAGATTGCTGCCACAATGACAAAAATCAAACACACCGAAAGCAAGGACGCCAGCCAATTCCGCGGCGGAGAGCACTACAGGCAGAAACGGTTGGCCGCTCTGCGCACCTATGTCGATGAGCTCAAGGTCCTAGCCGACATCAATGACCCAATAGTGAAGCGCCGCTTCGAGGACGGGAAGGGTGCGTAATTCTCTCTCACAAGACCGGACCCCTCCCTTGCTGACCATTGATTGCGCACCCGCAGGCGACATGACCAAGCCCGTCTACCGCTACCTCGCCGAGAAGAAGTGGCACGCCATGGATCACAAGATCATAAAGCAGCGCATACACCAGTTCCACATTGTGCCCGACATCCTTCCCAAGTTCGAGCCGACGGTCGACCTGAAGCTGTCCTTCCGCAGCTCCCCCGTGCAGCCGGGCGCCATCCTCGACAGCGCCATGACCGAGGTGCCGCCGGCGATCCGCATGCAGGTGTTTGACAAGGGCGAACGCCTGATGACCATCGCCGTCATCGACTCAGACGTGCCCGACGCCGAGTCGGACGGCTTCAAGTGGCGCTGCCACTTCCTGGCGGCCAACATCCCGTGGGACCCGACCAAGACGCACCTGGCGCTGCGCCACATCGGCGTGCGGGCCGAGGGCGACGTGGCCGTGCCGTGGCTGCCGCCGCACTCGCAACTCGGCTCCCCGTACCACCGCCTCAGCGTCTTCGTGCTGCAGCAGAGGCCCGACGAGACGCTCGACGTGGCCCAGCTCAAGGAGCTGTACGACGGCGACGCCGAGAGCCGCAAGGCGTTTGGCATCAAGGGCCTCCGCGACCGGTTCGGCCTCGAGCCCGTCGGCTTCAACATGTTCCGCACCGTCTGGGACGACAACACGGCCGCCGTCATGGAGCGCCACGGCATCCCCGGCGCCGACATCGAGTTCCGCCGCGCCCGCGTCACCACGATGAAGCAGCCTCGCAAGGCCAAGGGCTGGGAGGCCAAGAGGCAGAAGCCAAAGTACAGGAGTCTGTGGAAGTACAGCAAGCGCATCGCGTGAGCGTGAGCGGCAGTCTATACTTGTATTGTACCATATCTATATACCTACTTGTACCAGTATGTATCTAAGAAGCTTCAAATGCCGAAACGTGAGACCTGCGAGGTTATGTCCCTGGTATCTTCGTTTCTGTTTGTTCGAGGAAGATGGTTTTGTAACCTATCCCTTATTGGACAGTTTCGTGCTCACGACACCCCGGAAGGACATACAGCACAAGACGGGCAACCGTAGCAGCAACGTTGCAACGCTCATGACTTATGCTTGTATGCCCCCAGTCATATGTTGGTTATGTATTTTGCACAGTTGAAATGAGTGCGTGCTTACTGTGTTAAAATGACGAGATGGTCTGGCATATACATACATCGCTATTTTCCTTGATTATTTGCGACTCGGTCGAGGGGGAAAAAAAGCCTCCAGCGTTAACTCTACCGCAGTAGGGATCCAGAACACATCATGGGTATAATCCATTATTTCACTTTGGCGATAGATCTAACTATGTAAGTCGCTCTTAACGTAGACGAAATAACACAGAGCACATCATGATTCACAAACCCATAATTGCATAGTTGATGTTTTTAATTACGTGTATTGTTTCGAGGTGAACTCCTTAGGGGCACTAGTACTTATGATATCACACTCTTCCCATTTGTTTTCTTTGCTCCGTTTTATATTTTTCTTCCTTTCCTAGTGGCTTACTCTCTTTATCCTTTTTCCTGCTTTGCATTTATTTTCTTTCTCCTCTTCGTTTTCTACTTTCCTCTTTCCCCCCATTATTTATCTACTTATTTTCCGTTCAACCTGTTTATTTCCCTCCTCTTCTTTCCCCTCTTCTTCTATTTCCTTTTAGAATATTTACCGCTTTATCTTTACTCCCGTTCCTACTTCTCGTCTTACTTCTCTTATTTGCCCACTTTACTTCTTCCTAACCTTTTCTTTCTCTTCTTCTACCTGTTTCCCCCTCTCCCCTTTCCCCTTTCCCCTTTCCCCTTTCCCCTTTCCCCTTTCCCCTTTCCCCTTTCCCCTTTCCAATTTCCCCTTTCCAATTTCCCATTCCCCCCTTATCCACTTCCCATGTGTTATTACTGACATGGAAGCGGCCAGTTCCACTATATTTATTCGTTTACCCATTGTCTCTATAAGGAGGGACTTCGCAGTGTTGGGTCTACCACAATATAGACAACCATCCACACACTTTTCGGAACACGGTCAAGAACTCCATCACTTAAAACCTCCTTCATACCAAAACAACACGCGCCATATATCCAAGGGACCTCGTACCCACACACACACACACATCATGGTATAGCTTACAAGGAACAATAAAAAGGCAAAATAATGCCAACATTTCATTTCCCGCCACTGCTCTGCCGGTGAGAATACTAGACCTAGACTCTACTAACCTGCTACAGTAGTAAATCAATACACGAGGTTATATTCATCCGTTCTTCTCTGCACTGAACTCTCTCTTCCCAAGTATCTACGCCCTTCCTCTCTCTTACTCAACTCGCTAGAGCAGATAGCAAACCCCATCAGATCAGCCCATCTCCTCCACCATCCGGTAGCCCATCCTTTAAAACGCAGCTAGTCTGTTTACTATGCTTGCTTGTCCCGCCAGCAGTAACAGGAACAGCCCCCCTCGCAAACAAACACACGCCGCCAACAAAAACAAACGCCCTCAGGCTAAAGTACTCCGTGCCCGCCGAGGTAATGAGGTAATAACCCAAATAACTACCGTCTGCCCATCTCACTTCTCGTCCCCTTCCAACAACGCCTCAGCCGCCGCCATCCACATGCTCGCGGCCGCGGCCGAGAGCCGCCCACCGCCGTCGCTGGTGCTGCTCCTACACCTGCCGACATCGTCACAGATGCCGCGACTAGCATGCTGTTGCTGGTGCTGTTCATGGCCACCACTCAAACCCACGTCGCCTCTATCCACATCTCCACCCCCGTCCCCGTCTCCATCAGCATCAGCATCAGCATCATCCCCCTGCTCATCGTCGCCGTCGGCTCCCGCGTCGTCTCCGCCGGGGTGGTGGGCAGCAGCTTTACGCCGGAACGACATGCGGATGCGGTGCGCCACGACGTCGTCGTCTTCCGTGTGCCCGCCCGCCGACGACAGCGACAGAGAGCGCGCTGCTGCTGCAGGCAACTGCTTCCGCCGCCGTGCTGCTGGCCCGCTGCGGAGCATTAGAGGCCGCGATGCACCTCCTGACCGCTTTATTTCATTCTTCTTCTTCAGCAGCAGCTGCTGCGTCTGGAGCCGCCGTTTCTTGATCTTTTCGCCAGCTTGCACATCGCAATAACCCTTGTTATCACTCCGTTGCTGGTGGTTGCCAGGCAACGCCTCCGAAAGGGGCTCGACATCGACCTCGACCTCGCCATCGGCGCTGGTATCTCCGCCATCCTCACAGCCCATATCATCGCCGTCGTCATAGTCATCCTCGTAATCATCCGCCGCAGCATCGCCAGCATTCATCCCTGCCGTGGCAGCAGCACCGCCACCAACACTCATGCCGCGCTCATGTCTATCCAGCCCGCCACTGCTGCCGCGCCTCGCCATCCTGGCACGCGCGGCGGCGGCCAGGCGCTCAAACATGGCGACGCGCTTCTCAGCCGCCTCGGCGCGCTCTCGCCACGTGCGGCACTCGCGCTCGGCGCGGCGCAGCTGCTCGCGCAGGGCCACCACCACCGGCTCGGCGTCGTGCTTGGCGTCCACGAGCCGCCGCAGCTGCTGCGCCTCTTCGGCGCGCGCCTCGAGCTGCTTCTGCAGCGTGCGGATCTGCGCGTGCAGTGCGGGCGTCTTGCTGCTCTTGCTCTTGTCGGGACTGCTGTGGCTGTTGCTGGTGCCGGTGCTGCCTCGTCCTGTGCCGGGCGCGGGCGACCCATCTGCTGCTGCCTCGTCTGTTGCTGTTGATATTGTGCTGTCGCGGTCCGGTGGCAGAGCCGAGGGCGGAGCTGCGGTGCCAGGCGTCGTGATGGCGGTCGCCGATGCCACCGCTGCTGCGTGATCGTGGTCACTGTTGGGCGACGGCGTCCTGGAGGACCGCTGGGCGTGAGGATTCTTGGCTGTCGAGTACGAGTCCGTCTCGGTCTGCGAGAAGCTGACCTGCCGCCGCGCGAGACGGCGCGATGACGAGCTGTTGTCGCGGTAGCGCTGCTGCTGGCCCCAGTGGGGTGTCATTGCCGAGACTCCTGGTTTATGTTCGAGTACGGGATGTGTAGACTGAGGAACAACAGCGGTACTGGCTTTGTTCTCGTCGCCCGCTTCTTGTCTGCCGCCATGGTATCGCTCGTCATCGCTGCCTAGGCGACGAACCGGAGCGTGGCCCTTTATCTGAGGCTCGTCGCAGCCCCCATTCTCTTCTCCCAAGCCGCGCGAATCATCGTCTCCGTGCCGGATGGCCGTGATCCAAGAGTTGTTGTCCGACTGCGTCGAGTCCGACCTGACAACCGCGGAGCGCGGCGTGCCCGACTTGGCCGGAGACTTCTTCGTCGGAGAAGCGTTCACCGTGTACTGCGAAAGCACGCCGCTGGGCCTGCTGGCATCCGTGTCGGCCCAGCCCACGACCATTTGCTGCTGCATCGGCGTGGGGAGGATGATGCCATGAAACGCCGTGGGGTCCTTGGACGGCGGGGAAGTTGAGGCGATCTCGAACATGGCCGCCATGGCTTTCACACCGCTGCCGACGGGCTTGGCCGGCCGCGGCGACCGAGAGGGCGACTCACCCGGACTCGCCTCCCAGTTTTGTGCGGGCACGTTTCTCGGAGTTGTAACATGACTGCCGACGCTACTCATTGTACCTCCCTTGGACCGAGTTGTTGTTTTCTTTGTTGGTGTCTGTATATCCCTGCTATCGTCATCACCGGTATCATACTGGCTCAATGGCGCTATAGGATGTCCGAGTTTTGGCTGCTCCATATGTTGTTCATGAGAAGCGCCATGGATTGTTGACTTCTCTGGGACATCGTGACTACGACTAGGACGCACTATTCCGGAGTCGGTGCCTGAGGAAGCGTTGCCAAAAAGCCGTTTGGTGATCGACATTTGGTCTCCAGATTTCTTGCTCGCACCCGAGGTCCCCTCCGCTCTAGACCCCCGCAGACTGTCTTGGATGGGAACAGGCTTACGAACTAAGTGGCTAGGATATTTCGACCGTGTCTCTTCAGGTGCGGATCCAGTTGACCGAGACTTTCTCAACCGAATCGAGAGCAATTTTCTCTGTTTTGACTCCGATATTTCCTTCTGGGGCGCTTCACCCGTGTCGGCCTCGGAATGGGCCGAGTTTGGCAGGTCCGTAGAAGTACCGGAACGGCGCTTCAACACCCATGTTGATTTTCCCGACCGCCTGCGCGCAGAGTCATTGGACCTCGGCTTCTCGCCTTGGAGCAACTTCTCTTCTGCCTTAATTGTTGCCGACGAGATATTCAGTGCCTCCTTTATCACTGGTCTTGTGGCGTCCTCTGACTTCCTTGCTGTGTCCACTCCTGACCGTCTAGTGCGACTGAGCGGGTCCCCCAAAATGTCTGATGTCTTTCCAGCTCGACGAGATACCGCCAGTGGGTGGTTCACTTCCGAGCCAGGGGCGGCGTCTTCAGTGGAACTTCTAAAAGACCTGCTCGACAATGGCTTCGCAAGAGACGCTGAGATCTGCGGCTCCGCCCGAGGTGACTTTGGCAGAGACTCGCTCTCCTCCTGAATGCTTCTTTGTTCGCTACGTCCTCTCCTTCCCGGCTGTGAGTCGGCATTATTTAAGAACGTGATGGAGCTCTTCGAGATTACCAGCCTCCGCGGCTGAGACATGGGAAAGACTGGAGATATCTCTGAAGCATGATTGAATAGCGAGTTGGCTGCCGAGGCAACGGCTGGGCTGCGATTAGCCTGGTAGGGGAAGCCGGAGGTAGTCCCTGATGCCGATGATGCACCCGGGGCTCCGTCGCCCGCGTGCGAGTTGGGCCCGTGCTTTAGGTGACGTGGTTCCTCCATGGGAGCGGCATATTGTGCTGCAATAGGGGCATTAAATAACTGCTCGTGATCTGGAGGGTGTCCTCCCGAGGCTTCGAAGTCGACCATTGGTGATTCCTCGGCCGTAGGTGAGAGCAGCTGGAGGGACGTTTTTGTAGCTACACGGCTACCCGACTGTGATCGAGGACCCTTTGGCCGCTGTCGCGGGACGACGAGAGGCACGCGAGAATTCGAATTCTCCTGCCAACCCCCTCCGCCTCTGCCAGATCCTCTTCCTAGCCGTAAAATTAGCTTCTCAAGTTAAACGACGAGCAGACTTCGGGACGCACTCACGGGCTTCGGGGGTCGGGCTCGGGGGAGCCGGGGACTCGCTCATGGCAAATGGCGCCGAGGGAGGTCGCAGAGCACTCCATTCTGCCGGTTTTCTTATAACAAAGGACTCGGAAGCCGAAGGGCGCAGGGACGCTCTCTGTATGTCTTGCTGTATTTCCGCGAGGGTTGGCCCGTCCATGTTAGTCTTTAGCACCCCGAGGCTCCGCATCTGCTTAACCACGTCCCGCCAGTGCGTGATGAGCATCTCGGTGATGCTATTTGCCACGTGGATCTTGTCCACGGTCAGAGCTCGGGGGTTGGTCTCGTCTACAGCCCTGCTCCGGCGCCGCTCCCGCTTTGCACAGGGCGGAGTGACGGGAAACAGTATCAGACCCGTCGTGGGATCGGCTAGCTTCATCGTGTACGAGTTGAGCAGGTCGCCCACCAGTAGAGGGCCAAACACGATGCCGAGGGCGCTGTAGCCCATCAAGTCAGCCGTTGGCAGGGGCCTGCCATGCTCGTCCTCGCGTGGTGCCTTCTCAGCGGTACGGCCGATAAGACAGAGGAGGCCGAAAACAGCACAGATCAGTTCGCGGCGGAACTGAGACTTGACACTGCCAATAGCCAGAGCAATTAGTCTCGCTCTGAGCTTAGTCTGCTTTGTCCTGGTGAATTCGGGATCTCCTTTGAGTTGGCTGTGGATAGCGACCAAGGCATCAAACAGCGCCAAAGAGCCAAGAACGCCGCCGGGGAGGCCCGAGAGGAAGCGCTTGAACGTCGAGGCCACGTCGTGGGTCCCGGCCTTGATGTGCTGCGGCAGGTTTGGGCACCGTATTGTGCTTGATATCTCGTTGGCGTCGCCCTCGGCACAGTAATAGTCGTAGAGTGACCCCACCACCCGCACTGAGCCCGGGATGCGAAATACTCCCCGCGTATCGGCAGCTGTGGAATTGTCAGAAACGGAAAAAGAACCACACTCGATGGCCACTGCTTACCGTGCTGAACCAAGTACTGAGCCGTGGCGCGGAAACAGGTCGGGAGCACCAGCGAGCTAGGGGCGTACTCGGACGGCAGATACAGCATGCTCTTGCCGCACAGCCGGACGAGCGACTGGAGGTCCTCGTCCTTGAGGCTGTCCCGCTTTGCCGGGTGAACGATGTGCATCGCTAGGTCACCAACACTGCGCTTGTGGCTCGCCTTCTTCTCCGACTTCGCCGAGCTGCTGGCATTGCTTGCCCCGGACACCTGGCGTCCGAGAAACGTGCGTGAGAACCAGCCTCGCCTGGCATGCTGTGTGTGTTGGTTATATTGTTGCTGGTATTGCTGGCTGTGCTGCTGCAGCTGCAGCTGCTGTGGCGACCGGTCTCTCTACTCTCTAGTTAGACACCGCCGCCTCCTTTTCCAACGCGAAACAAACGCAGAGCGGCTGACTGACCGACGACGGGCTACTCTCTTCGGGAGCCAGCATTCGGATGCCATGCTAGTTTCCTCGTCAGCAACGCCCGTGAAAACGGAGGGCAGTAGAGAATGAGACAAGCTAGACGCCAAGCACCTTTCTCGCAAGCCTGTTGTACTCGCGGACAAATTCAAGTCGATCTTGGACATCGTTAGTGTCGGACAGACCAGCCAAGTCTCCGCTCGACGAGGTCCATGTTGCGCTGCTTCTATTCGCGCGCCTGTCTGGTCCTGGGACCGGGAGCTGGCCTGCCGTGGCCGAAAGGGGGAGTCCATGACGAACAGGTGGTGGTATCACCTCGGCGTTTTGGGAGAGGTGTTTGGGGTACCGTTGAGCAAACGAGCTCCTGCTGGTCGAAGGGGATCCAACCGAAGCTGTAGACGCCCCGTCCATTTCCTGGGAATGGTGATGATAAGAATGCATCTTAGCAACTGGCCTCTCAGGAAGACAGGCGTCTATCAAGTCGCAATTGCGATTCCGGTTGCGATTGCGAGATCGCGATGGAGACCAAGTGCGAGCGAGCGACAAGAGATACGGTTTTTCTCATGGATATTCCAACTGAGAAGGAGAGGGCCCTTGGCGGTGCGAGAGACGTGGGAAGAAGCGAGTGAGACCCAGCTGCTGCTTCCTGTCCAGCGTGGCCAGCAACTGACTAACGATCCATGCTCCTTCCCACTAGAATGCAAGACGCAGAAGGAGTGCAGGAGAAAGAAAAAAAGGGAACGAGGAAAGCAAGTGCCCGAGACAGCATACGGTCGTTTCTTGCCTAACGGTGCCGTGCCTTATGCACCAGGCCAAGCAATCACTCTTCCAACAGAGCCGGTCATCAGTCTCACACTAATGCCTCCCCTAGGAGACAATACCAACTATGCTAAGAACGCAAATGTCCGTTACGATTTTCTTATTAAAAAAATAAAGATTGTCGAGCTCAGGCTGCTGTTGGTGCAGCTACATCCTTCAGCGAAACAGGAATGGGAAAAGCAGATCTATACATCGAGAGACAGAAAAAAGATATGCAATGTTGGTATTCCTTGTTCACGTACCGTCCGTCCTTGACGCCCTGCAAATGCAACTCTAAACACAGGTCGACCTAGATCCAAAGTGAAGGCCCATCCGTTCCGTGCAGCGCACGCACACGCACGCGCACGCGCACGCGCCGTTCCAGACCTAGATCATCGTACCAACTTGGCGGATGTCGTCCTCTTCTTCGCCAAAGAGTAGCACGTACTTGAGGATGTCAGAGAGCGAGATGATGCCCTTGAGACGGCTGTCGTCGTCAACCACGACCAGCCTATGCACGCGCGACTTCCGGATGGTATCGAAGATTGAATCCAGCCGGTCATCTTCGCCACATATGTAGATGCCCCCAAAGTCGTCGGCACGCCTCGATAGGGCGTCGCCCACAGTCGAAGCCAGCTCCTCGTAAGCCCCACCCTTGATGCAGGGGATGACATCAACAGCTTCAAATACGTTCAGGAGCTTGAAGTTCTGGTCCACAATGGGCACGGCCGAGATGTTGTGCTTGACCATGAGGTCGATGACATCCAAGACGGAACTGCCCATGGTAGCTGTGGCCAGGCTGGAATAAGTGCCGAGGCCGATATCACGCACGGGCTTCTTCAGGAGCATCGTGTGCTGCTCGTTGTTCACGGCGATGAACTTGAGGATGCGGTACTGCGTGATGACGCTCACAACCGTCTCGCGACCCGTCTCATCGTCCGTGTCGACGAGAGGAATCCTGCGGGCTCTCGTCCTGAGCATGCGGCGGCACGCCTCATAAAGGGGGCGCATGGGATGGACCGACACCGTCTCAAGCGGCACGACGCCAATACGCCGTTCAATCTCTGCACGCGGCACACACAAGCAAGCATCAGTCCATCTGGGCCAGCCGAACCTAGGGGGTAGACTGGGTGGGTGGCGGGGGCCTACCTCGGAGACTGCTGAGGCGGAACTTATCAACCTGGTCGATCTCCTCGGGGAACTGGCAGTAGTACTGGATGACATTGATGTAGTCAGTGCTGGTCAGGAGGCCGGCAAATGCCGAGTTGCGCGAGTCCCAGAGGGGCGCCGAGACGATGCCTAGAACATGCGAGTCTCTGGTCAGCACAGCTGCACCACGTCAGGCGAGCCCAGCTAGCCCGCGCCCGCGTGCCACGACGTCACCGCACCATTCTGGAGGAGTATGTTCAGGCTCTTCTTGATGAGCAGGTCGTTATCGAGCACCACGAGGCGGAACGAGAGCGGGAGGACATCGTAGCTGGTGCGGACTTTGAGAAACTCGCGGATGCCTCTCTGTTTGCCCACACATGGGTTAGCCTCGACTCTTGTATAGGATGGAGTCTGTTGTTGGTCCGGCTCGTCTGCTGCAGGCCGTCCCACAACCCCGCATCACAGCCATGCTCTGGGAGGCGGCAGCAGAAGCGGCGCGGGGGGGCCAAGGATAAGGGGCGAGGCGAGGCAAGGCGAGGCGAGGCGTAGAGAGCACGAGCACGAGCACCAGACGACGAGAAACATTGGGCAGATGCAGACGGCGACGACGCTGGGAACAGGGCAGGGCGATGGGGGAGAAGGGGGGTGGGGGGGGCGTGTCTCGGGATATATGCTCACCAGACCTTGCATCTGCTCTTTGTCGAGGGGACTGCTGGCTGTCTTCTCAGGCATTGTGCGACTGGTGGGTTTAGGGCGAAGGTAGGAAGAGGGCGCGACAAAGGGCAGCTCGTGACCATGTCGCAGCTGCTGCGGGCCATTGGCATTCTCTCCGCCTGCGGAGATGGGGGCAGCCGAAGCGCTGGCGATGCTTGCACCGCCGGGATTCGCTTTCTCCGTGGGCGTACGGGCGTCGTCCATTATCGTGACGGTAGAACAGGAACCATGGGGAGCGTTCCGGGCGGCCTTGGAAACTTCAAGGTTGCGGAGTGGGGGTTAGATCAAGTAAGGTAAGGTAGGTTAGGTTGGACTCAGGTTTGGAGCTGGCATGGAATTCCAGTACGGTAGGTAGGCGGCATGGGAATGGGCAATGGATGCTCCCGCCCTTGGGCTCAGCTCCAGTTCTGGGACGGGGCCTACCAAGGTGGGATCTGGGGTTTGGAGGGGCGGGCTGGCTGCACCAAGCAACTAAGCACCAGGTGTGGAACCCGTGGAACTAAGATAGCAACGGACGCGCTGGCCAAAATCGATGAACCCGTCGCGGGTCCGATAATCACCTAGGTAGGCAGGTACACCTCAGATAGGGACCTTATAGGAGACGGAGGATAGAAGGTAGGAGGATTGGATAAGTAGGATCCAATAATAAAACGACGAAAGCTCCCATCTTCTGCTCTCTGCTCCAACCTAGATACAGTAAGGTACTGCCCTGGCTAAGGTAGGCAGGTAGACTGGACCCCGACTTTATCGGCCGTCTGTCATCAAATCCGGGTGCTAACTCGTAAATCTCGAAGCGCGAGGGGCACGAAGAGAGTCAGTCCATCGGATGCACCTGCGAGGCCCCTCGCCAAACTCGCCCCGCAACGAAACTCAGCTTCCCGGTGGTCGACCAGGGGGTGCGCCCCAGTGAATAAGGTGTGAGGCGTCCAACTTGACGCTCAATCCTTCTGTGAGGTGTGGCTTGGTCAACACCTCAACCAACTGGACCCTTCCTGAAAGGGAACAGCAGGTGATCTGGGCGCGACCTCGGGACTTCCAATCTGATTGCCGCCTAAAGACTGGCACACGACTTCCAAATGTGATGATGGCTGATATCCACCGACTACCTTGGTTGTTTCATTTTATTTTCTAGCGGTGTGAAGAGTGTTCAAGGGCGACGAAGGTGCATGCCAACAGATAACCATTCTCATTATCAACCGAGATAATATTCTTCTTACCAGGTAGGTTATATCTAAGGTAGGTTATTACTCTACAGGTGGGAAAATTCTATGGCAGCTCTCTCATGCCTGGAGTGCTTCACCGACTGTGATCTTGATAGCTAGGTTGGTGTCGATGGTTGGAGATTAGAAGCAACCAACTACGAGCCACCTGCCACGTGTTGAGGGGTTGCCCTTCCTGCCTGCCCAGCGTCCAAATCCACTTCATTCGCCTCTCTCGCGGTCCTGTGTGCACTGTGAGCTGTCTCTGCTGAGGCAGGACCGGGTACGACGGATTGGGGTATCCGCTAGAGGCCTCAGTTGTAGACCTCGTCGGCGACGTACTTATGCTGCATCCTGCTCGTTAGATTTGAGAAAACGTCAGTGATGCAAATGTTGGGCTGAGAGAGTACAAGGGGAAGCGGCCTTCGTGCTAAATGAAAGCCACAGTCGTGGTAGATGAGGCGCCACCCGAGTCCTACCTAGCCACTGTAAGCTACTGGGCTACAACTAAAACAAATCAGCTGCAGCCGACCACTGCACTGCACTGCTGCAGGGAGCAGAGGACGGGCGCCACTTTGCTGGCAGCCAAGCAACAGCAGACCCACTGCCTGCCGCGCCCAGCCAGCCGCCGCACGGCCCTGCGCTGGCCCAGCAGCTCGAGAGCGGAAGGCAGCTTCGATTGATTCATGACTGAGTCCTCGCTTGCCATCCAAATGTTTTGGTCGTGCGATCGCCAACCTGCCCCGGAACCAATTCCTCCAACGAACCCTGCCCGCCACAACGACGGCAAGGCGCCCGCTATTGGCCGTTTGGTAGTCAGGCACCGCTCTAGGATGCGTCTTTGATACTCTGCATCGCTTTTTGAAGCTCTTGCAACTCCCCGCGTGCCTGCTGCCGAGCCACTGTTTGAACCACTGGCTCCCGGACTCCCTTGCCAGAGGCACAAGCCGAAACCAACCAGCCCCGAGCTCCAAAGCACCTCTCAAGCAGCAGCCCTCGACATCCACAGGGCGCCTCGGTCGCCATGGGTGCTTGCAGCTCTTCTTGCTGCTCGGGTACTGCACCTTTGCCCGCCAGTCTCATTTGCCGCATTTTTTTTTGCTGACAAGTCGCAGGCAAATCCCGTGATGGCCTATACGAGAATGTGCTCGCCGACAGCGAGCGGGAGGCTGTCGCCGACCTGCTACACTATCTTGAGAACGTTCGTCCATCGCCTTCTTTCCGTCTCCAGTCTTCCTGATTTGTGACTGAGGTGCTGACTTTAGCCCTGTCTCCAGCGCGGCGAAACCGACTTCTTCTCGGGCGAGCCCCTCCGAGCTCTCAGCACCCTCGTCTTCTCAGATAATATGGACCTCCAGAGGAGTGCAAGCCTGACGTTTGCTGAGATCACAGAGAGAGGTGCGTGTGTAGTGATTATTGTGTGCTCCTATCTGCCCACATTCACGATGCCTCCGAGGCATGTGCGGAGTTTGCTCGGGCTGCTTCGCGCTGTCCCGTGAATGCGACGCCTACCCGGGCTCGGGAGGGAGACATGCTCGGCCGAGCAATACCTCTTGCTGGTCCTCGAAAATCACACTCTCTAACTTGGCCTCTACAGATGTCCGGCCCGTTGACCGTGATACCCTCGAACCTATACTCTTTCTTCTGCAAAATTCCGACATCGAGGTGCAAAGGGCAGCTAGTGCCGCACTGGGAAATCTTGCTGTCAACAGTAAGGACCAAAGCCCAAGTGAATCTGCATTGGAGGGCAAGTGGCTGACAAGAAACTCTAGCTGAGAACAAGGTTTTGATTGTTCAACTGGGAGGACTGACACCTCTGATCCGGCAAATGATGTCGTCAAATGTCGAAGTCCAGTGCAATGCCGTGGGTTGTATCACCAACTTGGCAACGCACGAGGACAACAAAGCCAAGATTGCCCGGTCTGGGGCTCTTGGTCCACTGACGCGGCTGGCAAGTTCCAAGGACATGAGGGTTCAGAGAAATGCCACCGGGGCCCTCCTGAACATGACGCATTCTGGTGAGTTGAATGAGTAGACTGTTAGCAGCCCCCTTGCTAATGTATTGCTCGTAGACGAGAATCGGCAAGCGCTTGTAAACGCTGGCGCTGTACCTGTGCTGGTTCAGCTCCTGTCCTCCAAGGACGTGGATGTCCAGTACTACTGCACGACGGCCTTGAGCAATATTGCCGTCGATGCTAACAACAGACGGAAGTTGGCCTTGGAAGAAGATCGCCTCGTGCAGTACCTGGTTAAACTCATGGATTCTTCGTCGCCCAAAGTCCAGTGCCAAGCTGCGCTCGCCCTCCGAAATCTAGCATCCGACGAAAAGTATCAGCTAGAGATTGTTGAGGCACACGGGCTGCCCCCCTTACTTCATCTGCTCCAGTCGTCGTATCTCCCCCTCATATTGTCGGCAGTAGCGTGCATTCGCAATATCTCGATCCATCCCAAAAACGAGTCCCCGATCATCGAGGCCGGGTTCCTGAGGCCCCTTGTCGACCTCTTAGGGTCAACTGACAATGAGGAAATCCAGTGTCACGCCATCTCGACACTCCGAAATCTCGCAGCAAGCTCGGACCTGAACAAGGCCCTGGTACTCGAAGCCGGAGCTGTGCAAAAGTGCAAGCAGCTTGTTCTGGAGGTCCCTGTGACGGTGCAGTCGGAAATGACGGCCGCCATTGCTGTGCTTGCCTTGAGTGACGAGCTCAAGACGCACCTTCTGGAGCTCGGTGTATTCGAGGTCCTGATACCCTTAACAAAGTCCTCGAGCATTGAAGTCCAGGGTAATAGCGCTGCTGCGTTGGGGAATCTCTCCTCGAAAGGTTAGTTTGATAAATTCTGGGGCACACACTTCGATGCTAACACTTGAAAATTAGTCGGCGATTACAGCATTTTCATCCAGAACTGGACTGAACCTAGCGATGGCATACACGGCTACTTGAGCAGGTTCCTCGCCAGCGGAGATGCCACGTTTCAGCACATTGCAATCTGGACTCTGCTCCAGTTACTCGAGTCCGAAGATCAGAAGCTCATCAACCTCATTGGCCAGTCTGTCGATGTCGTTGACATGATCAAGCAGATTGCCAACCGGCAAATTGAGTCGGATAACGAACTCGAAGATGATGACGAGAGCGAAGTCGTCAGCTTGGCCCAGCGCTGCCTGGAGCTCCTCGGGCAAGGAATGGCGAAGATTCATATTGAAGGTTGACACACCAACTCTCAGTTTCGTTGTTCTCAGGTTCATTTTCCTGGCTTACCATCATTGGCGTGGAGTTGGCGGCGTCACTATCTGTCTATAATAACACGGGACGGGAGGTCAAGGGCGTGTGGGAGATTTGTATTTTGAACGGTATTGAGGCATCTGGAAGTGGACTCGAGGCCACGCGAGAGCGAAAGGCTCGAGTCTCGGCGTCCATGAACGAGCGACCCAGTTCCATCGCCCGGGGCTCACAAATTTTCCTTTGTATCATGACTACGGAGTCACTCAGATCTTCACACCGGCGGCGGTCTTGACTTATTACCGTAGCACTAGCGCCATGCCCCCCATTCAACCTGTAACCCCATTTTAACATTGCTAACAGCCCTCCCCCTATTCGCGCCGGGCCTAGTTTACCTTCCTCTAAAAAAATGTCATTACACACCGTTAAGATATGCACAAATTCAAATCTCCCAAAGTGCTAAGCTTGACGGTGTTTTTGCATGGATAAGAAACTGCTGCTGGGTAGCGTAAAAGGCTATGTATACAACTATGTGGTCGGTATGTAACGTGTACAAGAATCATGTTGCTGCTTTGGGTAGCACGCAGCGGCTACGACGACAGCGACCCTTGGGCCCTCATGCATCGGATGGCTGGTCTGGACTTCGCAGTGGGTTTCGCACCCATTGGAAGTCCCAGTTCGGTTTGGCCCGGGCGATAATCTTGCCCCTGATCAAAGCCAGGGGTACGGGCCCGAACAGGCGCGAGTCTCGCGATGCGGGCAAGTTGTCCCCTATGACCCAGCAGTGGCCTTGTGGTACCTATAATATTTGTGTAAGTTTCCCGTGCATCGTTCTGTCGCCTTGGTTTCAAAGAGAGACGGGCACCTGGGTGGGCACTTACTTGGATCATGGCGTCACTCGCGCTCTCGGGCGAGTTGACTAGCACGTAGTCGCCCGGCAGGCCAATGACGCGCTTGACGCCCACCTCGTCGTTTATGGGGATGTTGTAGGCAACCACATCGCCCACCGACACGCCGCGCCCGAGCCGGTGCCACTTGGACACCAGCACCCACTCGCCCATAACCTCAAAGGTCGGCAGCATCGACGGGCCCGAAGCCGGCGACGGCCAGAACCCGTACTCGAGGAACAAGTGCGTGAAGGCTAGGTACTTGGTTGTGAAGATGATGAGCCGCAGCGGTCGGTGCAGGAAGATGGTGTCCCGGGCTTCTCTTCCTCCTCCCCCTCCACCGCCGGCGCTTGCCCCGCCTTGCCGACCAACGCTGCCGGCGCCCGTGCTCGCGAACCGCCGGAATGGTTGGCCAAATGCTGATATTCGAAAGGGCGGCATTTTGAATGGCGTAGGTGACACAACCGACGACTTTTATAGATGGAGTCGTCTACTATCTCATGGCGGCATTGGCTAGGTACAGGACGTTGAAGCTTTTATATGAGGCTTGAAAAGAGAGAGAAAAAGCCCAATCTCAAAATGTCAGGAATTGGTTAAGCGTCCTCTGCTTCATGCTCGTTGCTTTGGGACGCAATGTTTAAGACTTCTTCCTTCCGTAGTTGGCTGACTGACACCGTGGTGGATGAGAGCTTCATACACCTCAAACATCAAACAACCCGAGCTAAGACGGCTGTCGACATGAGGGCGCTCCCTGAGAGTCGATGGTAATAGCCCGTGCACGGCAGCTTTTTTGGGGGCTATTGGTGAACGGTGATTGGCCCTAAATTCTCCAAAGCCATTCGAGCTAGCGCGCTATAACTCAGCTGTAACCAGAGGCTCTCGAATAGCGGTCATTAAGGAAAAAAGGCCCGGACCAAACTTTTCTCAAATCCCGCGCCGCCGTCTTGACTTGTCGCCGTCTTCCTCTCCCTCGCCCTCGAAAAGCCCGGGCAGCCATGAAGGGGTCACGATGTCTCTTCAACTCAGCAGCTGCTCTGCGCAGGGTCTTCGTCGGCAATGCGCTCCCGTCTGAAGGGCCATGGCAAATGCACCGCCTAATCTTGCCATTGGCGTCGTCCTCCCGAGCGGCCGCGCCGTCTTCTCAACTACGAGGCTTCGTGTCCTCGGCCCCGTTATCCGCCAATCGCGGCGGCGCAAAAAAGCAGCTCAAGCTTCCAGCGGATCGCTACCCTCGCGACAGGAACATCGACAGCCCGTGGATACAGCTGCGCGACGAGGAGACGGGCCGCCTCTTGGAGCCCGAGCGAACCCGCGACGTCCTAGCCCGTATCGACTTGAAAAATTACAGCCTGGTAACTCTCATGATGCCGAAGGTGGCAGGCGAGGAGGGAGAAGACGACACAGCAGCTGAAGGAGATGACGCGGCGAGAAAGACGGGCAACCCCTACCCCGTCTGCCGCATCATCGACCGCAGGGCCGAGTACGCCGAAGCGCTGGCAAAGAACAAGGAAGAGCGCAAGCAGAACGTGTCCACCAAGGAGGTCGAGATCAACTGGGCCATCGACCCGCACGACCTCCAGACGCGGCTGCGCCAGGTCAAGGGGTTCCTCAACGACGGGTTCAAGGTCGAGATCACGATGCAGAGGAACCCTAAGAAGAGGAAGAAGGTGGCGTCGGCCGACGAGGCCAGGGAGACGTACCAGACTCTCAGGGCGGCCATTGCCGATGTGCCGGGCACGACCGACGTCAAGCCACCCGTGGGCACGGTCGGCACTAGACTCCAACTTGTCTTGCAGGGGCCGCCCAGGGAGAAAAGCGCCAAGGAGCCGAAGCAAAAGCCCGAGAAGCAGAGTGCGATAAGGAGGCGCGAAAGAGCGATGGCACAGAATGCTGAGAATGGCGGACAAACTGCCACGGCCTAGACACCATAAGATTATGTATGTAATATACCCGTATAAATTGATGGTTTTGGGACTAGAATGGGGATGAGTTGACACGGAACGAAACAACCCCCTTTTTTATGTGTGTCTGTTATATAGACTACTTTAACCTGGTCTTCAGACCCCGTGTTTAAAATTTCTCAATAAAAATTCATGTAGATATTTCTCGATAGAATGCTATTCTTGGTTGTTTATATTGAATACTTGACTGAAAAACAGTTTCCCGAGTCACAATGCGCGTCGTCAAGCTTTTCAGAGCAGGGCAGCTTTCTTGAGCTTTCGAAACTACGACTTTCAAAGCCCAGGCACAGGGGTCATGGCGGCTTCTGATTGGGGTGCCTTGCACAATTGCGGGGCGCGGGGTTCAACCTCCCCGCGCATTGATTGCTTTGCTCTGCTTTGCGACTCCGCAACGAACGTTCCCCATCGTGACTCAAAGGCTGTCTCCGAAAAGTCTCACAGCTCTTTGTGAACCTTCGCAACAACCTCGGACAGTTCTATTTGGCCGCTTTCCACAACAAAATTTCGAAGGGTATAACCTGCCAAACCTCTGGTTATACACCTAGGCCAAAGATCAAAGACCGAGGGGTCATTATTCATCGGGGCCGTACATTGCGCCGCACAGTACAGAGCGGGAAGACAGAAAACCTCCCGAGGGCGCCGCATCGAGACAATGGCTTCCGAGGCTAGCGGGGCTCCCGTAGGAGCTCCTGCCTCAGCTCCCGCCCCGGCTGCGACACCAGCCCCGGCAGGGGGGAACCGGCAACCAACGACCGCGGCCGCGGCCGCCTCTCCAACTGCAACTGCAACTGCACCCGCACCGGCGTCTAGCGGCTCGCAGCTCACACCGGTTCAGCTGAAAGCCAAGGCCAAGGCAGAAAAGGCGGCAAGGCGGGCGCAAGTCAAAGAAACAAGGGATGTAGCTGCGCTGGCGGCGCCAGTGCCTCCGGCGGGCGGTGCCGCGTCCGACGCGAAGGGCGGGGCCAAAGGAAAGGGAAAGCAGCAAGATGGCACGCAAGGCACTGGGGCACAAGCTCAGGGGAGACCAGCACATCCGCACCGGCCCTCGATGAGCGGGCGGCGGCCGTCGATCTTGGTGGTCGAGAAAGACGTCCGGAGCGGGATCCCCGAGTGCTTCAGCCATGTGCCCATGGCCAAGAGGATGCCGGCATCGCAGGCCCACAAGGATGTGCACCCGGCGGTGCTGGCTGTCGGCCAGGAGATGGCGACGTTCGCCATCAGAGACAGCATCGCCCGGCTCGAGGCGACACTGCTGGCGTTTAAAAAAGTGAGTTAGAATGCGTCTGTTCGGGGTTTTCCTGTCTGAAGCTTGTCTCTGCTTTGGGCTTTGGAGGCTGACTAGAATTTCTTAGGTCATTGAGTCATACGAGACGCCCAAGGGCAACTCGCTGTCGCGGCACTTCGTTCCTCACGCCTTGAACCCCCAGATTGAGTACCTCACCGAGTGCAGGCCCATGTGCTTTTCCATGGGCAATGCCATCAGGCTGCTCAAGGCAAAGGTCAACAAGTTCGACATCGACACCCCCGAGGACGAAGCCAAAGAGGGCCTCCTGGGCGCGATCGACGTCTTCATCAAGGAGCGAGTCATGCTGGCCGAGTTCGTCATCGCCAGAAACGCGGCGGCCATCATTAAGGACGGTGAGCATGTCCTGACGTACGGCCGGCATCGGCTGGTAGAGAAGACGCTCCTGCAGGCAAGCGAGGACGGGAAGACGTTTGAGGTGTCCATTGTCGACGACCCCTACGACGGCGGCGGCAGAGAGCTCGCCAAGGCGCTGCGGCACGCCGGCATCCGCGTCTTCTACTCGCCGAATCTCGGCGGTCTCAATGCAATCGCGCACCGGGCCACGAATGCGCTCCTTGGGGCAGAGGCCATCTTCGCCAACGGCTCGCTCCAGGCGCCGGCCGGCACTGCCGACGTCGCCATGGCCGTCTCGGCTCAGCTGAAGAAAGTAATCGCCCTGTGCGAGACGATCAACTTTGACCGCGAGCGCATCTCGGTCGACGCGCTCACGTACAACGAGGTTGACCCGGAGCGGAACACGGCTGAGTCGTTCCGCCTGCTGTTCGACAACACGCGGGACAAGTACATTTCGGGCGTTGTCACGGAATTCGAGACGGGTTCGGGCCTGTCTCCGGCCCAGTCCATCCTCGCGCTTCTGAGGAAGCAGGAGGACCCCACCATTGCTTGAAATGGGGTTAGTTAGGGAAGAGACGGGGTGCCCGACCACCTAGCCTAGAGACATTGAAACTGGCACAGTGTATTTTTCTTTGAAAAGAATAGGCTTGATACATAGCTAGACTGGAGCCGGGGCCCTCGATCTCGACCCTCTACGGTGGTGAGGGGCTTTACAAACACCACTAATAGGGTAGCTATCTGCCAAAAGGAGCTGCTTTGTTGTTGTTTTTTTGTACAAGGAAACTTGCTCGTAGCCGGCTGACCTGGGTCCTCTCCAAGGATTGCCATAATGAGTTTCATATACATTCCCCCGATATTTCCTTCCGCCGGAGAGTCAGTTGGCTGCCAAGGCTGTGTTGTTGTCTGTCTCTCTCATGCGGTGGTAGCCTCGGTGCTCTCGGCCTCCCGCTGCGCCCTCCGCGCTCGCTTCTCCAAGATGGCGCTCCTCCGCTCCTGGAGCACTGCCGTCTGCCTCTCGTCGACTCCCTGCAGCCAGTATCCGAAGCTCGCCCCCACGCCGCCGAACAAAGGGTACGCCCAGAGCCGGCTCCGCTCGAACAGCGGCCGCATCTCGATGCCCAGCTGCCAGGCCCGCGTGATCACGCCTACAGACAGGTTCATGGTTAGCAAAATGGAGCCATACCGCACCGCACAGTAGTAGATGGATAGATGGATGACCAGGCCTAATTGGTCTGCTCGGCCGGCCCGCCAGGACAGCTTGCCGGAAGGGTGTGTTTACATACCGAAGCCGGTCCAGAACAGGATCCTGTGCACCATTTTTTCGTTATTTTTGTTGTCCCCCTTCGTCTAGTGCGTCTCGGGTCCGGAGGAGGGAGCTCCAGGGCGCGCCCTTTAATGAAATGCGAGGCGGCGTCGACGAGTCGTGTATCGTGCACGACCCAATTCGGTTTGCCTGTCTAGTTCTTCTTCGGCTGGCCGCTCGTTCGGTGGGGGTGAATTGGTCCGGTCGAGCAGCTCCGCGCCTGAGGTTCGTTTTTGACGACGTTGACGTTGACGTTGTGGGTCGTGGTGGTGGTGGTTTGGAAATCGCGGGCCTGTGGGGGCTTGACTTGCCTCTGGCGAATTGGAATCATCGATTTGGTAGGTGAAGCTCTGGCGTGCACGGGCCGTTTGGTGCCCCGACCAAGCGCTGCGAAGGGTAGTCCGTCTTGTGGCGTGCATGAAAACCCCTGCCATGCCGTCCTTGCTTTCCGCCCCTTACTTCCTAATCTAGCGCATTTCGAACACTTGCAAAGGCGCTCTCTGCCCCACTAGAATCGTCCTCACCAGCGCCAGCGCTCAAGGCTCTCAACTACACCCGAGTTTCGTGCCGCTGTGGAATTTCGTTGATCACCCGGAAACGCAAAGACATAGCTCTTGTTCACGCGCATCATTTTTTCGTCTTTATTTCCTCTCTTCTCCATCGCTGCTTTCGTTTGGTTCTAGTTTTGCCGGCTTGCATCCGAACTACGCGCTCTTCCCTCTCATTGTGTTCCTTCCTTCCGTCCCGAGCTTCTGGTACATACATCGACATCCTGCCGTGAGCAATGACTTGGTAAGCGGCCCAACCGCGAACCTCGTCGTCGCCAAAGGCGGATTAGATATCTAGACCAAGACAGGTCGCTTCCGCGCTCCTTTTCTTTACCTTGTCTACAATTGCCATCGCATCCATGTCTTCTGCGGTTCGAGCTCCATTCATCACCGGCGCGACTGCCATGGCGCCAGATGTCGCTACGCCGCCGGGCGCCAGGAAGTTCAAGGCGTCCGACTTGCCACTCTCTTCAGCTCTGCGGTCTGCTATTGATGGCCTAGCACACAGCTTCAAGAAGAAGGGCGGATACGACGCGATTCGCAAACAGGTTTGGGAGAAATTCGAGGCCAGCGTATGTCTATGCCTTTTTCTTTTTCTACTTTCGCTTGCTTGCTCGTTTCACCCCCACCAAACGTCTCGTGTACCATTTGTATCTCGTGTTTTATCTTTCCGCGGCTGACAGTTGGTTATAGGACTACGAGGCGGAAATCATGAAAGCAATCCGTAAAATTGCTGAGCAAGAAGTTGAGCGCAATCCGGTCCAACTTTTGACGCTCGAGCGAGGCAAAGCTGCTGCCCTTATCGACGGCGCCGTGGATCGCGGAGGCATATATCAAAAGGCCGAGGCAGTCATCGATAGCCTTATTGACAGCGCCGCCATTGAGGCCCGCATTCGTGAGTTGCGACGTGCCGAGATCGGCGACGAGGCCGCCGAGGAAGAGTGCATCCGTGGCACCAAGACCGACGAAGATTATGCGGCCGAGACAGCGGCACGGCGGGCCGAGCGCGAGCGAGTTCGCGAGGAGCTGAAATTGGTTGAAGAGCGGAAACGACAACTTGAGCGCGAGATCCAGGAGAGAGAGGAGATGAAGCAGCGTGAGGAGGAGAAGGCGGCCCGAGAGGCGCGCCGTAAGAAAGAAGAAAAAGAGGCTGCGCTTCGAGAGAAGGAACGGCAAGAGCGACGCGAACAGCGCGAGCGCGAGAGAGAACGGAGTCGCGAGCGTCGTGAAAAGGAGCGCGAGCAGCGAGATAGGGAGAAGCACCGAGAGCGAAGCCGCGACAGAGATCGCCATCGTGATCGCGATCGGGAACGGGACCGAGATCGGAACCGGGACCACGAACGTCCTAAAGCGCGTTCAAGAGAGCGAGCTAGGGACGAAAACAGAGACCGGGATCGACATCGCGACGTGCAGGAGAGTCGCGACCCGAAACCAAAGGCCAGCAAGGATGAGGGACGACGAGAGGAGGCAAAGAAGCAACTCACCAAGGAAGACCACGAGCGTCTCGAGCGCGAGGCGCTTGAGGATCTTCTACGTGAGAGCAAACGCGTGTCTTCAAAACTCCCTGAATTGGAGGTCGACGCAGCTCTAATCCCCCCGCCAAGACGAACCATGCCGGCCTCCGCTATCGATCCCATTCGCCGCGGGTCCCCAAGGATTCCCGAAATGAAAAAGCCAGCACAGCCAGAAACTGCGACCAAGCCTCCAGAGTCCAAGGACGCCGCCAAAGAGATTAAAGAGGTCAAAGACGCCAAGGAGCCCAAGGATTCGAAAGAATCCAAGGATACCAAGACTTCCAATGAAACGAAGGAGACAAAGGAGACGAAGGAGACAAAGGGAACGAATGAGACGAAGGGAACGAAGGAAACCAAGGACGCTAAGGCACCCAAAGACACCAAGGAGACCAAAGATGCCAAGGATGCCAAGGATCAAGGGGCCAAGGATGAGAAGCGCAGGAGTAGGAGTCCCTCGCGCGTCTCCCGCTACCGAGATAAGGATCGGGATCGTGATCATGACCGCGACCGTGACCGCGACCGTGACCGCGACCGTGGCCGAAATGAAGATCGTAGGCGACGGGATCATCGTTCCAGTTCCCCACGACCTCGACGCACCAATCACAGCCATTCCCGGAGAAGAGACCGCAGCCGCTCCAGGATTCGAGATACTAGAAAGGACGAGCGAAGAGACCGCAGCCGTTCTCGAGCCAGACCGGAACGGCGCGATGACCGGAAAGTGGAGCCCAAAGAAAGGAGCCGCTCCCGAGCGAAGACGGATCGCCGCGAGAGAAGTCGATCCCGTCCCAGAGCAGACCGGAGAGAGCCTGAGAAGAAAGCCCGGAGCCGCTCTCGTGTCCGGGAGCAAAGCCGCTCATCGCGCTACCGTGTTAATCGGCGGGAACATTCACGATCGCGCTTGCGATCCAGTCGCCGAGACAAGAGCCCGCGCGCTAACTCTCGCTCTCGCTCTCGAGACCGTGACCGTGACCGTGATCGGGATCGGCGCGATAAGCGGGAGCGCAGCCGCTCCCCCAATCCTAAACCGGACGCGAAACGTGATACTGACCGACGTGAGCGGAGTGGCGAACGCGACAAAGAGCAGCGAGACAGGGGTAGGGAACGAGACCGCAAGAGCCGCTCCAGGTCACCAACAACCGTAGCCCGTCCTCCATCCCATCTGGGCCGCGACGAGAAAGAAGCCTGGAAGCAAGCCGAGGTGAAGAAGCGCGAGCAGGAAGCTAAAGCCTACCTTGCCGCCCAGAAAGTAGCCAGAGAGAAAGGCATGCCAATTCCCGGTATCGACGACAAACGGCTTGGAGAGCGGTCGCCGGACCTCAAGCGCCGTCGCGAGCCTGAGGAGATTGATCGATACGTCCCACCGGAGCGCGAGCGCGAGAAAGAGCGTCGTCCCGCCGCAGACCGCTACCGCGATGGCGATCGCGATAGAGACAGAGACCGTGATAGAGATGGAGACCGCCATCGCCCCCGCGATCGAGACCGTGATCGTGATCGCGACCGTGACAGGGACGATCGGCGGGAGAGACGTCGGACTAGAAGCCCCAGCCGTGAACGAGACAGGACGGTAAGAGAGCGAGAGCGAGACCGAGACCGAGACCGTGATCGTGATACCAAGGAGAGAGATCGGGACACTAAAGACAGAGACCGGGATAGAAATAGGGATCAGGACCTGGACCGTTACACGCGCCGCAGCAGCCGACGGCGCACATCAAGCATCGGATCAACCCGTCGGGATCGGGATCGAGACAGAGACGGCGACCGCCGCGACAGAAGCCGCAGCCGAAGGCGCAATTGATCCCGCACACGAATCCTCCAGCATAGAGAAGTTTATTTTCTCACGCCTGATTTGATCTTTTGGTTCATGGCCTCCAGCTTTGCCTCTTCTTCAGGCTCCAGCATCATCACGGCGGCCTAGCTATGCGCTGTTATGGGTAATGTACAGGTACTATCAACGTTGAGAATATGGCACAGACCATTCAACGAACGAGAGGCACGGGTAACGGAACGGGGTGGGTGGCAATAGCGTTGCGGTATTTTATGGTGGCGTCAGGGGAGGGAGGTCGGGAGGAAGCTTTCATTTGAAAGAAGCTGTGTAGGATTCCTGTACGAGTATGTAGTATTTCATGTTCACGCCAGATTATCTGGACAAGGCGGGTAGGCGAGGAGCAGCCAGGTTTAGCATCTTGCAGCCCTAGCAACGAGAGCTTTGGTCCGCGATGGTTTACACATTACGTCTTCTATCGTCGTCGGCATCATTAACCCGACCTCTCTTGCCGTTTATCACACCTTACTACTAGATTAGGTAGATACTTAACAAAAATCTCGCGGGACACTTCTCTGCCTCTCCGGTGACACTTGTCAATGTCGTTGCACCGGGCATGGTGAGCGGGAGATGTAAACAATGTATGCAAAAACATTTTCTTTCCTCCAGTATCGGCCCCCCACCCTTGAACGGATACAGATCCATCTTCTCGCTTTCGCCACCTAATTCGCTCTCTCTTGCCAACCGCCCGGGAATCTACCTATCCAATTCCCATTACATTCCAAACTCAGACACTGAGAAAGACTTACAGACCGTCATGCCGTTTTCCGCGTGTCGTCCGCCTTATTACGTACATGCACAGTCCCCTTCCCATAGTCAGTCTACCCATCCATCCATCCATCCATCCATCCGTCCATCCATCCATCCATCCGGATATACATTCATATGATGTCTGCACATATTTGTTTCCTAGAGGGGCAATTCCAGAACGCGTAACAAATCATGGACGAGCAAGCCAGACGCGAGGGGGGAGAGGGGGAAGAAGGGCATCGAACTGTAAGAAAAGGGAAACGCAACAGACCACGCAATGTAAAAAGCAAAAATGAACAGAGACAGGAAATATAAAGAGTACGTATATAGCTGATACACGAACGACCCTATGCCAGCCAGCCAGCCCCGTCCAGCCCAGTCCCGACCCGAAACGGAAACAAAGAAACCACAAAAAGATACTTCATGATGTCAAAAATGACCCCCAAGAAATATATGCTTGTGTGGTATATGCACAGTCGCTCGCTAGCCTGGTGTTAGTTCATTTACGTTGCCCGCCTCTCCTGTCCAACCCCCAATCTTGCAATGTGAAATGTGCAAAGAATGACGGAAAAAAGGGATGGTATGCAGAAAAAGATTTCCCCTCCCTCCCCTCGCCCAATTCCAGTTAGATTATAAAAGCGACACTCTTTACTCGCTTGCTCACTTTGATTCGCACGCTCGCTTGATTCGGTGGCCTCTCCCTTCTCTCTATTCTCTCTTCGTGCGCCTCCATGTCTATTATCCACATAAAGAAGGCAGAACTTCTTGGCTTGCGTAAAAACACAGGTGCGAGAGAACACAACAGCCGGCTAAAAAAGCAGGACAAAGCCGCCTTTTCTATAATTTGTCAAAAAGTTTCGTTTTACCATTCTACGCCTCGGGCTTTAAGAAGTAGGCGTCCCCCCCGCTGCGCCAGATAATGACGCCTGCACCGCGGCAACAGCGTTGGCGCCCGTGCCAGTTCCGTAGAGAGCGCCCGCGACGAGGATGACGACGGTGAGCGTGCCGAGCGTCATGAAGAGGGCGCGGCGGAAGGCGGGCGGTAGACGGCTTTCATCGGCGCGCGTTGGTGCCTCCCACAGGGAGCGTATCCAGAGCCAAATGGCCGACGAAACGCCCGTGATCTGCTCCCAGCCAACCGAGTAGTAAACGAGGCCGCCGAGGGCGACGGCGTAGCCGCAGAACTGGAGGGGCGTGATGGACGTGTGCCAGATCATGACCGAGGCGACCACGAGGAGGATGTTTTTCAAGATTCCCGTCAGCGTCATGACGAGGCTCGACGTCTTGCCAATCTGTTTTTGGCTCTAGTCAGTACCGGCCCTCGTTCACAACAGCCCGCCCCGAACAAGAGATACAGAGAACAACATACCAAGAAAACACTGCTGACGTTCAGCATGAAAGCGACAATGGCGTTGAGCAACAACAACCAGTAGCCGCACTTGGCCAAGTCGGCAAAGTCGAAAGAGTTCGCCTCCGAGGGGATGGCAATCAGGATGTTCATCAAGGCGCAGACAGGGGCATAGTAGTATAGGCTGACGAGGGGGTCCATCTTCTGGCCGTCCTCGGACAGCAGGACCTGAATCATGACGAGGCGAACGGCCTCGAAGATGATGCCGCCGATCTGAAATAGGAAGCCCGTCAGGCTGAAGTCGATCTCGCCGAAGCTAGCAAGCGCGACACCGCCCACGATGAGCAGAACGTTTAACAGGCGCTTCAGCGACGGGTCCTCGACGCGCCAGGCCCACGAAGTGAGCAGCACGGCGACGGGCGCCGCTGACTTGAGCATCTGGATGAATGCTACGCTCAGGTAGAGGTAGACCATGTTGCTGCACACCAAACTGGCGCTATAGAGAAGCCCAATAGGCACGATAGCGCGCAGGTATAGTTTGCCCGTCATCTTGACGTTTTTGCGACCGTCCAGCAAGTGCGTCGTCTTCGCCAGGATCTGGGTCGCGACCGTCGCGAATATAAGATGCCAACATGTTAGGATAACAGCTGCGCAGGCCTCGTTAGCATGATGGAGGGGAGGTTAATTATCGGTAGTGCGAGAGACCACATACGGTATCCTAAGTAAGAAAGAGTCAGCAACTGGTCACTGTCGATCGCGACTCCAAACGTCGGGGCCGGTCACGGTCACGGTCACGGTCACGGTCACGGTCAGGTCACGGAGCGCGAAGGAAACTTACTGAATCCTCGGTTGTCAATTAACCACTTATTAAAGAGAATGGTGAGATTAGAGAAGAATATCCAACTCCTGAATCGCGAGCAGACAGACGGTTAGCTTTGCTGACAGCGACTACCAGAGCCCGGCGACAACCACCTACGTGATGTGGACAATGGGATGAACTGATCGCCCGGCAGGCTGCGGCTTCTCCGTCGGCTGTCCCGTCTCCTCATCGGCCATGAGCGCCCGCTGATCGACAGAGTCTCGTGTCATGGTGGGCGCGTCTTGTCGTCGTCGTCGTCGAGAGGCGATGCAAAATGGCGGTAAGAAGTGACTTGCGGTCGGTAATTAGAGAGCGAGAGAGAGAGAGTAAGTCGGAAGGCCCAGTTCTCTCGGGGAGAAGTGGTTGGTCTTTCGGAGACGCGTAAGGAACGAACGAAGCGTATTTGTCAAGACGCTCACTCGGGGTCACCTATAGGTGGCATGGGCTGCTGCTGCTTTAGGGAGGGGAGGTACAGAAAAGGACGATAAAATGATCAAAAAAGCGATCGGCTTATTAAAAAAGGAACCCCCAAGAATTGATGATCCGGCGAGGGGAGGTCGGCCGCAGGTACGGTGGGCGGCAAAAGAAAATGGAAGCCTGGGGTGAGCGGTGCGGCCAGCTGAATTAAAAACGACCGCCTTTCCGCCCGTGCGACAATGGGGTAGCGAGTGCGACAGTTGAAGAGGCGAAAGGCCAATCCAGCACTGCGAACCGGATTCGGGGGTGCTGCGGCACGGGGGAAATTCGTGCGTGGCGGAGTGCTGGCTCTTAAAGTCGGCCGCAAGCAGGTACGGACAGAGAATGCAAGGATTATACAGAAATAACAGGGGGCGCCTGTTGTAAATCTACCAGGCGGGGCAGTTTGTCGGTCGTGGGAATAGCGCAGCGTCCTAGGGCCCGCGTTGAGAAGTAGCAGTGTTAAAGGAGAGTCGTTGTCTTTTTTTTCTTTTTTTGGACGGCTAATAATTATGAATGGCAATGGATGAATCGGGAACAGCTGGGGAAACTCGCAATCTTCATTTCTCGGTCATGAGGCGCGTTGGTTGGGGAAAGGGGAATCGCTTTTACGAACGCTAGCAAACTGTCAGTGCCAAGGGAGAAGGAGCATAATAAGCCCAGCCAAGCCTTCAGTTCATTGGCCGAGGAGGGGGGGCACCATCATCGTGAGTCCCAACAGCAGCGCAATGAGACGGCACCTGCGAGTCAGAGTCCGCTTCTCGATCTGTGCTTAGGTTGTTGTCGGGCTCATTAAGGAGAAACAGATGGCCAGATCATGGGCCTCAGCCCATTGGCCGGGCGCGGACAGGGCAGGAAAACATAAAGCATCAGGTCGCACAAATTCCACTATTGGGAGCATTGGATTTCCCAGCTGTCTTACTCTCGCATGTGGGAATCAAAGCAACCGCAACGGCCAGGAGGTGCCAAGCAACTACCGAACGAAAGCCCACCCAACGGCGAGTGCCTGGCTTCAGCTCAGGGGGCGAACCCACATTTGCCAGGCAGGTACGAACTTCGTTGGAAGGAGCGAGAACGAGCCCGGTTGCCGATAGGTTAATAACCTTTCTGGCAGCGTGTTTGTTGTTATGATAAACCCTCCTTCATTTGGCTGGGCAAGAAACCTTATTAATAAGTAGTATCCATAGCTTTATGCATAAACTCGTTAACGCCAACCACGCAAGCTATACTATATAAATCCGTCGCATCCGCCGCGGTCCACAAAGAAGGCCTCTTCCTTCCCCGTGCAAGCGGCACCGTTATCCGATGCGCGTCTCTCTACCTTTGGCCCTGTATAGTACTGTACCATTCGCAATCCGCCGTCGACACTGGAGACCACGACAACAATGCGCTTCTGCCATTCGAGTTTAGTGCAAAGGGCACCAAAATTGTCCAGATATTAGCCCAGCATGTATGAGGATGATTGCATCCATGCGGAGCGGCAGGTGACAGTTGATACTGCCCATCTTTTTGACAAGCAGGGCTTTTGACAAGCGGAGCTGCTTTCGTCCAAAGTTCCACCCAGCTAGCGGCCAGCTTCCGAAACATCTCAGTGCCCCCCCACGCCTGTCTCAAACTTTCCACATCACATGGTCGAAGGCAATTCCTCCAGTAGAATAGGTAAGGTATATATATACACAGTGAGAACAGAGTAGGTATATACCAGTACAGACTCGTCACAATGTCTATGTCTACCAGCTGCAGGAAAAAAAATACCCCTCTGCCTCTGACAATAACAAGTTGCGTTAGAACTAAAGTTCTTACTACCAGAACCCTCGGTGGGTCAAAGTGTCTTACACGAACTACGGATACTCCGTGCCTAGACTCTACCTTGGTGTCAGGCGCGAGCAGTAACGATGAACGACCGTTGCGCTTGTGGCGAGTCCAACGAATTCTAACTTGAACGACATGTCTTGAGCCACCTCGCCAAGCACAAACAAGTAAAGCAAAAAAGTGACCCGAAAACCTGGCCGTCGGGTAGGTACCAGGTGCGTATTCCCGTTCCCACGATCCGCGGTGACCCGAAGTAGCAGTGTCACATGTGGTATCCCTTTTGATGAAACGCCTTTTCGCTATGCAAAATCAGCCGCTGAACCAGACAAGAACCTCCGAGCCACACAATTCCTTTAGTCGATTGCGATATCTTGATCAAAATCCGCTTCCTCGGGCGGGAGAGGTATTGATACCGCCGCCGCGAGAACCTCACCTAGCCCCTCGGTCGCCGCATTCGAGCCTGTCCCGGTAGGTTTCGTTGTCTCATCCGTCCCACATTCCTCGGGAAGGTCTTGGTGGAGCGGCGTAATGGTCGCCTCGGATGCTAGCGAGTCGATATTATCGTCCTGCAACTGTTGCGATGCGTCCCTGTAGTCATCAAGGCTAGAAGTTTGTACAGAGGCCGGATCGATGCAGTCATAAAAGAGCATGAAGACGCCACCCTGGGCAAGGACGGTTGATTCGTACACCTTGGTCACGGTTTGATCGCTGAGCCGCCACCACTGAGACTGCCCCTCAGTCTCGGGCGCGGGCTCCTCTGGGTCAGGTGCCGTCGTGTCTTCTGCGTCGTTTATCGCCGGTTCTTTCGGCTCTTGCGCCTGTGTCTTCTCGTCATGAACAGGATCGCCCTTGTCGGCAGCATCGTCATCGGAGGCGAGTCGGGGTGGCTGTTCCGCATCGCCGGCTGCTTCACTGTCTACCGGTTCCCTTTTCACAGTCTCGCTGGACGGCGGATGTCTCCTGTAGCAAACGTAATGGCCGTTTTCATGCCGCCCATAGTGCGTGATAACAGCCCTCAATTCGTATATGGGTCCCGTGATCTTAGAACGGTGCCGGGTTCCGGCTACCATTGACAAAGTGGGCTCGAGCAGCCACTGTTCTTCGTCACGGGAGTCGGCTTCCGTCTCTCCATCCTCGATGCTTTTGTCTGCCATTGCGTCAGACTGCTCGGTTAGTTTATCGGCGCTGCCTAGACACCAGGGCCCCAGGTCCAGCGTCATCGGGAACCTGACTGCAGACATATTTTTGGACATACGGCCGCTGGTCTCATCAAAGACAGATCGGTTCATGTGGACCGCCAGGCTCTGAGGAGGGCGAGCAATGACAGCCTGTTTTGTTTTGGTCGAGGTCGACATTTGCCGAGCTGGGACCTTGCACTTGTTCCGGAGCGTGTCCTCGTCAAAAGCGTCATCTTCGAGCGCCTCCTCAACAGCAGCCACCCTCTCATTCACCCCGGGGAGATCCTCATCGGCCTTTCCAGCATCCCTGTTTCGCTGCAACAGAGTCTTCAAGAGATGCAATCTTTTGAGCAGAGTGCATTTGGCGCATTCGACTCCTTGGATGGGCTCTACCTTGGTGTAGCTGTCCAATATTTCGTACAAGTTATGCTCGGTGTAATTAACACCGAGATTAAGTGTCAAGCAGTTGAACGGGATCATCGACAGGCCTTCGCAGTAGCCGCATGTAACGCACGCCACGCGCTGCGCAACGAGGCCGACAAGCGGATTCCTGATGGATCGAGGCTCAAAGCCGGCCCTGGAGTGGCTTGACTGGCTATGGTAGCCACTGTCATCACTGTGCTGGCTCGAGGAGGCGTCGTCCTTTGCCCAGTCTTGTTCGAGCCCCGGCGGCTTGTATCGGGCTCCGGCAACTTTCGCAATCTCTTTGTCAATATTATCGAGTAGCTTCGAAAAGTACTCCTGCGCATCCTGCTGTTGCCACGAACTCATGTTCTTCAGTGCACCGGGAGTCCAGAGGGTCCTCCCGTTGTTAGACGCGTTTGTCAGATCGGTAATCAGGTCGCGAAGAGCATCGACGGTGCCCGTAGGTAGCCGCTCGCTGCTCTCCCCATCTGTCAGGGCCGATAGGTAGGCGGGAAACGACTTGAGCGCGGCGAGACTCTGGAGAATGCTGTTCTGGTAACAAGAGTTGTCGTAGTTGCCTAGGCCCGCTGGCTGATCCGTCGCGGTTTTGGTTCCCAGGGCCGTGCCAGACAATCCATTTATGCCCATACGCCCAACTCGAGAAACGGACGAAATGATCCCCCCGGGTTTGTCAAGACCCAGCACCCTCCGCAGGACCTCGCTCTTGGCCGCATGGGTTCTAGATTGTGTCTGAAGCATTGGGAGCGGGAAGAGAGGCGGGTTGAGCCAGCGATCTATCGCGAAGAGTAACCTCGACGGGGTTATGGCTACCAGGCGGTCCCACAGGTATCCGGGGGCCTGCGGCAGACCCCTGTGCTGCAGCAGGAGCGTGAGGGCGAGGATGATGACGGGGACAATGACGGCCGGGCTAGTCGCACGTTTCCACAACAGCTGGGCCTGGCCCTGGCCGTAGTACTGGTACAGATCGGGGTTCGCGTAAGAATCGTACTGGCGTAGGAGGCGTCTGGTATCGGAATTCATCCTGGCATGCGGGAGAGGAGAAGCAGGTTGGCTACGAGCGGAGGTCAGCGATGTGCTAACCTAACGATGCGTCGTCGAGGCCGCGTAGCCCTGCGATTGTTGCCGCAAAAACTGGGTGGGATGTGAACCGATTGTGGACGACTTCATTTGGTCGCGAAAATTCCATAACCGGTAGATGGGCGCGCAGCTTCCCCAGCCGGTCTGTAGATAAAGTAGAAAAGTCACCTTGGCACGCAGTGGAGGAGAAGCTGGGAGGTTTTGGTCTGGGAGCTGGCCGTCCGTGGATTATTTGAACTCTGAAGGCTCTTTCCCAGTGTCGCGGCACGAACCAGGGCTTAAACGCCACGACAGCTTGTTACATCAACCCATGCAGGCTGAGGCGGGGCCAATTGCCATGCATGACAGCGGGCCAGCCAGTTGGCTCAAGCCCAGAATCAGATGCTAAAACCTGGCAAATGGGTCCGCTAAAAAACGACGATCAGGTACTTCGGTGCGTAGCCCGTAGTAGCTTGCGCAGAGACGGAGACGCCTGTTCAGTTTTGGGGAAATCGAAATCAAGTGCTTCCGTAACCCCCACCACGAACAAAGGCAAAAAAAAAAAAGAATGATACGGAATACAAAACTCCAAAACCTCTAGCACCTATCGGACGATTATAAGACACCGCTTGAAACCTACCGATCATACAAGATGGGCAAAGGCAATATTTCCAGGCCGAAGAAAGGTGAGAGCTCAGGAATCAGAAACCCCACCCCAATTTTCCTATAATAATAATATTTTTCTAACGATTTTTCCCGTCCTTCCAGGCACATCCGTCCACTCCCGTGCGGCGAGGCGGGCGACGGCACCCGACATCGACACGGATAAGTCGCTGAAGAACGTCAAGGCGCCCTCGCTGGCGGCGGCGCAGAACATTGGCGACGACGCGCGGCAGGCGGTGCTAGGAGTGCATGCGGGGAGCGGGATCAACAAGCGGAGCAGCAACAAGAAGACGGCGCTGAGCGCCAAGGCGCGGCGGCGGCAGGAGAAGAGCCAGGACAAGGCCGAGGCCATCATGGACCGGACGGCCAAGAAGGTGGAGCGCAGCAAGGGCCAGGCCCGCGTCATCTTCTCGCGCCGCAAGACGTGGGACGAGGTCAACAAGCACGCCCTTAGCGTCGTGGCCGGCGGCGGCAAGCCGGGTGCCGTGCCCGTCGGCAGGTTCATGGCGCCCGACGAGGATCTGCACGGGGACGACGACGACAACGACTTGGAGAACAACGCCCAGGAGAGGGGCGACGTGATGATGATTGAAGAGGCGCCGATAGCGTCCTCTGCGTCCATACCTCCGCCCCCACCTCCGGATGTCGAGGACGTGATCCTCTAGTTCTCTTGTTTCCTTTTTTTTATCTTTTTATTTCATTCCGCCACTCCATCATGGCAATGGCAATGGCAATGGCAATGGCAGCAGCAGCTTTCGATCATGGGGGTGAAGAAAATCGGGCGGCGCATCGGGTTTGGCGTTTCGGCATATCACATACATATATACCAAGGGAGGCGAGGTTATAGACACAGAAAAGGAGAGAGAAAAAGCCCGGTGGCTGATGAGTCGTTTGTTGCACGAGGGGGGGTTATATCCATCCCACCCATATTGTCCCACGGCGCCCGCATACCGCGACAGCAGCGTAGGGCTCTGATCTTGAATCACGAACTAAATTTATTGCTGTCCAAGTCTGTGAATTCAAATTGGTCAGCCACTGAAGAGAAAATACAGCCTACCACAGGGCCATGTTCTACGCAGTGAGAATGAGGATGCTCTTTTTCATGCGTGCTGTGCAGGTGAGGAAATCGGTGTGTGGCTTGCAAGGCGTACTTAGTATATTACCTTTCGCCATCATTTACAGTCTTGCACGTCAACTGTCTCTTCTTGGCACGAGAGTGTGCGCTAAAGATGAATAGACGTTGTGAGCCGTTCTTGGTTCGCACTGAAAAGTTAAATTAAATGTAAGATTCGCTTTCTACTCCCAAGCCATTTTCTGGCTTGGAAAGCAAAAAAAAAAAAACGAGAGAATATTGAGACTTGACCCGAATGGCTTGATTGGTATTAGCTAATATATACATAGATGCGATAACAGGTCTTGCTACATAGTGCAGCGATGTGGCGCGCCACTGTTTGTCTTGTCCATTCGCTGACAGGGGGTGTGAGGGCGGACGACGTCAGCCAAAAATGTGACGACACCTCAACCACGAAAAACGCCATGGACCAGACAAGGCTTCTCACCCTCACCGGCCCGAGCCAGCAATCCCCCAGAACAACTCACAACTAAATCGCAAAATTATCTGGAAATTTTTACCTCAGGCCGCTGGATCTTCTTAGACGCAATGCGACAAATCTTGGTTTCGTACCGAAATCGTCAGTGGCACCTTGCCGGTGCCTGCAAAAGCCCTTTGAAGCGACGGTTGAGGTCGTCACTCGAAATGTGACGTAAGAGAGGCCTTTCGACAAGACGAACTGGCAGCTAAAGCACTGGCAGCTAAAGCACGTCACTCAAATCTAACTTCTCCGACAATGCCAAAATTTCCACCGTGATGTGATCACGTATATCCCCTAGTCGCCGGTTTTCCTGTTTCACATCTGGGCAAAGCTCTTTCATCCCTGGAACGCCTTTTTGTCCCGTTGTTAATATGCTGTTGACACTCATAACTTTCGTGGCAGAAGGCTACGAACCCCTCGTCTCCAGTGATGACGATATCGCACTGGGAGTGACAGGTTTTGAGACTGGCCTTGATCATTCCGTGCAGAATCTGTAGATTTCATCCTCCAAATGTTGAATGCTCAGGACTGAACATTGCGTCAGGCATATGGTCATAGTTGATGCCCGGCTCTCTCTTGAAAGTGGGAGAACTGAGGCTAGGGAATCCACCATCGGTGGGTGGCGTGTAGAACGAAGGCCCTGAGAGTGTGAGTCTAGGAACCGACCACCACTATCCGCGTCTCGTTTTCTTACTTACCGTTAGTGTAGGCCATACTGCCCTGTCTCTCCCCCGGGCCAATGCTATCAAACTGGACACCTTGCAGAGCTTGGTAAGCTGAGGCGATGCTGGGGTTTCGGCTGCTCGGAGAGCTGGTTGATATCCCAGACTGGCTAGCCTGGCCGAAGTTGGCGTTGGCGAATGACGGGCCGAAAGGCTCGTTGGAGGTTTGGACAATCCGCCTGGCCTCGTTGTTGAGCCACTGGTCAATGTTCGGGTCGTTGCACTTGGCGTGGGCCATCAAGTGATACTTCAGGCCTTTGACCTCGCTATCCAAGTCGTTATACTCTATCAGTAGTTGTGCGTGTTGCGCTTCGAGGCCGATTTTGTTCTCCTCCAAGCTAGAGACAAACTTCTTCTTCTTCTCTCGGCATTTGCTGGCAGCCACGCGGTTTCGCTCGAGGAACTTGTTCCTCTTGTGCTCGTCCTCCATGCCGACCTCTTTCTTGGCTTTCCTCGACTTGTTCTTCTTGGGCGGGCCCTGATCTGGTGGGGTGGTGTCTGCCGACACGCTGGCCGACTTTGTAGTCCTCTGCGAGCTCGACTTGCTGCTCGATGTTCTCCGAGTGGAGGGCCGGGACATGTCCATGGACAGGGCCTGCATCTGCATGTCTTCGTTCTCGCTTTCACCGCCGTACAGTCCGGGGTCGACAAACATTGGCCTGTGGTCAGCTGGCATAGCTCCCATGTGCTCGGCAAAGTCGTCCCACGCGCATGGCCTCGAGTCCAAGCCTCTATCGCCCGCGGACGTGGGCGAGCTGTCGAGACCTATTTTCCCGTTGCACGGCTGGAACGAATGCATGGCGCCACCGCGGTCTACTGCTGCATCATGCTCTGGACTGTGGTAGGAGATTGGGTCTTCAAAGTCGATGCAGTCATTGAAGAAATGAGACGGCGTGTCCATTTCGCCTCGTGTGGTCTCTTCCCTGCCCTCGACCGGCGAAGAGTCAGTACCACCAGGCGTTATTAGCAGCAACGAGAGCGACGGCGGCGCCGGGGCGGGGGGGGTGAGACTCGGTTGTGTTTGGAGGGACGGGTCTGGTTGGGGGTTTATGAGGGAGCCCGGGTGCTGTCCACTCGGGAAGCTACCATGGAGGCACCGGAGGTAAGCTCCGGGGCGGCCTTGGAGCTGGGGCGGGAAGGACCGTGAGGCGGCGCAGCTGCCTCTTTTCACCTCAACCTTTACGAAGGGGGAGGTCGGCCTTTTGGCGGCAGGCCAAGGGGGAGGTCGGCCTTTTGGCGACAGGCCTTTGGGCAGGTTGCTGTGGCCACGAACTTAGTCCAGCTGTTCGGGCAGGGCAAGAGAATGATGGCGGGCGACGGCGGCGGGGGGTGGAGGCTGGAGGCTGGAGGCTGGGGGCTGGGGGCGGGGGCGGAATTGACGACTTTCTAGGAAGAACATTGTCTGCGCCGTTGTTGCAGCCGACGTTTGTTCGACATACCTTTTGGCTGTTTCGCGAGCTGTGTTGGGCCCCTTTAGAGCGACGGCGCGGTTGCTTGTGTGGCGTGGACGTAGGCAGGGTGGTCTGGTAGGTAGGTAGGACTGCCGCTTGCACGGGTGCGGCGGCCCGGCTTACAAGCACTCGCGCGGTATGTCCTCGCCGCCCTCACCTTGGCTGGGGGCCGTCTCTTTTTTTGCGGGAATGCTATGCAACAACGCCTATTCGCTCAAGCCCGTTGGAGAGTGTCGTGCATTCCTTTGTCGCGCGTTGGTGGGCGTGGGAGCGAGCTCGGGGTGGTAGCAAAGACGGCAAATCGCTCGATCCCGAGAGCTTTCTCTGGGTGGGCAGCCCGCCTCAAGATTGGCGGATGCGTGAGATATTTCTTCTGGCTGATATATGGCAAGCAAGTTTGCAGGGCGAAAAGGGATGTCGAGAAGGAAAACGGAGGTGGACAAGCTGGGCGAACATGTCGTCCAGTCCGGAGCTGCAGGAGAAAAGGCTATGGGAATCAGGAATCGGGGCACAGGTCAAGCAAGGAAGCTATGCTGGCTCGGCCAGACAAAGATGGCTTTCCACTGGATCGCACAGATGCAGCTGCGAGCTTTGAAGCTCAGGTGGGCATGGACAAGGGCAGCGGGGAGCAAGCAGTGGGCAGTTTGCGGGCGAGGACGAGGGCGAGGGCGAGGAGGGCAGTGGAGGCAAATTGGGCAGCTAGCGAACAAGCTCAGCAAGCTTCCAAGTTGTGCAGCTTCTTCCCTGCCCGCCTAGACGTGGTGCCTGGGTTCCGTGTGGACGATGGGAGGCGAGCGAGCACGCTTGCGGCGACTACCTTGGTACTAAGCAGCTTCGTCCAGGTCCGTCCAATGCTACTTGTATCCATCTTCATGATTCGTACAGTACATTCCTACCTCCGGTCCCAAGAGCCTACCTAGAACTGGGGCGCCAGGAATATGCCCGGAGTGTATTCCACCGATAGAGATCAGGGCATCTCTGCTATGGCCAGCATTTCCGTCGAAGGCGATGGGAACCCCGCATGGAAATGTTGCCAAATCCCATAGGTATAAGTGCTAAGGTTCCCGCTAACGAACAGGTCCTCTCTCAACCCCGCCTCGTCCGCCTTCCATCTTCCCTTCTCAACTGGGGCGGCACCTACCTTCCAAATTCCCAGGGCCTCCATTGCGAATGAGGCGAGGGGCTGGACTGTGATGGGGAAGCTCGGCGCAAACTTTTTCGCGCACGGCGAAGGGCGACATCTGGATGTATGCTTTGTCGACGGGTGCCCAAGGAACCTCAGGTATCCGTGTCGATTTTGGAGGAGTCCATGGATGTGCAGTCGACTCCCTGCACAGAACCGTCAGCACCCAGCTATGGAGCCCGCATGCACCGTCGATTGCCGGGGTGGGTTGGTGGGTCTCCAGCATTCCATCCATCCTGCAAAGCAAGCCACGCTGGCCCACCGGGATCGGAATGGGCGTTTTCAAATGGCAGGGATCGGCAAACACGTGCCCAACGAGCGCTATGTCCAAATCTGCTTGGCTCTTGGTCGCCTTCTTCCTTCTCCGACCTCACCAGTTCCGCGGGCAGTCTTCAAGGTTCATCATCAGAGCCGCATGGCTTTCGCGACACCTGGAGCCGGCCTTGCTTTGCCCAGACATAGAGGTAGGGCTCGGTATTTTAAACCACGGCCCGTCGAGTAAACTGCCATTCAGCAAAACTGAGCGGGAGGCTGGATTGCGCCTACCTGTCTTTTGACTTTTACCAACGTTGCTCTGCTCTGCAATGGATCTTCAATCGATCAACCCACCCCCCGTTGTGGGAGTGGCTGGAAGTTGGTTTCCCCAGACGCCAAACTGCAGAGATCACTCCACGTTTGCTGCGTTTTGAGACTTGTTGGACCATGCGGCTTTCGGGGTCCGTCCGCTGCAGCGTGAGGGAAAGCTGCCAGACTAGCTGCTCCGGCTTGGATATGCGCATGGATATTTAGGCTGGCAGCCGTAGACCTCCAATGCAGTACCGTACACGGCTCCACTCTAGCAGAGCGAGGTGAGCCGTGAATACTGGGCAGGTAAGCATATGCCCAGGGTGGTATAGCCAAGGTGCGTACCACAATCGTTGAAGACCCCAGACTATCTCACCGGGTCATGGAACTAGCTCCTGTCTTTAGTTCCCAGAGGGCCGGATGCCTATTCATACAGTAGCCAAGCTTCTCCGATACAAAGGCCTCTCCACTGGGTTCTCGAAGGTGGAACTTGGTGGAACAAGAAGACTTTATCGGCTGCCTTGCCTTCTTGACCACGAAGGACATGAAAACGGGCGGCGGCGAATAATCGCCGGAGCTCACCCAACCGGCACACACCCCTGGTCACCCCAGACAGACGAGTAGATCCAATAATGACTGTTCCGGAGGCCATGTATCAATACCCGGGCTATGGCGGCGGGGTTTGGAACTCTCAGCAGTGTCCTGACTGGTTTATTTCCACAAAAACGGTCGATCTTGCTGAGTTTCCACAGTTGGCGAAAAAGACACGGCCAAGCTGATCAGTTAAAGGTCATCTGAGATGCAGCACCAACCTTACCTTGTTGTTTACTCCACATCCTGCACAGATGCTCCTCGAGTTGAGACTCGTGGTTGGTCTGAAGTCTGAAGTCCATTCGGGGGTCCTTCAGGCGGCTGAAGCGCCAGGAGCATCTCTGCTAGTCTGGAGGCGGCACCTGGGGGCCTTGTTGGCTGAGGCGGAGCCCATCTCCGAGAACAGCTTTTAGGTTTTGACAGGCGCTGGGGTTGGAGCGCGGTGCTCTTTTCCCCAGACCCGTCACTTACCGGCTGGTGCCCCGGACTCTCAGGCCCACACACTGAATGGCGTTACGGCCGTAGGGTTTGAACTTGTCCATGTCACTAATGTTATGGGCAGAGCACCGCAATTCAAGAGATCGGTTTATGAGAGGTCCGTAGCGGCGTGTGAAAGGCGGGTCGGGTCAGAGAAGAGAACCCATGAAAATGTGCCTGTTGTTGTCGTCCGGGACATACCCAACCAAGCCTTCATACAACTCCAATAGAACCCACCGGAATCAAAACCAATTCTTTTACTTCACAACCCAAGGACTATCTTCCAGGTTGTACCTACTCAATGTCCAAGTGCCCGATCACCAAGAAGACGAGAACCTTGCCCTCCCCGCACCCCGCAACTCCAGTGCTTGCTTCCCCCCACGAAAACACACAGCAACCTTAGGTAACCTGTAAACCTTGAATTCATCCCTCAAGCTAGTACGGTATCAAAGGCAACTAGAGACTAGCGGCCTGCGGTTGTACAGCACGCGTCAAACTTTATTCAAAGAGTACCTTACCTTGCCTGGTCACGGTATTCACCCAAGGAGGCATGCACTGTGGGCAACTAATTTTGATACTGTATGTCCACACTGTACTGGAAAACTCGCATCCCCACTACCCCACTAGCCCTATTTAGTAACTAATTACTTCGACTTCTTCGCCATTCGGACGCGACGCGGCGTGACGCACTTCAGCCAAGACTTCAAGTTGTCGTCCCGCTCACCCCAATATCTCACTTCACCTCACCTCTCACCCCAAAGCATCAAGCAAAGGTGCTTCTCTACCATCTCTCGACTCATTCGGTTCGCGAATCAATCATGGAGGCGTCTTCCACGGCACGCGTCATCTGCAGCTATCTCGATTCCTACGTCGGCAAGAATGTCATCGTGGTGGGCAAGGTCGTGCAGATCCGCGGCGACGAGGCCGTTATCGACGCCGATGGCAACATCACGGCGCACCTGAACCGCGTAAGTCTTTTTTTCACCTTCTTTCCGCACCACCTCTTTCTCCTTCTCCGCGGATAAGGAAGACCAAGGAAAGGCTTCTAGCATCAACCCGTATCAGCACGGACATGCCAGTCAGGGAGTATGCATAAGTAGGCGTAGGATGGGTAAAGGAGGTGGCAGTATCACAGATGCGCACACACGTACACGCACACGCACACGCACACTGCCCCAATGTATCACATACCTGCCTACCTACCTACCTACCTGCCTACCTGCCTACCTATCAACACCGACGCGGCATGGCACAGCAGCAACCCAACACGGACGCGGATGTATACACATCACGCACACACGCACGCACACGCACACACATATACACACAGGCACAGCGCTAACATGAATACTTTTCTTAATTTGTGGGCGAGCAGGGGAGTCACCTTGCGGCTGGCAACGGAGCGCAACTCATTGGGAAAGTCAACCCAGACCTATCGGTTAAAGTCCTCAGTTCCCTTGACCTGGGTAACAATGTCGGTTAGTAGTTTTTCCTCTTCATCATCAATCCTCCGTCTGTGCCCGAGCCCATCCTCGTCTCTCTCCAGCGGGGTTTCTTCTCTCGAATAGTCCAGAGCCTGCCTTCTGTCTTGGTGTTTGGCCGGCCGGGTACATTTTGCAAACAGAAAAAGAAGAGACCTAACAACACCCCACAGATTTCTCTCTTGCCAACCTCGTTGCCAAGGTTTCGCACCAGAATAAGGACTTGTTTATATACGACTAAGGGCAAACGATGTATCGAACCAGAGATATCCTGCTTTCTTTCTTCCTACGTAGTTACGTAGTTAGTCTCCAGAGAAAAAAAACAGAGCGGGTCACAGTGGCAAAACAAGTATCTGCCCGCTCCACTCACACCTGTCTTCTTTACCAAGCTCAACTACCTACATGACTTGGGGAGGGAGGAGATGGGCGGAGAATATAACGAGGCACACGACATATTCCTTGAGCAAATCTACCTGCCTGAGGGCTTTTACTGTGGAAACATAAAGTAGACCACAGCACAGCATAGCAATAAAGATGACCTCTGGTATGCCATTGTTATTGCCTCTCCTTCTCCACTACAGAATATTCAGGGAATGCTACCCCCATCAGTCCATTCCTTTTCCATACGCACGCAGTATATACATATATACACCACATCTGCGGTCCTCGATATCATTCCCATTTCCAATTCCGAATCAACTCTCCCGATTTATGCAGCAGAGAAGAACCACAAGAGCGGGAGGGAAAAGCGAAGTCCAGGCAAGGTAGAAAGATTAAAAAGTCAACATTTGCTCGCCCATCTGTGATGTGACGCGATGTAATGCGGGGGTGATGGAAAAATAATAGTAAATAAATAGAAAAACAAAAACAAAAAACCCCGCCCAAAGATTTAGCCGCTGCTATTGGCCTGGCTGCGCTTCCTAAGTCATTTCCTCTCATAAACGCCCTTATCTGCAAAGACGGAAACTACAAAAGAGGTATGTGTGCTGTGTGTGTGGGTGGCATGCGGCCTGTGGGTGGGATGCGGCCCACAGACAGCAGCACTCCGACCAAGGACGTTTCCTCTCCAAATCCTCCATACATTCCCAGAACGCTGCTCCAGCTAGCTACCCAGAGCGATAGGTGGAAATCCAACACAACAACAAAATAAAAATAAACCCAGCAAGTAATAATAATAATAATAATAATAAACCCGCCATCTGAAAAATGCGAGTCGCAGTCGAGAATAGGATATAGGGGTCTGCCGGCTCTGTGGCTAGCGAACAACAACGCCAAGACACTCCGTATGCTGGCTGGTACGATGCGGCAAGGCAAAACGTAAAGCAAGGTGCGCATTCAGCGACACGATGCTTCACGACTCGGTGGATTCGTCCAGGCAAGAAGTGTCCTTGTCAATCTTATTGGCAATGAATTCGGCCCACATGTCGTCAGCGCTAGCACCCGAGAACCCCGCCAACGAGCCCCCAAAGTTCAGACCGCCGTGGTTCTTAAGCAGCGGCGGCGAGCTGGGCATGATCATGTCGGTGCTGAGGTAGTTGCCAAAGTCCAGGGCGCCGGGGCCGCCGAGGTGGATGCCATCGCTGTCCAGGTTCGGCAGGCTGCTGAGATCGATATCCACGAGTCCGTGGGACGGCGATCCGGCGGTGAAGTCGTTGGCTTCGCTGAGCAGCTGGTTCAGCGTCGCTGTGAGGGGGGAGTCGATATGCACCATGTGCAAGTCATCCAACGCAAAGTGGGCGTGGAGGTGGGTGTTTCGAGGGCTCTTTCGCTTGCTCGCGCTGAGAATCATGCCGTTTGAAGCCGATGATCGAGGCGTCTTGGATGGGGTTCTGTGAAGCTGGCCAAATATTTGGTCAGGCGACTTTGCTACCGTCCTGACGGTCCGAATCGATCGCGAAATGCTCCGAGTAATGGGGCGATGACTCGGCGTCGGGCGTGTAGGCGTCTTGAACACTCCAGAGGATGCGGTCTTGGGAGGCGGTGTGGAAGGGCGGTTGGGAGGTGTGCCGAATAGCTCTATCTCAAGATCGTCATGGTCGTTGTGGTCGTCGTGGACTGGCGTACCGGGACACTTTGGTTCCGATCTTATATTCTCCTTACCCGCGCTTGCGGACTTTTGCTCCTGCGAATTTGTGGTGGTTTGCACGACGTTAACTGCAAGCTCCCCAAGGACCTTGGGCAATCCATCTTTTCTTGGTGATGGAAATAGTAGCCTTCGGGTGGTCCCGAGATCGTCCTCGACCGCGATAGGGCTGTCCGCAGTTCCGCTACCCCTCGAGTGAGTCGATCCCGGCCCGCGCTGCCTTTGGGAGCCCCGCGAGTTTAAAATCATGCAATCCGGACTCTGGTTCTGTTCGTCGTCTTCTCTGGCAGCCATACTCTGCTGTCTCGATTCTGCTTCGTTTTCATAGCTGATGTCTTTTGGCGATTCTGGATCTGCTGGACCAATCGGGTCTGTCGTAAAGTACGCTTCCGAAGTCGGGTTCATCTGGGAGTCGCTCTTGGTGCGCGCCTTCTTGGACTTCGAATTGCCCCCCTTTGCCTCGCGCTTCCTGCGAGGCTGGTTGAGGCGCGCAGCGTCTTTGTCCCATCTGTCTGACGGTCGGTGAGTCTTGAACTTTGCGAGCCAGATACCGCAAGCTAATATTGTCAGATGAATCTTCAGATAGTATGTTACAGGCAGGGCAACTTACGATTGCAGAGAAGAGACTCGGTCCAAAGTTTCTTGTCATCCCTAGGGCCAAGATTCTTCTTCACAAGTTTGTACATTGTTGGTTTTCCGTCCGGGCCACGCTGCATCACGTCGATCATGGTCACATATCCCGCTTTATCCGAGAATTCATGAAAGCCCGGAACTCCCTTGTGCTCTTGTGTCCAGATTTTTCGCCATGTCGGGGTCTCGATGGCACCGCAGTTGTTGCAGAAGGGAGGCATCTCTCCCTTCTCTATTGCGGTAATAAGCCGCTCCTTAATCGCGTACTTTTTTACCTGGTTCTTGTTATATCGGCCCGAATCTGCGTCGCTAATCAGGCAAGAGGACTCAGACACAGGTTCCCGACCCCGAGTTGTCGTCTCTGCAGCAGCATTGGTTGCAGTGTCAGGCGGGGGCAGTGGAGCACCTCTTGAAGAAGGTCGCGAGGTCGGCGGGGCTGGCAGTGACAAGGTGATATCTCCTGCCGGCGGCTCTATAGTAGGCAGTATGGTGTCATCGCCGTCTTCTTGGATGGCGGCTAGCAGAGCAATCTGAGCATCTTCGTCCTCAGAACCTTGGGCTGACGCGGAGTTGGAGGGCAGAACTCGTTCCTTGGCCTGCTCCTGCTGAATTGTCTGTACAAGCAGCAGTGAGATTTCACTGTCAGAGAGGTCTTTGGGGCCAGCCGCCTCTTGGTGGATGACTTCTGGTTGAACATCCGGCTGTGGCAGGTGTGGCAGCTCTGGCTGGTGATCGGGATGTTCGGACTGCTCTGGTGGTTGTGGCTGCTGTAGCTCCTGTGGCTCCTGTGGTTGCTGGGACTCCGGTTCTGTGTCTTTTTCTAGCGTCTTGGGATTAGGCGCAGTATGAGATCTTTTGAGTGGTCTGTTATTCTTCTTCGCGGCGGGCGGCGGAGCCGAAACCGAAATAGGCGGTCTATTCAGCGTTTTAACCTTCCCCGCCGGATTGAAGATGCTTGTTATGGGCAGCAGCTCAGGGGGTCCTGGGTTTTCCTCCCGGAATGGAAATTTTGTGGGCTGTTGTGGTTCGGCGAGATTTTCTTTCCGGTTGGTGGGCTTGCTCGTCGGCGGCAGGGTAGCTGAGACTGGATCCTGCATTGGCCCAGGCAGCTCTTGCATCTGACCCTGTGGGAAATCTCGCATGAGATCGTCGTCATCAAAAAGATTGTCAATGCCTCCACTCATGAATCCAGAATCAACCTGCGACAGGGGCATAGTCGGAAGAACGGGGCTCGAAGCCAAAGGGCTGGAATGCATGTAGGCACCGGTCCGAGGAACGGGAGGCGATGATCCCAGGTCAGCAGGGCTATCTGCAGGCGTGTACGACCGGTCCGGCGATGGAGCATTGGACTCCGCTGGAGACTGCGCATCCTGGCTAAAGCTCCTGGACATTGACGTCTGACCAGATGTCGACTGGTACAGCGGGACACCATCAACTTCGATCACAGAGTCCGACCTCGATTTTATGTCGAGCAGTCTCCTCTTTTGCTGCTTCTGCATCAGCGGGCCGTCCGGGATCGGAGTCGGGGCACGAGGGATGTCTTGGAGGCGATTCGCAGCAGGGCCATCGCCAACAGCGCCGACAGGTCGCATGTTGCGCAAGGATCCAGAAGTGCTCGCGGCCACCCTCAAGGAATCCGGCGCCGAGCCGAATGGTGTAATTGCGCTGTACTCGGTCTTGATGGTCTTGGCCCTCTTTTTCTGGGGACCCTCATCACCGTCTGTGGCTTCCTCGGTGGCAGAGGTGTTGCCGGTCTCGAGGGGCTTCTTGCGCGGTCGACCCCTTGGACGCCCAGTCGGAGCCCTACTACGAGACGCCCTCGAAGTGGGCCGTGAAGGCCGAGGCTTTTCCGGCACGGGTTCCATGGGCGGCTGGGGGCCCGAAGAGGATGGCGCGTTATCACTAAAGAATGGTCTTGGAGAATTGTACCGAGGTGTCGGGCCCATGTTCGCATGCGGCATGACGGACTGCGGCATGCTGGCGGCCGGCGGGATGCCACCGGGCCGATTCAGCTGAGGGGGAGCGCTCTCGGTCCTCGTATCCATGTACCTATTGTCGGACATTGAGTGGTTGAAGTTGCTCATCTGAGCAGGGGGAAGGGCTGGCGAGGGCATCGATGCCACATTTGCCGAATGGCCCAGCATTGGGTTGGACTGGATGAATGATTCCCATTCGGAAGCAGTGTCGGTCGGGGTCCCAGCCTTCACATGGTTTGTCTGGTCGAGGCCGGAAAATTCGGCCCGCTGCTGCATTTGCTGCGTCTTTGCAACCGAGGTCATCTTCAGGCGCACTTCCAGGGTTTCGCGGCTGCCATTACTCATAATAGTCAGAACACTCCTAGTCACGCGGCCCGTCACGAGCTGTTGCTGTGCTTGCTGCTGCTGCTGGTCGTTATTCTGGTTCATACACCATGAGAGCATGCCCTGCCCAACCAGTGGCATGTTAGGCTCGGAGTAGTCGTAGGCATAAACGCTGTAGTCGGTGTCTTGCTGGTTCACGATCTCGGGACTGCATTGCGCCACGGCCTGCAGGCATGTGCGGAGGTCTACCACGCCAATTGTGTTCCTGTCGTCGAGGGGTGCGGTCTGGATGTGCAGGATCTGGGGCCACCGGGCAAGGCAGTGAATCTGGCCTTCTCGGTCAAAAGTATAATGTACTTTCACTGCAGGTTGCAGAGTTTAGGTTAGACGTCGCGACCACAGATTGAAACACTTCGCAAAGGCGACACTTACATCCCATAGGCCTGACCTGCAGGCCCGATTCGTCGCCTCTAGCAGACTGGCCGGCCGGAGGCTGCGGCGGCGCGGACCAGGAGGAATTGGTCGGAGTCGCCATGGGTGTCACGTCGGCAGCTTCGTGCTGCTCCTCCAGAAGGTCACTCAACTCAACTCAAGCGATTGACGGCGGTGACGAGGTGAGGGCGGCGGCGACGTGACGATATCGTGTAATTGGAGGGATGGTGGGTTGAAGGTTGAGGTGTAGATAAGATCCTGACGCTGGGGTGGGCGAATTGAAAGAGGCTGGCAGTGAGTGCAGTGAGTGGCACGCACACGCCTGGTTTCATTGCTTGCTCAGGAGCGCGTCCGGGCTGGCTAGTCGCGTCGGTGGGTCAACTGGAAAACGGGGCCTGCGGCAGCCGAGATCTCCCCACTCATTGCTCGCGCCTACAGTATCGCGACGGATGGAAAAAGACGCAAAAATAGCCGGGTAGATAAACACACAGTCGATACCGGATTCCTCTTTTACACGCGTAGACAATGCTTCTGTAATCCTGCACGCTCATGCAGATGAGCGGAAGCTCAGTGCAGAGTCGAGGTTGAGCTGTTTGTCGGTTTGTCTCGCGCTTCCATGTGTGGGGACGGTTGTGTTCAATTCAGGTGAAGAAGGCGCCCCAAACATGGGGATGACGCGAAGTGGGGAAATGCGTCGACGCGCGCACGGAGCAACTGCCAGGGCGCTCTGCGCCAGGGCCCCCAGGCACTGGCCCACCCAACCTGGACTCGGTGGAGGCGGGCTTGTAGGTGAGCACGGGCCGGCAGTCCTGGGAGGGGAAGGCGACGGGAGGAGGCGGTTGCGCGATCGTGCCGCAGCCTAGCCCAGCCCAGCCCATCAGCTTTCGGACTTTAGTGCATGCAAGTGACAACTCCGGGCATGCCAGGCACACACCGGAAGCAATGAAGAACAAGAAGCAAGATTCGCAGGTGTTTTGCAAGTTTTGGGATGCCGGGGTCCTATTTATACTCGCCGCACAACGGTCTCCGCCTTCTTCGGCAACGCTCCCGCGATCCACGAGCCACAAGCCCACCAGGCAACCGTGCATCTCTCCTCTCCGCTCTCCCCACTCTTCAACTGCAACCACTTTATGCCCGTAAGACGGAATTTCGCGTGCCCCTATCCACCCGTCCTCAATTGGGTAAAATAAAAACAAAAGGCTCCGTCCGTTGGAGTAGCGACCAGCTGTGCGCCCAAAAACCCCGCCGAGGCTTTTCAACGCCCTGCGCGTCGCCTTGCACGACAACCAGAAAACGACTTTAACAAATTGCGCAATAAAAGGAAAAAAAAAGGGGGGAATTTATCTAGGAAGTATCGATTGCATTTCATTTGGTGTGTAAACAGTCTCTCAAAAACATTTTTCAACTCGTCGCACAGGTTGCATGCACTTTTATTCAGTGATCCCGACTTTTGTCTCGCGCGGATTGATCGGAAAAAGGGGGATTTAGTGCTAAGATCTCGACCAGTGCGCAAATTTCGCCGTCGCCTAGCGAACGCAGACAGCGGCATCCACCCGCCTCAATTTTTTTTAGTCCCTCTCTTCCACTCTTTGGCCCAGGGTGCTGCTCTCGCCGGGCTGAGACGGACGTGAACAGGTATTCGTACGTGTCGAATGCCGACAAGGTAGTCCCCGTCTCGCCTTGCTCACCGCTTATCAACTCCCCGAGACTCAAGGAAGAGTCGTTGCACAGAGAAAAGGCGCTCGACATGTATTCCAACAGGGGGTATGCCATGACATTATTAAACGATTTATCCAACTACCCAAATGTAGGTCCCGATCTAGCCAAGGTATTTCCCTCTAACTAAAAGATAAAGACTAAAGAAGAGAGAGACGGAAACACTCATCGACCAAAGAAACTGTCTTGCCAGAAAAGGGGTAGGGAAGAGCCAAGGTAAGTAGGTAGGTAGGTCATCACGGTTTAGATGATGCTCTCGCCGCGTGCCTTGTCTCGTCCTCCCTACCAGCTATTCTGCAACAAAGTCCGCTCGCCCTTGACGATGCCGTCGTACTTGTCGAGGCCGAGCGTCTTGGACTTGAAGTAGACGATGACCCAGCCCCACAGGCGCATGTTGCCCATCTGACCGGTCCCCTTTTTCCTCCCTAAGCTCCATCCGGCGCCGATCTTGGGGTTGGGCTTGTACTCGTCGACCGGCTTCCCGGCGGACTCCCCAAGCACGTGCGCCTCGATCAGCTTGACGACGTGCGCGGCCTGCACGTCGGCGTGCTGCCCCGACGGCTCCTCGATGTTGCCCGCGTCTCCCACCACGAACACGTTATCGTAACCCTCGGCGCGCAGCAGCGGCGTCTGCTTGATCAACCCGCGCGCGTCGAGCAGCTCGGCGGGGACGAAGGCCGTGTTGGGCGTGATGCCGTACGTGGGCAGGAGCAGGTCCGTCTTGAGGGACGTCTTGGTGGTGCTGCTGCCCACTGTCGTCAACTGGACGGTCGTCTGCTCCTTGGCCCCGCTCCCCTCTGTGACGGCGCTGACCTTGGAGTTGACGACGACCTTGACGCCGAGCTTCTCGAGCTCGCGCTTTACTGTCTCGCGCACGTCCTGCTTGTATTTGCCCGCCAGCGGCAGCTCGCCGTCGGCCACTAGTGTGATCTCCTTGGTGCCCGCCGTAGCGTACTCCTGCCCCAGCTCGCCGGCGATCTCTACCCCCGTAGCCCCAGCGCCTGCCACTACGATGGACTTGGCCGCCTTGATCCGCTCGCTCCACGCCAGCAGCGTCTGCTTAGTCTCCTCGGTCGTCGAGAGGTTCTTGAGCGGCATGCCCTCCTTGAAGGCGCTGCCCGTGGCGATGACTCTGTTTTAGGTGGCTTGTCAGTGATGCGTTGTCGCTGTTGTTGTTGTGTGTTTGTTGAGCTTGTCATCCGGTGACTGAGTCTATCATAGGGAGAGGGAGAGAGAGAGAGAGAGAGAAAGTATTGTACAAAACTTACATGTCGTCGTAGTTGATCTGCCTTACGCCGTCATTGTTCTCGCGGATCGTGACAGAGTTGCTACCGGGATCCAGCTGCTCGGCCTTGCCGACGACAAACTCGAACCGGCCGGCGGGGTAGTGGGCAAAAGCCGGGGCGATGGGGATGAAAATCTTGCTCTCGGGGATCATATCTGGGAGGATGGCGCGGACCGATGGTATGTTTGCGAAAAAGTGCGTGTTGGGAGACACGAGGATGACCTTGAGGCCCCCGACGACCTTGGCCGCGAGGTGCTTGAGTAGGTAGTGGGCGATCGGGGTGCCGGCAAGGCCCGCCCCCAGGACTACAATTACCCGTGTCATTGTGGTGGACTGAGTGTGTGAGTGGCTGCTGGCTGTGCTACTTGGTGATCGACAGTCTGGTGCCTAGTTGGTCGGTGAGGTCTGCTGAGGGAAGAGAGACTAAGACTCCGGGATCACTTGGTTTGTTGGAAAAGCGTCAAAGTCCACGAACGAGGTCGTGGGGGGGGTCAGGTTGATATAGGGCTTGCAATCCCGCCAGACCCAGGCAACGAGGATTTACACGGCATATATAGGTACCGGCAGCTATCTACATCCGCAACTAGCGGCAGCCTCCCAGGGTTCTCCTGAATGATGTGCTGCTCGAACATGCTGGAGAGGAGCTATCATTATAAATCTCGAGGCGTAGAAATGCCCCCGGGCCAATGAGCTTTCCTGAAACTCGGGACTTGTGTGGAATATTTATTGGCTGATTGTTGACGAGCCCCTAAGTGACACCCCTAACCGTGAAATTGAGAATGCGGAGGGCCCTTAGCGTGCGCGGCACACCCAGTCGTTTGGCTCGCTCGCGCGCGCGGGATTGCGGAGGTACCGCGCGGGAGCCGGAAACGGAATGGCGAGACGTGGGCTTTTCTTGGCCTACAGCCCATAACCCTGACAAACCCTGATAAACCCTGATAAACCCTGATAAACCCTGACGCAAGTGCGCCATCGAGAGCGGCGAGTTTATCTCATTTAACGTTTTCGCATTCAATCTTCCGTATCGCAATAACCTTCCACTACGCTGAACAGCTTGAGCTTACAAACCCGCCCTAGAGATGAAAGATTCAACAAACACCACAGTCTCGCGAAAAGACCAGAGAAGAAATGAAATAAAACACCCAGAAAAGGAATATATCGTGTATGTATGTACAGCACAGACCCTAAACCAGTGGTTGACACTGCCGCGCCCAACCTCGACCCCTTCGGAATGATCAAAGCCCAAACATGACCGCGCCAACAACCACAATCCCCAAGGCGGCGCAGCTCGATCTCAGGTCTGCGGCCGCAGCCGTGGGCAGCGCCGTGCCAGTGGTGCTGGTGCCAGTGCCGGGCAGGAAGGCCGCCGTGCCGGTAGCCGCGCCGCTAGTGGTAGTGGTAGTAGTCGCAGCAGTCGTGTTGGTGACGGCGGCCTGGACGGGGCCCGGGTTGGTGACGTTATAAAAGTTGCCTGCCACGACCTTGCCGGCCAAGTTCGCCTGCGCCAGAACCGTGCCCGCGTTGAACCCGACCCGGCTGGCGTTGACCGCCGTGCTCAGCGTCTGCAGGCCCTGCGCCGTGATGCTGCTAGTGTCGACCAGGATCTGCGTGTACCGGTGGCTCAGCGGGATCCGAGCCGGCGGGCTCGGCCCAAAGTACGGCGCGATAGCTGCTGTGTTGCCCTTGTTCTCCAGCAGGAACGCCTGGATGGTGCCCCGCGTGGTGTTGAGCGTTGTGGCCGCTGTCGCCGGAGTCAGGCCGGTCTGGATCCAGTGGGCCAGCGTGTTTGTTGCCGGCGGCGTGTTCGTCGGGATGTCCAAGTCGATCATGAGCACGGCGTATGATGATCCCAGCAGTCGCGTGGTTGTGCCTATTAGCGGCTGGTTTGCGGTTGCTGGGCTATCTGTTAGATATTTGGCCCCAGTGTGTGAATTCCCTGCACTGGTCACTTTTAACCCACCTTCTTTGCTGATGACTGCGCCGTTGAGCGCCGTGATCCCATTGTAGTCCACGATGAGATCCGTAGTCGACCCGGGCTGGAAGCCGTCCGGAGTCCTCGCCATTGAAACAGCCGCTGCCGCCACCAGGGCGACTAAGGATTTCGGGAGCGTCATTGTGACCGTAGGTAAAGAAGGACGATTAATAGATGCGTTGCGAGAGAACAGTACGCTAATTAAACGACGAAGCGAGAACTAGTAAGAAGGATCAAATAAACCAAAATAAATATATTTCCGAACGATGACTCTGCTAGGGGAGTTCCGCTAGGGAGTTCCGCTTGAGGAATTACGGCGCGACGTTTATGAGAAAAGAAAAGAAAGATACTTTGTTCTCTAGAGACGCAGACCACCCTCCCGAAAAGAAGAGGAGATCGAACACCTTAAGCCTCAGTCGCTCGCTGTTGGTACATGTAGATTTCTCTTGGCCATGCCGCGATGACGACGAGATGAAACGAGCCGATCCGCGGCTCGCTTCACGGCCAAGGCATAAAGCATTGACGGCCATGTCACTGTCTACCCCCCCCACCCCCTCCTTTCTACCTACCCGGCCTTGCGTGTGCACTTGCCTTGTAGTATATTGAGTAAAATCTGAGAGGCGGAATGGACGAGTGAGAGCAACGAGGATCGAGCAATGACTACCGTGGTCGCGTGCAAAAATAAGACCGCCTTGTCAAGTACCTGTGGGGCAAACACTTTACGCGTTTTTGACCAATAAGTACTCGGCATGGGGCTTTTTATTACCCATCATACCACAGTAAGTAATGGCAACTGCCCCGGGTGGTGGCTTCGCTGAAATGGCATCCACTTCCCCGATTGAGTGGGCAAGCTGCTGCCGCTGTGGCGAGCAAGCCCGCTTCCACTATCCGAGTCGTTGAAGACCAGGGGTTGGCTTGTTCCAGCAGAACCCATTCTGGCCAACACTTTGCGCCATGGACATTGCGCGTCGCTTCCAGTCAGAAACTTGCATCCATCGCCGCTCGATTTCAAAGCGACGAGTCAAAATATTTTTTATTACAATCAGACCAAAGAGAAGGCTTTTTGACGGTTGAGAATGGACGTTTCTTGGCTGCTTCTAGCGCATAATGCACCCCAGAAACCAGAACGGAAACCCCACTATTATTTTCCTCCCGAAACCCCGAGACGGGGGTCGCGTGGTCGCGGATCTGTGGGGACCAGACGATGACGACGACGACGCCTTCACCAAACACCCCCCCTGGCTTCCAGAATCTACATGCAATTCTCTTACAAGCCCTACCATGGCGAGCTCGACTCGGAGAATTAATCGCCCGCTGCTGCTGCTGCGAAACCTGGATTTCACCTGGGCCTCGGGTTTCCGAATCTCTGGGCTCTCTTCCTCTGATGAATGTACTTGTACCACGGACCCTCAGCACGAAACTCATCGTGATATGGGACAAAACGTGGGAAACCCACCAAGTGAATCGCCAAAGTCGCCTCCTTCAATGACCGCTCGGCGCCGTTCGGCCATCCCTATTCCGGCCAAACATGCCCCAAAACCTCCTCTCCTTGACCTCGGTCGTGTACGGCTTCAGCGGGTACATGGGCGCGACGTTGTACTCGTCCGAGCTGGAGTCCGCCGTCGGGTACCTCCTCCGCAGCTTCCTCTCCGGGATCTCCCCCAGCTTGGTGCTGTCGGTAGAGATGGATATGAATGATATCCGGTTGGGTAATGGCGGTGCAGTTTCTGGCGGCGCTGGTGGCGGTGGTGCTCGTTTCTCGCCGCTGCCAGTGCGCCGGTGAGACGTCTTGGCGGCTGGCCTGGACTTCTCCGCCGGTGGGTTCCTTGCTCTGGATTCCGGTTTCGGTTTACCTACTGCCTTCCCATCTTTGCTCGACGACGACGTCTTCTTCGGGGCGCTCTCGGGCGATGCGGTCTTGCTTCTCCTCGGAGCCTCGTCCGGACTCGAGCTTGAGTGGCGCTTATGCCGAGAAGAGGCAGACGGTGAAGAAGATGTCTTGGAAGAGGATGTTACGACTGATGACCGAGATGGGCTATCCAGGCGGCGGGACAAGCGGTCGATCGCCTTGATAGCGTCGACTCTGGACGAGTTCGACAGTGACATGAGCGACTGGTAGTCCAAGTCCAGGCCTTGCTTCGTGCTGGAGAACCGGAGCAGGTTGGCAATTGCTGCCCGTAGCTTCTTCAAGATGCGGCCAAGAGCCGAGACGGCGGGTGCTTCAGCTACATTGTTAGCAACAAGAGCTGCTGGTAGTGTCAATGGGATAGCTTACCGTCGCCCTTACTGAGCCGACTGCCGGACCTGGACAGCCTCGTCGAGTACGCGCGTTCAACCAAGGCCCGGTCTGACTTCAGAGACTTGCGCAAGTGAGCTCGATGATCCTCGGCCTCTATCAGTTGATTCCCGCCCTTGCGCTTGAAGGCTTTCAAGAGCGAGAGGCAGTTTGAATATGTTTCCAGCAATGCGGCAACACTGTCCCCGAAGCCCATCTTTCATAACGATCCAGTTCGTATATGCTGGAGGCTGGCATAACCCTCTGACAACGTATTTTCTATCCGCAGTATGATATGATACCATTCACGGCCAGTGCGGCAGCGTAACACTGATAAGCAACTCAGAGAGACTCTCGAGTCTCTCGGCTGAGAGCGTAGAGCGGAGAATGCGGGGGTGCATATCCGTACTGCGGCGCTGGCATTTACGCAGGGTTAGTGGCTCTGTAACCGCCGCACCTGTGCTGCGAGCTAGCATCGCGAAACAATTGGGGAACTAATCCTGTCTCAGTGGCGAACTCTGTCCACGTGAGGCTCTGTCGCATGGAAGTCCACATGCAAAAGTGGCTGAACCTTGAGAGCTTTCATTTCTAGGTTCAGGCTAGGTGCAATTTGAATCGTTGGTTGAGCGATAGGAAGAAGGGCTTCTGGGAGAACAGCATAAAGTCAATGGATAGGAGGTAGGTATCATTACTGCTCCGAAGTGTAATTCGTGAATAATAATAATAAAGAGTTCCTTCTAGGTTGGCTTATGCGCAACTTGTGTCAGTTGTCTCTATGAGTGTTGCCAATTGTTGCCAGCTGGCCAGCCTGTTGCGCACCCCACATCCACTCGAGGCAGGCAGCACTGGCCAGTGGCCACTGCCCCGCGATTGACCAGGGTGCTTGGCCTCAATGCCAGCGGGCGAAATGGCCCTGCCTGGATTCATCGCGACAATCACTCAAACGACGAGCAATAGTCCCCGACGTCGACTCGACCGAGACGTCAAGATGCAATTGCCATCACGAAACTCGGTTGCCATCTGCGCCGCCGCCCTCTCCGTTTTTGCCATCTCGACTACCAAAGCTGCCGGAATCCGACCGCCGCGCCACGACGCACTTGCGGGCGGAGGCAGCCCACACGGTCTCGCCCGAGATGGTCCGGCCTTCCCGTTCTGGAGATGGATGCGCGAGAGCGCCGCCGAGGCCGTCTTTGGACGGGCGAAGGAAGATACAAAGCCCAGCGGGGCGCTGCGGTCCCGATACCACAGCGACGTTGTGATCCGGTTCAATGTCACAAACTCTGAGGAAGAAGGCGCCCTCTCCAATGCTGCCCAGCAGATGCTGCTGGACGTGTGGTCGTTCACGCCAGATTTTGTCGATATCAGGTTGCACAAGGACGATGTGTCGTCACTCCTCACACTGCTGCCGGCTTCCCTGCAGCCGTCTGTGTTGATCCCAGACGTAGCCGCCGCCGTCTGGGCGACGTATCCGTCAAGTTCCAGGACCAAAATTCGTTTCGATGCAAGCGTCACCAACCCGGCCGAGCTGCGCACCTCTGTTGAAGGCATGGGGAATGTGTTTTTCAGCGACTATCAACCTCTGTCGGTATGCTTTATCCCCCCCTGTCCTCTGTGTATTTCGATAGGCGGTGCTGCGTCAGATACTGGACCTTTGCGAGAGCCAAACAAATGCGCGGATATGTTGGCCGCCCATCGCGGTGATCTTTGTTCAACGGACTAATACTAGCTAGGTCATCACAAACTGGATGCGGCTGATTGAAGCCATGTTCCCTTCATTCACCGAAATGATATCCATCGGGAAATCATTCGAAGGCCGAGACATATACGCCATGCGCGTCGGTCACTACAAAGGCCGTGATTATGGGGACCTACCCCGAAAGACGATACTCGTGACTGGTGGTCTTCATGGCCGGGAATGGATTTCCACAAGCACAGTGAACTACCTTCTCTGGTCCATCGTTACGACGTTCGAAAAAGAGCCAATGGTGACGAAGCTACTCGAGCACTTCGATATCGTTTTCGTCCCCGTGCTCAATCCCGACGGGTACGATTACACCTGGCAGACGGACCGGCTGTGGCGCAAGTCGAGACAACAAACGAAGATGCGGTTTTGCCGCGGCCTCGACCTCGATCACGCTTTCGGATACGAATGGGAGTCAACCAATCATCAGACCGATCCGTGTTCCGAAAGCTACGGCGGTGATCAGCCATTCCAAGCAGTGGAGGCCTCGGAACTAGCCAAATGGGCCAAGAACGAAACACAGTACAACGTCGTGTTTTCCGGCTTTCTCGATCTGCATTCGTACTCGCAGCAGATCTTGTTCCCCTACTCGTACTCCTGCGCTGTTGATCCGCCTAACCGCGAGAATCTTGAGGAGCTTGCGGTCGGTCTGGCAAAGTCCATTCGACTCTCCAGTGGGGAACCCTACAGCGTTACGTCGGCATGCGAGGGTGCAGTTGCTCTTGCATACGGTGCAACCAGCTCTTTGCCCCGCGTTGAATCTGGTGGCGGGTCAGCTATTGACTGGTTTTACCGTATGTCACCCCGAGACGAAATGGAAGAACACATTTCCTCTGCCTTATATAGGCTACAGCCAAGACATCGAGGCTAACATTGGGATTTTACAGACGAGGTCAAGGCCCGATACAGTTACCAAATCAAGCTTCGAGACACTGGGAGCTATGGTTTCTTGCTCCCAAGCGAGTACATCGTCCCGACTGGGAAAGAAACGCTTAACGCCCTGAAGTACTTTGGCGATTACTTGCTCGGAAACAATGGCATTGAGAAGTTCCCAATCCAGAAGGAGTCCGACCAGGACGATATGTGGAGGGATCTGAAGCGGCGAAAGCGGTAAACCAGGGAGGTATATACTTGGCAACACGGATAATGGCCCGAGCCGTTTATGAATAGCATTTGAAAGGAGCGGGTCATTACGTGACGGGATGGCGTTTAAACCAAGACTGGTTTGCATTGTTTCTGGGGCGCTGGGATGCTTTTGAACTTCCAAACGTGTGAATGGGGCCGAGTGGCGGCAAATGGCGTCGAAAATAAGTCTACGTCGACGGTGGAATTGGTTACCTACACTCTGTGTATCTATAATTGTTATATATCGTAGCCTGGAAAAGGCAGAGTCGGGAAAGCAATGCAAAAACGCAGAAAGGCATCGAGGCATCAAACTATTCTTTAGCTCTTTAATTAGAAAGTTCAGTGGTTGGTTGATGACGAATACAGAGTAGGAGGAAACACAAACCCTACTGCTGTAGCCGGTTTCAAGTCACGATAATGGGACGGTGTCGCAAGCCCATCCCTATTTCCGCGCCTTGGTTTTCGCGCTTCTTGTTCCGTGCGTTCTTACTTCGGAGCCACCGAGCACTGGCTGGAGAGCATTCGTATACTCACAAAATCGGAAGACTCCGGAATAGGGGAATCTGTGATAGGGATGTTCTATTTGCCAGGTTGATTGACAGAGCCGTAGAGCGGTATTTCACGGGCGCTTGCAATAGTACCGCTGAAACTTCGTAAAAAGGCCCCCAAATCCTCCCTGTGGATGAGACCTGTTCGGCGGCCACCGATGTTTGCTTTCACGTTTCCCCACGCTTTCCATTTGGGCGGCCGTTTTCTGTTGCCCAAGAGCCGCTAAATGTATGGGCACCTCATTAGTGTAGGTCTGGGTGGTAATGAAATTAAAATGCCGTGTGTATTCAATCCTGAGCCAAACCGCCGTATAAAGTGAGTGCTCCATCTACCTGGGTAAAGCGTTAGTTCGATAGACAGGAATTTATGCCTAAGGTGCCATATCACCGCGGCTCCAACTATTACAGATGTCCCAACTCGACTCCAGGATCGGTTTCCGGGGTTAACGGATTATTTAGAGTGAAAAGGAGTTTTCCACTAGTGGATGAAGTGGAGTGGAACCCCCCGGCACGCACACCTCAGCTGGGAAGGAGCTGATGGGTCTGGACCCACACCTGCCCACCTCCCACACCTGCTTGGGTTTGGCTCTGGCATCAGTCGCTCGGCCGGGCTAGCGTCCAATACTGGTAGAGGCGGCGAGAGCCCCCATTCATTGGGATCCCTTTTTCATCCTCCACTACCTACGAATCGCACAACCCGACTTCGATCTCAACACGGCGCCCAAGCCAGCAAACCCGAACCCGAACCCGACCTGGCAACGGCCAGCGCGACCAAGTCTGTTCTGTCACGCGTCTGACAGCATTCGATTTCCACTCGCAGGGGGCTCGTTTCCAGGCTGCTTTGATGCAATCCGCAGGATAAGACCGAGCGGCCCCCCTCCAGGCCCTTCGTGTCGTGCTGCGTGCTTGCTTCGAGCTGCGTGCTTGTTGCGTCTCAATCAACCCCAATTCCAATCTTTATGGATTATGACGATCGCCGCCACCTATAACCATGCCCTTCCTACGACGCCGTGGCAACATCAGCGAGTCCGACATGCGGCGCTTCTCGCTGCTTGACAGTCTTGCCGTGCCCAAACAGCCCCTCTCCCGCTCTGGCTCCGCGTCCGATCTTCCCGCCCTGGCTGCCGTCCAGGAAGATGTTCCCGCCCTCGTCGTCCCCACCTCTCCCTCGACGCCCCGCGGAGATAGCATATCTTCGTCGTCGGACCGTGCAGCTTCCTCGACTGACGATGCCGCCAACCGACCCGCATTCCCCATGTCGCAGGAGGACAGCAACAGACACCGCCGGTTTTCCATGCTGAGGTTCCGTAATGCGTCCGACTCTCAGCTGGCCACCAAGGCGAAGATGCACGCGGCCACAGAAAAGCCCCCGCCACTCCCCCGTCGTATGTGGCATTCAGTTGCGTCGCGCGCCCGCGATGCTAGGCCGAGTTTACATCAGCAAGTGCTTACACACGGACGCACAGCTCCAGAGATTATCACCACTGCCCCCACATTTGATCTCACGGCACCGCGGAAGAAGGAAAGCCGGCTGAAACTCCCGGGAATCCGCATCCGACGATCAGGCGAGCTCCCTAGGATTGACCAAGAGGACGAGATGGGCAGTGGTGCGACGGGCCTGGCCAAGGGACAAAAGTCCCTGGCCCCCGATGATAGTTCGGGGAGCAAGCACAGCGTGACGTTTGACGAACCGAGGCGGCCAGCGTCGTCGCACCACCCTCCGGCCTACGGCGACGAACACACCTCAACACTTGCGTTACCCATCAATAGGCTGTCCGAGTCGTCAAGATCCGATGCGAGCTCGGGAGACAGGGTCTATGGAAGTACCACCACGACTACCCACACGGTCCATACCACAACCACGTTCTTCAGACTCGGGCGCAGGAAGCAGAAGCGTCCTGAGCCGCTGTTTCCCATTGCCCATCTTCAACCGAAGAGTAAATCGTCACTTACTCAAGACTCGGATGTCTCTAGGCCGCCTATATCTGCTTCCACTCCGGCTGCTATTCCCGAATCGGTAGGACAATCACCATCCAAGTCTCCACACCCATCTCAGGTTACCCCGACGCCGTCAAGACCATCGTCGAGGGCCGGCGTCTCCGCCACTCCTACAGGCCCAGCTCTTGCTCTGCTTACCAGGTCCGGCGCATCTCCAGCAACTGCGCTGTTTCGACCGGGCTCAAGGCATTCCGGACACTCGTCACCAACCCGAACATATATGCACAAGAGGGGTAGATCCTCGACCTTGAGCTCCTTGGGGAGGAACTCTCCCAGGGAGTCCATTGACGAGCACTTAGCTCCGCCGACCACCAGGACGTCGATATCGACAGGCCGGAAGAGTTTCGGCGACCTTTTGGGTCTGAGTCGCCTTCGGCAAAACTCGGATTCAACACCGGGTCGGCAAGGAACGCTGACGCCTGCAACGCCAGGCTCAAACACATCCAAGAACAACTCTCTTCAGTTGCCGAGGAATTCGATCATTCTACCTGAGCGCCGGGAAGATGACACGCCTGCCAAGTATCTCGAACGTCTGCTAGAGGTTGTCAGCAGGAGTGTGATAGCGGCCGCTGTCTCTAAGAGTGCGGATACCTTTTCGCAATCCGTACTACGAAGTTACATGCGGAGCTTCAGATTCTTCGAAGACCCGATGGATATGGCCATCAGAAAGCTACTCATGGAGGCCGAGTTGCCCAAGGAGACTCAGCAAATTGACCGAACTTTGCAGGCGTTTGCCAATCGATATCACGAATGCAACCCGGGGATCTATTCTCATCCAGACCAGGCCTACTTCATCGCTTTCTCTCTTTTGATTCTCCACACGGATGTTTTCAACAAGAACAACAAGCACAAGATGCAGAAGGCGGACTACTTGAAGAACACGCGCGGCGAAGGCCTCTTTGATGAAATTCTCGAGGTCTTTTATGACAACATTGCCTACACGCCGTTCATTCATGTTGAGGATGACTTGGACATCAACGGCGAGCGGATCGTCGCCCACAAGGCCAAGAAGAAGTCGCTGTTTCCCACTGCTACCCCCGACCCGGCGAAAAGAGTTGCGAAGGAGCCTATCGACCCGTACACGTTGATCATTGACAACAGGTTGGACATCTTACGGCCCAACCTGAAAGAAGTGATGCATCTGGACGATCCATACAGCTATCTTGGGACGGCCAAGTCGCTCAACATGAAGGAACTTCAAAAGACATTTTTCAAGACTGGCGTCTTGCAGATTGTCTCGGCGAGATCTCGCCCGGATGCCTTCATGACGGAGAAGACATCCACCAACCCAGACGCCGCACATCCGGGGATTGTCGACATAAAAATTACCAAGGTCGGATTGATATGGCGAAAAGACCCTAAGAAGAAGAAGACCAGATCCCCGTGGCAGGAGTGGGGCGCCATCCTCACAGGAGCCCAGCTCTACTTCTTCCGCAATACGGCGTGGATCAAGAGCTTGATGCACCAGTATGAGAGCCATATCAAAAAAGGCCACGACGGGGACCCCTGTATCTTCAAGCCACCCCTGGACACGTTTAAACCCGATGCTCTGATGTCAACAGATGGTGCCGTGGCACTGATGGACTCAAGCTACAAAAAGCACAAGCACGCGTTTGTTTACGTCAGGCATGGCGGCTTTGAGGAAGTCCTTCTCGCCGAAGATGAAGAGGAGATGAATGATTGGCTGGCAAAGCTGAATTATGCAGCAGCTTTCAGGTCATCAGGAGTCCGGATGAGAGGCGTGGTGGGGAGTAGCTATGATGGGCAGGGGCGGCGAGCAATTAGGAGACTGGACACGGACAATGCCCAGTGGGTCCAAACACCCACGGGCGAGGTGATGGTGTCGCGCAGCCGGATAGACTACAAGATGGTGCAAGACATATTGGTTGCGCGGCGGGACATCATGATCCAGAAGATTGCCGATGCGAACGAGAAGCTGAAGGAAGCCGAGGTTACCCTCGAATCCCAACTTCGGAACTCTAGACATCTGCAGATTCTGGCTCCAATCCAGCCAAAAACCCGCGAGCATATGCTTCTCTCGGCGGCACGTATGGCGGCACAGCTGAAGTGGACTCGCATGGAGATTTGGAAACTCAAATGTCATCGAGATATCCTGCTGATGGACCTCGAAGAAGAGAACCAGCAGCTCGGTCTTGCTGTCGACACTGGTCTGGAGCTTTCGGAGAAGCCGATAACAAGGGAGAACTCCAAGACGAGCACCATCTCGCCTCCTCAAAAGAGCCCTCAATCTCCAAACAATATCCCCATCACGAGAACTCCCACCCTCACCGGAACTGCGAAGTCTGATGAGGATTCGTCGCCGATGACGGACGTCTTTCAGACGCCTCCGACTAGTGCCACGGGTTCCAGCTTCCACAAACCCACAAACTCGTGGGAGTTGCCCGGCCTGACCTTTGAACACGTGAATCTCCGCAAGGCATCGGTCTCCAGTGCAATCTCTTCCAATCTGTCTTTGTCGGCAACGCCGCCTAGGAATGTGGCCAGCCCAAGCACCGCGGCTTCGACCGCTCCCCCCGAGGCATCTAAGCGTGATCCATCAGAAGAGGCCGAAGTCGATGCAGACGAACGTGTTCTCCTGGAGCGGACGGGACTAATCGAGCCGGAGCTTTCTCGCGACCCTTCGCGCAAATTTTCTACCTCTGCGGCGGAACCGGAAGAGGCTTCGGAACGACGCGAGCGCCCTTCCAATGGTACCCCTACAGACCGACAGGATAAGAACAAAATCCGGCGCAGTCTACAACGCACACTTAGAGAGGGCGCAGGACACATATCTCACCCTCGCCATCGTAGGGGCAGGGACTCGGCCTCTAGTGGTGCCATGTCTGATGAGACGCTCCGCGACAGCCCGGATATCCTTGCGCGCGGAAGCGGGTCTTTTGTCGTCCACGGCAAGAAGGCTTCCGTAATCACCTTTGGTACCGAGTTGCAGATCCATACTCTGTCGCCCGAAGACCGCATGCGCCAATGGAAGCAGCGAGAGGATGGTGTCTCTCCTATCGCAGGCAGCAGTAGCCTTGCCGCAGAGAACGTCACAGCCCGCATTGCTCCCGCAGATGGTACTGATTTCCAGTCCATCCTCACCGCGCGGTCTGTTCTCGACGCCAACCGCCAGCACCGAGGCTCGTCGGCAAGCGCAAGCACGGCCACAGCAAAGAGCTTCCGGGAGTTGCATAGGAAATACTCGTCTGCGCAAGCGGCCAAAGCCATGCTATCAAACGGAAGCTTGGCACTGCCCTATGACGAGGACAGCGACGCTGCCGTAAGTTTCTCGGACGGGCGGCATACACCGCTCCCGCCCATTGAGGGCGAGCCTGAACCAGGCGAGCTCGAACGCGGGGATCAAAATGACTCCGACTTCGACATGAGTCCGCCGCCGAGCCGAGACAATCGCCATACAATGTTTTTCACTCCAGACCCACCTGCGTCACCTGTCAGAGACGAGTCTGGAGAGAGAGATGAGGATCGAAACTCGGTTCAAGATGTTGAACCGATCGCAAGCCCTCCGCCGTTGCAAGCGGTCGGTGCCTAGAGAATCTCTCGATTGGTGTAGAATTTATCTTGGCTCCCAGCCTGGTGGAACTGGCTCCGAAGTTTTTGTTATTGGACTGCGTCCTTTGATGCCTGCCGCATTCGCGAGGTTATTGCTGTTTTTTTGAGGCAACGACGTGCCGCCGTCGACTCATTCATTTGCTTCCTCGTTCGCTCCTTTTGCTGTTTTCAGCGTATCCCTTGTATATTCCACCGACTACATACATACGCACAAAACAACATGCCGCGGAATGGCTTTTCAGCACACTCTGAGTCCTTGCCGGGTCCTCTCTCTTCACCAGATTGGAGGAGGGACGCTGTCATGTTGTCATGCGGAAAGCAATCAATGGCTGTTGAGCCGATGGCCAGACTTTATTCTTCTTTTTTTGCTTCTGTCGTAGCCTTTTTTGTTGCTCGCGGACGAGGTGGCCGATTCATGGTTTGATCGATTGACTGGGCGGTTGGGGCAAAGAAAGGGAAATATAAAACATGGGCGGCGAATGGATTCGGCGGTACGCGGGGGGCATCGGTCGGTCGGCCCTACAGAAGAAAGCAAACCAACAAGAAAAAGGGGACCGGGTTATAGATTTTTTTTTCTTCCTTCTTTGTTGTTATTACCCTTTTTCCTTTTCCCTAGCACGCACTTCGTTTCTTTCTTTCTTTCTTTCTCTTTTTTTTTAAAGTAGATTCATTATTTCCGAACGAGAAGAGAGGGACGGGCAGGGAAGGGGATGACTGGGGTAGCTGGGGCTAAGCGGCTAGATTCAAGCGTGTTGGTGGGCGTTCGCTTCCTCCGGCTACTTGCCTACTACCATATGGGAGGTTGTCGTTTTTGTCATTTCATGTTTTGTTTTGTCTTTGTTTTTGTTTTCAGAAGGGGGGGTGGGGGCAAGGGGAAGCCACTGTCTTTTAACGGAGAAGGGGCTATCCGCCAGTGTCGTTTCTGTTTCCTTGTCTTTTGTTTTTGAACTCCTCCTGCATCTTCACTCTCCCTCTGCCCAAATCAACATTGGTTTTTTTTAACCCTCATTTTTAGTTATTGGCCGTAGAAGGAACGGGGGGCTTTCCTGTCTTGTCTTGTTCTGTTTTTCTTCCTCTCTATTCCTCTGTATTTCTCTGTAATTAGGTATTTCGTTCGAGCTAGGGCGGGTTTTCCGGGGATTTGGACATGGTGAATATTTGGTCTGTCTGTCTGTCTGTCTCTGTCTCTCTGTCTCTCTCTATCGGATGTGTCTTGTGTCTCGTAAAAGTCTAACTAGTGGACGTCATCGGTATGCGATTCATTAACTACATGGGTTCCTTCCTTGTTTGACTTAAATAGTTTAGGTACCTAGTTGTGCATGCATCTGGTTGGTTGCTGTTACCTCTCCCCCTCCTAAATCTTGCCGAGGAAATGTGGGTGGGTGACTGCGTGTGCGTGACATGCCTCTATTTATGAGTCATGATTCGTTCTCTTGCCAAGTTCATCGCGACATCTTTGTTTAACGTAGTTATATGGCCTTTGTTTGGGCACGCAAGGTAAGTAGATAAGCAAATCTCGCTCGCGTGCGCATGATTTCAATAATTTGAACTACTTATGCAGGCAAGCAAGCAAGACAAATGTCTCAAAAATATGGATGGGTGAGAAGAAGGACCAAGACTTCATTTCTTCCCCTTCTTCTTCTTCTTAGCACCGCCACCGCCACCCCCTACCGGTGCTTTCTCCACCTTGACAGACCCTGCGCCGCCCGCCAGCTCTAGAGTTTCCTCTTCGCGCACGACGCCACCCTGCGTCGCCTCGGCCGCGCGCTTCTTGCCCTTCTTGCCCTTGGGCCGGTAACTGCTACGGTCACGCAGCGGCAGCCATCTCTCCGGATCGGGCTTCTTGTCGGGATCGAAAGACTTGGGGGGCTTGCGGGTGCGGCGCTTCTTGGCCGCAGGCTGCTGCTGCCGCTTGTCGCCGCCGCTCTCTTCAAGCGACCGCTTCTTAGCCTGGACAGGAGGAGCGGGGAGCACGGCGACGCCTGCTTCGATCAGGGCATCCACGTCCACCCCGGCCGTCAGCTTCTCGACCGGCGGCAGGGTGTCCAGGTGCGGCTGCACCTTGGCGAAATCGGTCGTCGCGAAGCTTGCGACCAACCCGGCGATGGCGATGCGGTCGTCTGGCTGCGCGGCCACGAGGTAGGAGAAAGCCTCGCCTGCGGCCGCCAAGTCGGCGGGGTGGTGGGAGCGCAGAAGCTCTACACCGGCCTCGCGTATCAGAGAGTCGCCACTTCCGGCGGCCGCCTTCTTCTTCTTTTGCCAGTGCGTGGCAGCCTTGGCCAGCTCGCTTCGAATCGCCGCGTGGCGGCCGTTCAGGCGGTACAGGGCCACGGCAAGGGCAACCAAACCCGGCGCAAAACGCACATCGGCATAGTCGGCCGTGGTAGCCGCCTCCAGCCGTTTGAAGAAGGCCTCCAGCAAGGTCAGTGCGGGGCCGGGTTTTTGAAGCTGGACGTAAAGCTGTATTATTGTGAGGAGCAGGCCAACGTCATGCGGCCGAGAGTCCAGTAGCGGGAGGATTCTGTGCAGGGCTTCTTTGCCAGTCTTCAATTCGCTGGTAGCTGCGGCGTTGAGCACGCCGAGATCACATGTGGCGCGTGATATGGCTGGCACGGCGTCCTTGGAGAGGATATTGGCTGTCAACTTCGCAACTCCAGGAAACTTTTGTGCCTGAAGGTCGGCAATATAGCGGTTCCGCCGGAGGATGGAGCTCTGGTACTCAAAAAGACGGTCGTTGCCCGCGCCATGCGGAATCGCCTGTGAAAGCCGCTGGGCCATGTACGGGTTTGTTTCGGATTGAAGGACGAGCATGTTGCACTGGGCAACGGCCTTAGTTGACGCGTCGGGTACACTTCAAGACTGCACGTTAGAAACAATACGGCAGGCTGCGGTGTGCTTGTTTGGGGGAGGGGCAGCTAACTCGGAGAGCAATATGGACTTTTGTAAGCTCGCAGCCTGATCAAGCTTCCCTAGCCTCGTAAAGACATAGGCCTGCTGCAGGATTATGGGGACGAGCTCGGCCTTCTTCTCGTCGTCGTCCAGGTCCTCGGACGCCTCGCACAGGTCCCTCGCCCTCTTGAGAAAGACGGCGGCCTTGGCAAAGTCTGCCCTCGCGATGCAGCCGCAGGCAGCATTGTAAGCCGTCTCGAAGGCCTCCAGCTCCTCCCGGCCCGGCTGCTTCTGGGCCTCGGGTACGGCCCAGCCCTTGCCATTCCACTCGAGCTGGGCGTTTGTGGCCAGGAGGTTGATGCGCAGGTCATTCTCTTCGCCAGCCCTTGCGCCATCCTCGGTGTCGGCAAGCTCTCGGTAGATGGCGGCAGCATGTTCAAACTTCTCGGCGCGGTAGGCCACCTGGCCCGTGACGTGCTGTAGGCCCCGATCTGTGTGGCCGGCGGCCTGCAATACGGCCTCGGCGGCAGCTAGTTGTCCAGTCTTGTAGAGCGCGTATGCCTTCTCGAGAGCGCAAGTCTTTTCGAGGCCCGGGCCGCCGTCGGCGATGGCTCGCAGCGCATCGTCGAAGCGGTCGAGCTTTAGCAGCGCGACTACCCGCGTGTGGCGGGCGGTAGCTAGATCGGAAGCGCTGCCCTTGAAGGCCTTGATGGCGGCATTGGCGAGCTTGAGAGCTTCATCGTGGTCCTCTATGCTGGCGCCGCGCAGCAACGAGTTGAGGGCGGCGATGGCGGGGTCTGCCATGACGGCTGCGGCAGCCGGTTGGACTTGGAGGGGGCGAGGGGATTTCGAGCGTCGATAATCGTAAGGAAGGCAGTTACAGTTAGACTCGGGTAATCATCATCCGACTACCTGGGTATGGAGGGGGTTGCTGTGGGGGGTGTCGTGCGTCGTATCGTATCGTAGAGAGACGGGTAACCGTTGTGGCTTGAATCCGGGTTTGGCGGGCAATCAATCACTCCACATCGGGGCGGGCCCACCAAGCAGCAAGCAGCGAGCGAGATTGACGAGGCTTGGGGTGCGGTGCGGGGCAGCTTGAACTTTTTGATTTCGATTATTTTTGTGGGGTAGAAAATGCATGCATTGGTTGGGCCCCTGGTCCCTCCAGCTGCTCCTTAATCCATCCAACCTTCTAATTAGCTATTGGTTGTTGCATAATTAAGAAGTAATTAAGCCAACTTGTTGTGTCTGACAACACCATTCCATGGTACCTAAACACCTTAGTTTACCGCAGCGACACGGCAAGGATCTTGATTAAGGTAGATGTGACTTTTCATCCCCACATCCCCCTCTCTCCTCGGTCTGATTCTTGAAATATTCAATAGACAGTCCCTGGTAAAACTCGTTTGGATGAGTTTTGAGAGGCCAACAACGATCAGGTATCTACATATTAAGGGTCCTGGAAAAAATTCCTTCCCTAACTACCTTGGCTTGGTCGATTTCCAGGCAATCAGTCGCTCATGTCGGTACCAGCTGCTTGGTGAGAGCCACAGCCCCGGGGCCTGGTCGGTAATTGCTGGTAGTGGCACGGGCCGAGCATAGTGATGTCCTTCTATTACCGATCTTCCAGGTTGGCTGCATGCACGAACACGCCTGTATCACTTCTAGGCACCTTGTTGAGCACTGAAAAGCACGAGGAAATAACGTTGTATTGGATGACAGGGATATTGTACATGGTTATGAGCGAAATAATGATCTTGTTCCTTTCCAGAGTGCCAAAGCTGATCGTATTATCCAAGCCTGCATACCATAATTTGGCCTTATTACAGAGGACTATGCCTCAGACGACATTGACGTGGAAATTCTGAATGACGGCCGTATCCTTGAGGGTCAGATCAACCGTATTCTTTCCTTCCGGGCCGTTGAGGATCTTCTTGATGACCCAGGTGCCTCTGCCTTCAATAGCCAAGCAGGTATCGCCGACCTGAATGAAGTCTTTGTCTGTGGAGTGCCTGAACGTACCAGGCTTCAGCATAGCCTTTGAGTTCACAACATGAATTGAAGCGCCTGTGCCGAAGATGATTGATCGGGATAGTGGGTGAGGGCCGTAGTTAACGGCGTGGACCGTAGTTAACGGCGTGGACCGTAGTTAACGGCGTGGACCGTAGGGATCACGGTAACGGAGTTCTTCGGCCAGCCCTCTTCTTCTTCTTCTTCGGTTGTGGAGGCCTTCCTGATCTTCTAGGCCAGTTCTTTCCACTCAGGCTTCTTCAGTTCCTCACGGGTATAGTCCAGCCTTTCTTCGGGACGCTGTACCGGCCTTTCTTGCCCGTGATGACCTCCTGCAGAGCCCAGCACTTCTCTAGCTTGTGGAAGGCGGCATCGGGTCGACAAGGGCATATGTAGGTTGGTCGATCGCCCTCTGGCTTGCCGTTGAAGGTAGGAAAAGCGCTCTTGGAAGCGGTGGCCTTTCCTAGTTGGCTTTCGCAGATGAGCCTGAACGTTTTGGCGTAGTAGGGCAGGTCCTGTTGTGTAGAGCCCTTCATCTCAGCCTTTATCATCTCCATCATTACGATGGTCTTCCAGTTGGCGTCATAGACTCCTGCGGCCTTGAAGAAGTCCTTAAGGGCTAGGGTGCCTTTGATCTCGTTGATGTCGAGCCTAACGGCCTCGCTGTAGGCTTCCTGCCAGTGGAGCAACCACTTAGAGGACGACAACGACTTCCCTGGCTTCCTTAGGACGGATCGTTATGCTTCTCGGGCTCTTTCGACCTCTTCTCCTGTAGAGATTAAAACCAGGGTGTGAAGCTTCTTGATGATGTCCTTCAGGGTCGTATCTTCAGGCTTAGCGACGTCGGCGTAAGTGGCGGCCGTGCTGGAGCGAATCTATTCCTTGATCTCTTGGATCAAGGCTCCCTGCTTCTCAAAGGCCTTGTCATCGCAGAGTTGTTGGGCCTCAAAAGACCGCCAGGCCTGCATTTGCTGAGTAGTTGCGTTGTCGACTAGGCCACGCTTTTCTTCATTAGTGCGAGGTGTGGCTTGAGGGTAGCGATGATCGAGGAAGTCTTGGTAACTGAAGAAGACGGTTTTGGGGAGTGGGAGCCAGTTGGTGTTCTTGATGTCAACGGCCTCGCTGAGGCCTCTGTCGCCGGCGACCTTTTTCAGGGCAGTGTACCATGCGGGCCATTCTGAAGGGCGTGTCAGAACGGGCTTGTAGAGGGTGGTGGCATTGGTCGCTGTAGCTGACGAAGCCATTGTTGGTTTGACTGATCGAAAGAAGAAAAGAAGGAAGAATCGAAAGGGGTTGAGAGTGGTCTGTTGGCTAAGAACATGTCGCCCAGATTTGAGCCACTCTTCAAGCCACAGCCAGCTTATGACACTCGAGAAAACGGACAAAGGAAACACCGTTCATCAGCCGAACAAAGTAATAAGGGAGAAAAGAGGGCATTCGGAAGTCCGAAAAAGGGGCTGAAAAGTAAGGAAAGAAGAGATGTGCGTGGTTTGAAGGGATATACGTAGAATGAAGGGATATGCCGACTGTGGCTTGAAATGCGGCTCAAAGTGGCTCGAATCCAGGCGACAATCCCGTCATCGATACGCTCCACTTAATTCCAATTCGCCTAGACTTACAATCCAAGATAGATAACCTTCTTAGGTGAAGGTTCGGCGGCCTAAGGCGCCAAGTAGGCGGTTGTAAGCAGACTTATAGGTACTTCCTCAGCAGCTAGAAAATGACTTGATTAAGAACCTCAATGAGGATCGATCAGTAGCCTGTGCTTGTTTCCGACATTTATCAGTCGCAGCTCGGCGTTTCCTGTGCATAAATAAAGATCGCAAAGTTCAACCCCCCCTTTCCGACCCCAAGGCCACTAACAACCAATTAGAACGCAAGCTCGAAAACAGTGTAATTGTGGCGAAGCTCGTGGTCTACCCAAGTGATCACCTTGGCCATGTACCAATAAAATCAATAGATGTCGCCTGGAATTGACCCACTTTTCATGGAATTGAACCACATTTTCCAGGCCCTGGTTAGCATGCCTCTGTACTTCCTTCATTCTTTATTTTTTCTTCATTCTTGGCCTCGGAATGCCTTCATTTCATTCGGAATGCCCTAATTTCGGGCTGATTACAACACGTCCCTTGTCCTCTCTCAACGAGTACAAGGAAGCGTTCTTTTCTGTACTTTTAGACCTATTTGGCCAGACAATTCAATGCGCTATCAACTTCGATCACGAGCAAGAATAGAGTAGGCAGGTATTAGCAGTACAACCTTTTGTCTATAAGGAAAAAGTTCCAAGTCCATAGTTTTAATCACCCAAGTAATAGCTAACTAAGATAATCCGAGGAAGAAAAAAGGAAAAGGCGATAATTAGAACCGTTCTTCATTCCATTTTACCTTCTATTTCCTTCTCCCCCGTTGGTAGGTCTCTCAAATTGTCGCCTCCAAGAAGTGAAGAGATGTATTATCCAGGCGACTAACCTAATACCTAATTACCTAACCCCCCACTCTTCGTGACTCTTTCAGGCTTATTTTATATCCTCCTTCGACTTGTCGGCGGTCGAAACGACCCCGAGGCTTTCCGCCGCGGTGCCATTCGCCTTCTTCTTCCTAGAGGCGGTAATAGCTGCAGGTGTAGACCCGAGGGCTGCTAGTGCACCGCTTGTATTCTTCTTGTTGTCCTGGTGTGACGAACCTGGTTCGTACTGGACCAGCTGCAGGAAGCGGGCGCCTCAGGCACGACTGGGGACCCCGCTCGTCGCTTGAGCCAGTCAGACGGTGCCCGGTGCCAAGAGGGCTCTTGGCACCAGGCAAATGGCCCGGCACGCTAGCAGTGCCCGGTGCCAGGCAGCTCCTTCCTGCCGGGCAAGTAAGAGCTGTGCTCTTACTGGCCCGCCACAATTAGATAAATACGATGACCGTGTCCACGGTCTTAGATAGTTCTTGCTTGGTTCTTCAAGCAAGCAATACACATTCACTGCACTCATACACTTTGAGTGGCATTCCGATTTGACTGTATTACCCGTGCGTTAGGAGCTTGCCCTTTGTTCTATCTTCATAATTACCAACCCCAGCATTCTGTGGAGCCCGTGCTCCCTTACAGACAGACGACCCTAACAGTCGAGTGGTTTGTACTTTGTAATACCTGGGCAGCCAGCGCAGCGGCTGCCGGGGGGGCCCGCCCCCGGGCGTTGTTGGTCTGACGTCGGTTTTCTGAACCCTTGTGGCCTTCGGCTGGTGCTCCTCTTTCGAGTTGTCAGACATTCTGCGCTTGAGCTCTCCTCCTCCTCCTCCACCGCCACCGCCGCCACCGCCGCCGGCGCCGCCGGCGTGGACGGAAGCCTGGCTCGGGTGAGCTTTGGAGATAGGAGCCACTACGGTCCTAGGGGAGACGGCCAGGTCGAGCTCGGAGATTGTATTTTTCTGTCGTGTTTGAGAGATGTCTAAATTTGGTAGATTTCTCGTTTGCGCATAGGGGTTGGTTGGGCTTGGGTTTTCGCTTTGGCTTTGACTTTGACTTTGACCGCGGGGCTCGTTCGTCGCGGGGAGAGAAGAAGGTACGGGGTTCGGCGGCTGCCGCTGCTGAGCTGGTGGCAGTGGCAGGGGATCTGGCTTGTAAAACTTGCCGCAGGATTCCATGTCGGGGGATCCCCGCTTCAGAACGAATCTGGCTGCCCACTTGTCCCTCCCAAAGGCGACAATATCCGGTTTGCCTGAAGCCGTGATGGTCACGCCGCAGTCCGTATTCTTTTGGACCCCCTTGATCTGTTCTCCGTTTACGAAGAGCTGGTTGGTGCGATCCGGGGCCAGCTTCTTGAGCGAGAGGACGCCATCAAGGAGGTAAAATTCGCATTGCAAGCCGTCGTAGCGTTCCGGATTTCTCTTGTCCGAGAGGGACACATCGTCGCTTGGCAATATTCCCAAGAACAGAAAGGGTTTTCGGTCGCCGGGTTTACGGTTTCTGGGGTTATAGTCACCAGGAACATATAATACGCGGCCCTTGTATTCTTTTGGTATCTGATCTGTGAAATCAACGTTGTGTGGAAGTCTGCAGATTCTCTCGGCTTCGTTATTTGTCGCAATGAAAGTTACCCCTTCTATTTCTTTATCAGGTTGTGCTGGTTCCGACATGACGAGGTCCAGATTTCAACACAGTCTTGTATGGCCTGAGTGGCAGCTGAATTGGCTTCCCGCGGGGGGGGGGGGAGGGAATGAAAGTTCCTCGATTTCTTTCCTTCAATGGATAAATGGGGAATATACTTGCCTGTATTAGAGAGGAAGCAGCCCCAAGTTATATACGAAAATAATGGTTAAACAATGGCAGCAAACCCCTAAACTCGATGGTTTCCACCGTTCCGCAAGGCGTTGCTGTGTTGTTTCACGCTGTACATTGGCCGCGATAATACGTATGACACTACGAAGCTCAATCATGAGTGTGACCTGCAACATGGGCTACAGCGGCTTGCCAGTGGCTGCGGCTAGGAAATAGAGCAAAAGACGTAGCAAAGCCTTTGCGCAGACTAACTGAAGGAACCCGAGTCTCGCGGAGAGGTGACGAAACCTTAGGCGAAACGGCGGGCAATGCCAATCCCATTTGAGAGCTCTGGCCTCGTTTCGAGTGTGCTACTGGGAAGACGTTCCGGGTGGTCAGATTGAAACAAGGCTAGTCTAGAAAGTCCGATGATGGCCTTTTTTTTCTCTTGGCATAATTAGACGAGATGGGATGAGGCTCGGTCATGTCGGGTCCGAGGATGCTCCGGCCGATCGGCGCACTACGTAGGCACACACCTGTACGCCCACCAAAAAAGCGACCTGTCATGATTCAGCTATTGGGTGATGTTGCGCAGCGTGTGTTTGGCCAGACTAGTCTACTATTTAGAATTAGATTTACATGTTATCATTCTGGCACTGCTTGCAGCCTCTCCTCCACAACTTGGAATCGCATATAAAATAATAGCAGTATGAACATGCCGAGATTTGCCCAGTCGCTACAAAGTTGAAGAGGCTGAGAACCCTTTCAGAGGTGCCACTTCGTGTAATTTGAATAGAAAGTAGAATTGGGCTTTTAGGCTGTCGAGGTGCTGGTTGCACAACGTCTCTAGTCTAGTGAGTCTGGTCAGGCATTTAGAGTAGCCACAAATCTCAAAATATTCCCAACATATTAGTAAAACAGTTCGTTTGAAATTATTAGATTATTGCATTGTAATACAATTTCGGTGATAGCGAATTCTAAGTGGAAAAAACGAGAAGGTCTTCCACTTTTCATAGAGCTTTGTCGTCTGGAATTGACCCACTTTTCATGGAATTGGACAGGCCCTGGTTGACATGCCTCTGAGCTTCCTTCATTCTTTGTTATTTCCTTCATTCTTGACTCGGAATGTCCTCATTTCATTCGGAATGCCCTCTTTCGGGCTGATTACAACGCCTCCCTTGCCTTCTCTCCATGAGTATAAGGAAGCGTTCTTTTCTGTACTTTTAGACCTATTGAGCAGACAATTCAATGCGCTGTCAGCTTCGATCGCGTGCAACAAGCTTTGATCTACGTACCCTCCCGTGGGTCTGTGGAATTCAAGTCTGTTGAAGCATGATTTGTTGACATGGTGATGTATTTCCGTGGCGTTGGGTGGCTGCCAGGAAATACGGCATCTTACCATACAAAAAGCGGTCCCTGCGTTCGCAGCTGCCAATGACCCCCAGGGCGGTACGCCGGTTTTTAGATGGGGTACCCAGACCAAAGCTCTTTCCAGATTCCTTAAGCACTCGCGGACCTCCAAAAGACAACCCCCTCTGCAAAACAAGTACTTCATGTCCTCCTTATCTGCCCAAACTCAAATCAAACCACCTAGTCATTTTTGGGGGTTCCAGCTCATGCCGTCACCTGCTGTTAGAAGGAGGTTGAAACGGCCGACTAGGGGATTATCAGGGTCGTCCCTCGCCCCCAAGGAGCGACTGGCGGAGCCGAGAGATAAGGATCAGTCAGAGATGCCTTGCGCTTTTGTTGCTTCTCTAGGCTCGAATCGCCGACTGCTTTGCCCACGGGGAGGCGAAGGTGTCCATCGGCCACCAGGGGGCGAAGAGGCGCAATGTCCACGGGGAGGTTGGGAGGCGCGACGACCACGGGGGGGTGTGAGGGTGTGAAGAGACGCCTTGACCACCACTGGGGGGGCAGCAGATGTTGCAACGGTCAGAGCCAGATCAGGTGGCAGGGCTGAGTTGCCTTTACGAATATTTGACTCCTTCCTAGTGTCTCTGGGCGCAGAAAGCGCTCGAGACTTCTTCTGTTCGTGGAAGTCGTACATTTTCTCCATGGCGCCTTCTACGGCTTCCATATCCAGGCCCCCCCACGTGGAAAAAAACATGGCGCCCTCGCCTCGTCCAATCTTAGAAAGCAAGTGTTCGGCGTTTTGTAGTGTGGATGCTTTAATCTTGTGTTTTTGAGGCCCAAGGCGGCTCCTTACGGGCCACATCTCTTACAAGGCCTGGCGCAAGGGACTAGGGTGGGTAAGGGGTGCTAACCGACTACGTATTACGTAATAACCAGGGGTGTGAGCGGCCACCATACGCGGGCCTACCGGACACTCTAAATTGACATCGCCTTGCGAGCTGACATTTAATTGGCAAAGCGTCATTATCAGGGCCGCAGGGCCGAAGGGCAAAGCGACCTGCGAACAACGTCAAAACTGTCGAGGTTGGCTAATTACAGCCCCCGTCCCCCACCAAGGCCCTATTTTGCCGTGGGCTGGTACTGGTTGGGTGCTTTCGTTGTCAGTGCTGCGCTGTGTGTGCTATTGTGTCATTCTAGTTTAGTTTGATTTACCAACTAGATAGAGCCCAATCATTGAATCATCTGTCGCTCTTTGGGAAGCCATCTTTGCAGCGTTGAACTCAAGATGAAATCTAACAACGAGATCTCTTGATAGCCACCGAGATCTAGTTGGGTAATTCCAAGTTGATCCGGCAAGATACGTGTTTACCTTGAGGCAGTACGTTACAGTCACGGCCACTCTTTTAGCAGCAGTGAGCAAGTGTCACTCGGGCGCAGACGAATGTGCGTCTTTTTCGTCAAGAAACAAGTTTTTTTTTTCCTTTGCTGGCGAGCTTCGAGACATAGCCCGCTATGCCTGTCCGAAGATGCCTACCTAGCTACCTACTTGGATAAAGAGAGTGTGCAAAGACGTGGACTTTGCCACACTGGGCTCCAGGCTCTGGGCTAGATGATATGATGGTGGGAAAATGAAATTCTCAAAGGGAACTGCCTCAAGTCACAGCCGGCTGTGCCTCGAGCAGGTGGCGGGGAGGAAAAGGGTGCTACTTGGAATTGGGTCGATCGGACTATTTTCTCCTGTAGTCTGGATGATCCCCCCCTAGGGTTTGCAAATGATTCCTTCATTCCCAAGCGTCACATTCTCGGCCAATTCTGCTTTCTTCATCAGATCATACAAGTCATGGCCCCCGTTGATTAACCCGTCATTGACTAGGTGTTTAAGTTGGTCCAATTGTGGTGAAGAGGCTCCAAAATCAACCAACCGGGTTTTTACTGCCTCGCTGCTCTTCCATGTCTTTATTGCGTTCATTATCTTGGTCACGTCGTTGTCGAAGATAAGCTTTCTGGCCAACGCCATTTCGAGGTATGGCATTGGTTGAAGGATTTTTCCAGGTCCAAATGAGGTCCCGTCGGATTTCAATATCTCAAATACAAGATCCATCACCGTCGAATCTTGTTCAACCGCTATCATGTGGCCCGACCAGGTATCCCTATTGACGATTATCGGATTATGATGCTTATTGTCTCTGTAAACATGGGTGGCCTTCAGCTTGAAGTTACGATAAAACGGGACGAAGTTGTGCGAAAATAAACTTCTAGTTCAGGACACTCTCCGTAATTAATCTTTTTGTCAATAAAGGAACAGAGCACCTATAAGCAGCCGAGTTATTAGCTAGATCTGGTATCATACTCAGGCACGGAACACCAGAAAAAAAGTGAGGGTGGGAGATGATTACCTCCCATTCAAAGGTCATAGGCGTTTTACGGCGGTATATGTTAGAAAGTATGCAAGAAAAACCGTCCAATTTGCCCCTCTTATCATAAGCGCTGAACTCTACATTAAAGTCCTTGTCGAAAATTTCCTCAACTGTCCAACTGGTAGTTCGACTGGCCGGTGCCGCAGGATTCGCTCTATGTTGATCGTTGGGATGACTGGTCGAGGATCTGACGGGGGCCGCCATGATTGAAGTTTGTGTGTGAAAGTTGGTTTGATGAGGGACAGTGGCGTTTCGAACTTGTTTTTTAGCGAGCAAAGTGTGGTACAGATAAGCTGATGAGAAGTTGATTAGATAGCTATCCAGGTAGTCATGCGTATTTATGGCCGGAAGAAAAGTTCAGCAATGCGCAAAACCATGGCTATGGACATGGTCCCCAATTGAGCGGCGGGACTGAGACTCGGCTGGGCCCTGTTCCTCGCCGTCGTGGTTCGACTTGTGGGGTTCCATTGTATTCCAAACAGGTCGGCATGCCGTCGACCGGTTAGAGAGAGAAATTGAATTGAAAAAGAAACAACCCCCCCCCCCCCCCCCCCCGACGCCCTCGGCCTCGCACTTTGTTGGACGCTGGGCGGTGGGACATGGCGATCAGATGGCGATAGGAGTCTGAAACCATGATGCCAAAGGCGCATCCACCATGGCTGTGACCGGGGCCTTGCTCAGACTTCCATGGACCGGAGCACCGAGGCCCAACTCCCGTCAGCTTGCGCCGCCCCTTATATCCGGAACGGGAGATGGCATGAGGCACGGTTCAGAACAGGGCAAGGCACCACGGGCACGCTAGTGCCAAGCGCCAACCAATTATTGCTACGTATTAGGTTCAAAGGCTGAATAAAGTGGTCTCTCTCTTAGATTGAGCAATGATGGAATGATCAAAGAGGTAGGATTGGTTTGAGAACTTGGAAGCTTGGAAATGTCGGCTTGCAGCTGTCATGAGTTGTCGTTAAGGTTATCATTGTCTGTCTTGCTAGTAGACCAAGTCAAATACCGCAGGCGGCACTAGCAGCCTGCAGGACAATTCCATCCTTCAGGCCTGCCTGGGTCCGGCCCGGTTGGTTCCTGCCCGGTTGGTTCCTTCCACTCACTAGGTTGCAATTGCACCGAGAGATTCAGTGTGGGGCGGCTTGGGTCCGGAAATGATCCGACGCGGATGGATCCATATTTGAGGAGTCCAAATGGCCCGTGCTTGGGGCCGGTCACTGGGCTGGTCTGCCCGCTGCGTCCTGGAGCCGGGGCGCGTTTCCATGTTGCGAGACGCAAGCAACCCGACTTCTTATCGAGAATTTGGGGCAGTCGCGCTTCAACACTCGGAATACATTTATCAATACTATAGAGTATCTGCTAGGTTCCTGGCGTATTCCATTTTCCACAGCTCAATGGATAACAAAGTTCTTCGTTACTACTCGCCTTACCTACTTTACCTACCTGGCTACCTACCTGCCTTGGGCACCTAGGAAGACCAACCCGTCAATTGGAGATTCCACGCCAAAATGAAATAAAATGCCCTACCAAGTGTTCCGATGGTTCGAGAGACAACCGGAGGGGAGTCCCGGAATCGATTTCCAGTTTTTCCACGAATCGAGTACCTTACTTGTTCCTCCCATATTCCATCATGCTGGGGCCCTCGGGCGTGCAACAGCTAAGGTAAGGTAAGGTGCCTGCTGTACAGTACTTTAACCGCTTCATTGGCCGGCGAGTCTGCGTCCTTTCTTGATTGCAGGATTCTTCCAGATGGGACATGCGGATATATATGCCATGCCCAGCCGGCCTTGTTTGTCCGCCAGCTTAAGATGGGCGATGGGGCCTGCTTGCACGCTGTCGCCGGGGGTGGTCGGCAACAGAAAACGGCCTTGACCAAGGACATGTAAAAAAAAAAAAATTGGAGAGGAAAAAAGACGCAATGGCATCTTGCGCACGTTTCGTCAGTATCGTCGCCAGTATCGTGAGCTTGGGTCTCGTCGCTGGGGGGTCCGCGTCCATCACGAAGCCGTCGGCCTTCACCTTCTCAGCAGATGGCACAGGGCTCCAGCTCGGCGGGCCCGGCCTTGCCCCCGAGATCAGAGTTGCCCCGAACGACTTCCCCGGCGTGATCCGAGCGGCCAACGAGCTTGCCGTCGACTTTGGAAAGGTGCTGGGCGTCAACGCCACCGTGGTCGTGGCCGACTGGGCCTCGACCTCGTCGTCAAAGGCTGGCGCGTCGGGGCCGCGGCCCATCATTGTCGTCGGCACTGTCGGAAGGTCCAGCCTGGTCGACAGCCTGGCCGCCTCTCGAAATCTGGACACGGCCGCTGTTGCCAACAAATGGGAGACCTTCTCGTACCAGGTCGTCCAAGCGCCGTGGGACGGGCGGGACTCCATCTTCGCCATCTTGGGCTCCGACTTGCGCGGCACCACCTTTGGCGTCTACGACGTCTCGGAGCAGATTGGCGTCTCGCCGTGGTACTGGTGGGCGGACGCGCCTCCCACCGCGAGGAAGTACATCTGGGCAAGCAGCACGGGAGCCCACACAGAAGGACCACCCTCTGTGAAGTTCCGCGGCATCTTCCTCAACGACGAGTCTCCGTGCCTGACGAGCTGGGGCCATGCCAAGTACAAAGACTCAAAGTACGGGAGCCCCTTCATCACGGACTTCTACAAGCGCATCTTTGAGCTCGTGCTCCGCCTCAAGGGCAACTACGTCTGGCCGGCCATGTGGTCGAGCATGTTTTACCTCGACGACGCCAACAACGGCCCAACTGCCACCGAGTATGGGATTTTTATGGGGACCAGCCATCACGAGCCCATGGCCAGGGCCGACAAGGAGCAGGGTAGGTTCCTCAAGGGTTCGTGGGACTGGAAGAGCAACAAGGCCGGCGTGCAGGCCTTCATGGAGGAGGGGGCCACGCGGTCCAAGAACTGGAGCACTATTTACACCCTGGGTATGCGAGGGTCGGGCGACGCCGCATCGGCCACCCTGACCTCGAGCGCGCTGGAAGAGGTGATTGGATGGCAGCAGTCGACTCTTACCAAAGCTCTCGGGAAACCCTTGTCCCAGATACCTCAAGCTTGGGTCATGTACAAAGAGGTCCCCGGCTACTGGCAAAAGGGCATGAAAGTCTCCGACGACGTGACGCTGCTCTGGAGCGACGACAACAGAGGCAATATTCGCAGGGTGCCGATTGCCAACGAGACGGCGCGCGCGGGCGGCAGTGGAATGTACTACCACTTTGACTATGTCGGCGACCCTCGCAACTACAAGTGGATCAACACGATCCAGCTGCAAAAGACCTGGGAGCAGATGACTCTTGCCTACGACCGTGGCATCCAGAACATCTGGCTCACCAACGTGGGAGACTTGAAGGGCCTGGTGAGTAGATGCAGCAATTCGTGGCACGGAGAAGGCGTTTCTCGTAGATCCGGCTGCTGATGATGCATAAAATAGGAACTGCCTACGGCTCACTTCATGGCGCTTGCCTGGGACCGAAACAGCTTTGAAGACCCGGGAAGCACCACGAAGTGGCTGAAAACCTGGTCCGGCGGCCAGTTTGGAGAGGTCGCGGCCGAGGCCACGGCGGCCATTATGACGACTTACGGACGGCTGATCTCGCGCATGAAGTACGAGGACCTGAGCCGGACGCCCTTCGCGTTCAGCACGACCAACTACGACGAAGCCGAGGTCAACTTCAACGACTGGACCGACCTGCTGGCCAAGGCGCAGGCCGTGTACGACGGGCTGCCCGCCGGCGCCCAAGACAGCTTCTTCGAGGTCGTGCTGCACCCCGTCATGGCCGGGCGCGGCGTCTACGAGATCTACACCAAGACGGCGCTCGGCGCCAAGTACGCCGACCAGCACCGAGCCAGCGCCAACCAGCTCGCGCGGGACGTGCAGAGCGCCTTCGCGGCCGACTCGGCCATCACGAAGCGCTTCCACGGCCTGCTCGGCGGCAAATGGAACCATATGATGGACCAGCTGCACATCGGCTACAACAACTGGCAGGACCCCAGCTCGCAGACCCTGCCGCGGCTGACCTACGTCACCACGGCGGCCAAGAACGCCCTCATGGGCGTCGCCGCTCGCGGGAACGCCGCCTCATTCCCCGCGGCGGCGACGCTGACCCTCTCGCCGCCGCAGAGCCCGTTCGCGCCGCCCGGCCGCCAGAGCTGGCTCGACGTGTTCGCGCGCGACAACGGCACCTTCACGTACAGCGTCGCGTCCAACGTGTCGTTCGTGACCGTCAGCAGCCCGCAGCAGGTGCTCACCGCGCCCGGCAGCGCCTCGGACGCGCGCCTGCTCGTGTCGGTCGACTGGGCCGCGGCGCCGTCGGGCTCCAGCGTGGCCGCGCTCAAGGTCTCGAACCTCAACGCCACGGGAACAGCGGCAACAGTGCTCGTTCCAATCGACAACCCGATGCTGCCCGCCGACTTCACGGCCGGCCATGTCGAGGCCGGCGGCGTGGTCTCGATCGAGGCGGAGCACTTTTCCGCGCCGCCGTCCGACGCCAGCTACGTGGTCGTGCCCGACTACGGCCGCACGCGGTCTGGCGTGCGGCTGCCGACCAAGTCGGCGTCGCAGGCGCCAGCCAAGGGCCCCGTGCTAGTCTACCCGTTCTACACGTTCAGCACGGCGCCGGCGGCGGCAGCACTTACCATATACCTGTCGCCGTCGGAGAACGCGAACCCGTCGTCGCCGAACCGGTACGCGTTCAGCGTCGACGGGGGCGCAGCCACGACGGTGCAGCCCGTGCCGCTTGGCGACGCCGGCAACGAGCCCGCCGGCTGGTCCGACGCCGTCGTCCGCAACGCCTACGTCAAGACGTCAGCCCTCGGAAAGCTCGCCCCCGGCAGGCACGAGCTCAGGGTCTGGCTGCTGGAGCCGACCATGGTCCTGACCAAGCTGGTGCTGGACGTCGGGGGCTTGCAGTCGAGCCTGCTGGGCCCGCCTGAGAGCATGCGGGTCGGTGCTTGATGGCTACGTATTCTGGCCACGCCGGGTGGGAAGGAGGACCGTGTATGCGTGGATACATACATGGCGCAGAGACTGGTTGCTCGCGCCGCAGGGCTACGCCTCTCACTCTATTTTATTTATAGCTGTTTCAGGTTGCGCCGGACTGGAGACTAGGTAAACAGCGGCGGGGGGTGCCAACTTTCCACGAGATTAGAAGGCAAGCAAACTATGCTGTGGTCTAGCGTTTTACTAAAACGGCTACCCTAGGCTTTTGAAGAACAACTACGCGTGGAGTGGCTGCATGAAAGGAGAATGGAGGGTGATTCCAGACTAGGACAAATCACGGTAGATGGTGATGACACCAGCGCAGTTCCGCCCATATGAGCGACGCCGTGGGGTTCATGAAGTATTGTATTTTCCGAGTCGCGACCGTCTGTCTCTACATATGTATGCACCCACCTCTCACAATATTGTTTGGAGGTAAGCTACCCGCAATGCAAAAGAGGCATCTCAAGGTAGCATATGTCAATGGGTGAGCATACGACGGGCATATGCCGGGACTGTCACCCTCGCCCGTCAGGCTGGCTGTCCCTGTCACGCGAGAGCCGGATCAGCCTAGGGGGCTGGATGGACGACGGTCTATTCGTCGAGGGTGTGACTCTCGGAGACAGGCGCTGCCAGTAGGGCAGCTACGCCCTCAGGGTCTGACCGACTCATGAGCTTGGGTATGGAAGCTTAGTGGGAATCCTTCTCGAACCGAGGCGCCCAGGCGGGGAAGGGAGTCCAGCTGGACAAATAAGTCATCACCAGACATCGCTGGGGTCGACCTCGTACTTGTCGCCGTCGGCGCGGATGTGCTCCTTCTTGACGTCCCTCTCCATGGGCTTGCGCATGTCGTAGGCGTCCTCGGAGGACTGGGAGGGGTCGCTGGAGTGGTCGCCGTAGTAGTCCTTGACGACGCGGAAGACGCTGTAGCCCATGCTCTTGTAGAAGGCGATGGCCTTGTAGTTGGTGCTGCGCACAAACAGGTCGACGAACCAGGCGCTGTTGGCGTCGGCGGCCGTCTCGAGCTGCTCCGTAAGCAGCTTGCCGATGCCCAGGCGCCGCGCCTCGGGGGCGACCGTGACGGCGGTGATGTGCGCGTGCCACGGCAGGTAGTGCTCCGAGAAGCGGTACACGTCGGGCGACGACTCGAGCTTGCCCATGACTGCGCGTTTTTCGGTTAATTAGATGACATAGTAACAAGAGGAGGAGGAGGACGGACTGTAGCCGATAATGTTGCCGTGCTGGTCCTCGGCGACCTGGAAGAGCGACGGCCACTTGGCGTAGTACTGCAAGTAGAAGCCCAGCTCGTACGTCTCGGTCAGCGGATCAAGGTTACATTTCGACAGCTTGTTGAGGTCGTCGGGCTGGAATCTTCGAAAGTTGGCCATGTCGACGACGGCGCGGGCGGCGTTCGGCGGGCGGCGTTCGGCGGGCGGCGGGCGGCGGGCGGCGTTTCGGTTTGTTTTTGTTTGTTAGCTTCGGCGGCCGCGCGGCATGGTTTGTCGTGCCTCGTCCCGAAATGCCGACGTGGAACGTCTAACCCCAACCCACGCGCCGGATTCTACGCCCGCTTGTCGGCATGCTTGCTGATTGGCCAGAATCCCACGACGGTTCCCTCCATATTATTGGGACCCAACGAGACCCCTCCCCAGATTCTTGAAGCGTTGGCATAATCAATTTGCAATACTGAATTCGGAATACGTCCATACCGAAATACACACCCGCATATTCACATCGAAAGCCAAAGCCCGTCTTATGCAGCTCATAGCTTCAAGCTCTGTGAGATGGTGACAGACGCAGGACGGACGTGCACGCGATAGTCGGACACAAGCAAAGGTATGAGTCGGCCATGCCATGCTCTTTATCTCGTGGAGAGTACTTCACAAGTTTCACTCCTAGCCCGTCGGCAAATGAATGGTTTCCATCCTCCACCTTCTGTGCCTGCCTTATGGGAGGCAATCACCTTACCCTGCCGTGGTGGGCGGCCTGGCCTGGGACCTGGGACCTGTGGCCCGTAGTTTCAGCGGTCCTGTCCGCTGCAGGTTGGGGCATCCACAACTGCCGCCGCGCCTGTGTTTCGTAGGCTGTCTAAATTGGGCAGCGACGGCGGAGAGGCAGCTGACTTTTAGCACCCCAACAGAGATGACACATCTCACCTGCCTGGCAATCCAAAGCTCTCAAACTCTACTTCCCCATCATGAGCCCCAGCTGAGCGGGGCTCGGCTTAACAAGCAGAACGTGATACAGATACATGGAGTACTAAGTACTGCGCAGCATTAGGATCCCCAATACTTAGCACCCACATCACCCGCAGTCCGTTTCATTATGAAATATTGTTTTCGACAGGACCCTGCTGGCCTTGCATCCGCTGTGTTCTTCTTTTTCTCACAAGTGCCCTGGTTGCGGTGAGATTAGTGTTGCTGCCTCCGACATCCGAGTCCATTGCCATTGGATGCCCGGCGACACCCCCCCAGCTATAGACTAGGCATTCTGATATACGGCTCCGTTTTCTTTTCGGCCTTCCTCGAAGAGGGTCATCCCTGCGGAACGAGCGGCCGTGTTCGCGCCAGACTTGCCTAGCAACCCAACCCAGCACACGCGTCAAACTGGAAGAAAAATAACCAGGCCATCTTGGCTTCCAGGGCATCTTGACTTCCAACCTACCCATCCATCGAGCACGCAAACAATTGCATTGTGTGCCCGTTTCGTTGCGCTGCGCTGCGGGGAAGGACGAAGACCCAGCACCGCGGTACTTGCTTGGCACCTGCAACACCGACATTCAGATCCACCAGTAAGTCGAGTCGCCTCGGCGCTCTCTGCAAGGAAACAACTCCATCGCAGCGCACAACAACAACACAGCACAGCACAGCACAACACAGCACAACACAGCACAGCACAGCACAGCACAGCACAGCACAGCACAGCACAGCACAGCACCACCAACGCCATGTCTGCGCCTGGTCCGCAGACGCCGCGGCACTCGCCGCACCCGTCGCTCGAGTTCCAGTCCCCCGCATCATACTCGCCCCAAGAGCGCAGACAGTCCAAGACATCCCTCCACGACCCCTCGACGCCGCTGCGAAACAGTTTTAACAACCCCGAGTCCCTCGACATGGCCGTCTTTAGCAGTGGGGGGTTCGGCGGCGGTGGTGGTGGTGGTGGCGGCGGCGGCAACGGTCTAGGAAACCTGGCAGATGAGCTAGCTGGTGCGTTTTCCGACGGAGAAGGTGACGACGTTGACGATGACGACTACTACGGGGACGACAGAGGCAGCGCGCCTCCAGATATCAGCTTCGACCTGGACGACAGCCTAGAGCAGCAAGGCCACGACGAGAAGGAGGCTGGCATATTAATACGAGACAGCGGCGTGGACGTGGAAAGCACAGGGAGCCAGCCGGGCGGCGCGAGGGGGCAAAGGAACCGCGCAAGCCTCGGCCTCCCGTCCCCCGTAAATGGGAGGGGCCACCGGCGAGCGCCGAGCGAGTACGACGGCAGCGAGTACGGGTCCGAGTCGGATCTGGAGTCGCCCGGCATGCCGCCGAAGCTGGTCGAGAAGATGGGCGAGGTCGAGTCGCTGGCGCGGAGGGGCACGGAGAGCAACGGCTCGTCCACAGACGGCGTCTTCCAGCGCGTCACGGACGGCCTCCGGGACCTTGGCTCGCAGTCTGGCGTCGAGGGGGGAGCTACAAGGTGAGAGACAAGCGCGTTGCAAGCTCGTCTCGGCAAAGTCCGAATCCTATTGTCTGTTTTACTGACACATACACGCAGGCTGATAACGGCGCATTCGGCCCTCACCACACACATGAGCCACCAGACGCGGCAGCTGCACAACCTGACGTTCCCGCTGCTCTCGCCGCTGGTGGCGCCGCCCGACGCCGACACGGTCGACGAGCTGCTGCCGATGCTGGTGTCGCTGTCGGGCTGCATGCCGCGGCCGTCGACGGGCGCCTTCAACTCGCTGGCGTCGCTGCACGCCATCACGGTGGACCTAGTGCAGACGCTCAACTACCTCTCGGACACGCTGCACATGTCGCGGCAGACGACGACGACGGCGACGCGCCGGCTCAAGAGCGCCAGGGACCTCGTGGCCGAGATGAAGCGCGACGACGAGCTGCGCGACGAGGGCGAGCGCTGGATCGCCCGCGGCAACTGGGGCGACCGCCTGCAGCGCCGCGAGTGCGCCGGCGTCTGCGGCGACGTCGTCGGCGGCTTCGAGGAGGTCTGCGACGCCTGGAGGAAACGCCTCCAGGCCCAGGCCGAGCCGTCGTCAGCCTCGCCGCCGCCCGCCGAGCAGGCCGCCTGAAACGAAAGAGATGAAATGACAGAAAAATAAATGAAGAAAAAAGTGAATGTTAATATTAGACCCCCCTTTAGATGTCTCGGTCCTATTGTCTGCAACAGGGCTGCTTGAGATCTGCTGTTGGTAGACAGACAGGAAAACAAGCAAAAATGGCCGGCCGTTTTCCATCCCTTTCCCCCAACCATCTCGTCCTAAAGAAGAAAGAACGAAGGAACGAAAGAGGCACCTAGGCGGCGACGTAACCAACCCCAAACCCAAACCCCCCTTCCTTCCCAAATCATATTTTCTTTTGTCCTCCGGTATTACATGTTTCCCTTCTCCTGTATTTTTTCTTTTTGGTCTCTTTGCATACGCGGCAGGGCAATACCATGATATGATATACCTCTTTTTTTTTTTTCTTTTGTTAGAGGCTCTCTCCTGCCACTTGAGCCGGGGGCTAAAAAAGACGGCGTTTGTTTACGGTTTTTTTTTGCGTTCTGAGAGATGGGGGGTTGGGCAATGGGCTGGGAGGAAGGGGGTCGGCCGGTTGGTAGGCAGGCAACCTGCCAAGGGGGGGGGGAATATATACATATACACATATACATACGAATCGCTTTGCAATGCACTGCGGGCTAGATCTTGTTTTTTTTCCATTGTATGTACCGCACGCACGCACGGCGAGGAGCTAGGAGACGGGGGCGTTCGTTCTGCGAAAGTCGGCTTGGAGCAGAGCTCTGCTTTGCCCTTGCAAGGCAGGTAGGTAATCAGGTGGGCCAGAGAGGCAAGGACTAGAGGAGAAAAACGTGGGCTTGGTTGATATAGAAGGAAGAGAAGAAGAAGAAGAAAGAAGAAACGCTTCCTGCTGCACGCCGCTAGGCGCCTGCCTGCCTGTCTGCCTGCCTTACTTTGGGTGCAGTACCTGCTCGTAGGAAACAGTATCGGGTGCGAAACCAACCATGAGTTGTATATATATCGGGATAAGGGGACAGGAATTCAGAGTAGAGTCGAAGCCAAACTGATATCTAATAGAGTGATGGAAGGCTGTTTGTTGTGCCCGGGCTTTTGTTCATAAAGAGGACCCGAACCCCTTTATTTTGGGTTAATACAGCGTTTGTAATAAGTAACCGCGCCTGCACAGCGGAGTCGTGGGTGGGCAGATAGATCGGTAGGCAGATAGATCGATAGGCAGATAAATCGATAGGCAGATAGGTTGATAGGCAGATCGATAGATAGGCAGATAGATCGATAGGCAGATCGATAGATATGGAGGGCAAGGAAGACGGCACAGATGTCCCGCTTTTCCAAACACGTTGGATGATATCTCCCCAAGGTATAGTCCCTCGTTCTCACTTCTTGTCTTACTCCCTTCGCCCGCCAAAACAAAGAACACTCTCAAAGTAGGCCCAACTTAGTAATCTAATCATATCCTTCAAACTCGTGAAAATGAAATGGCTTAGACGGTGCTTCACGAAACGAACATCACATCACATTCCTTCTTTATCCCTCCTCCCCCCGCCGCCGCCGCCGCCGCCCTGTTTGGCCTCCGTCTCCCACTCCGTCAGCCGCGCATCGAGGCGCCGCGCCTGCCGCGACAAGTCGACGACGCGGAGCAGCGCCGCGACCGTCTCGGCTACGTATTCGTCGTCGTCGCCGCCATCATCTTTTTTGTTGTCGTCTATGCTTGCTTCCTGTTGTTGTGTTTCGTGAAGCGGTGGGGGCGCTAATTGTTGCTCGCTGCCGCCGCCGCCGCCGCCTTGCTCCCCCATTTCGTCTTGCAGCATTGTCTGCTGCTCCGTCTCCTCTGATCCCCGGTGACTTTCTGTCGTGGAAATGTCGCTGGCGCCGCCCTTGTCGCCCGCCTTCAAGCTGCCGCTGCCGCTGGCTCCTTTCTCCTCCCGGCTGCCCGGGCCTGGTGCCGGTTCTCCTGGTGCAGCAGGGCTGGGCTGCGGTGTGGCGACAGTGTTGCTCCCGTCTTGTGGGACTGCAGTCTCCCCGGTCTGAGTCTCTTTGTTTTGTTTCCTGTCAGGTGGCTGCTCTATCTTCTTCGTTCCATCCTTGTTTTCGTCACTTGGAGGGGAGGTTCGGCTGTCATCGTTGCCGTTTCCATGTTCCGAAGTAGGTGTTGTGTCGAGGGCATCATCTGGTTTCGACTCTTCTGGTGCAGGAGCATTCTCTTTAAGCGCTTCCTCCTCGGCGGCTTCGCTTTGGCCTGTATCATCGACACCTTTATCAACTAAAACACAAATGGGTGGTTACTATTTCTGCTTCGCTACTCTCTGGTCTTCGTCTCACAGCCCGCCGTCCCGGCACTGGAGGCACAGCTGCGCATAACTCACTGATGGAATCCCTGGTCTTCTTAGCAAGCTCCTCTTCGTCGAGCGTCTCGCCGCTCTCGAGCCGGTTCACGAGGGCTGACACGTCGTCGGCGCTGAAGACGTTGGACTCGTCGCTGGCAAAGTCGTCGACCTGCTTGCGGAGCGCAAACAGGTGGTTTCTCTGGCCCATGAATTCGGCGAACTGGTCTTTGCCGCCGAAACACACGCCGTAGCCGTCGCAGTAGCACTCGTGCTCTTCGGGGCATTGGATTGCCTCGCCGGTCCAGATGTCTGGTTTTTGTTAAGCATGTCGCACGTTAGTGAATAGACTGTTGTTCAAAAGAACAGCTTCTTCAACTTAGGTTTCTTCCGTGATAGAGATAGACACACACCTGAGTGCATTTCCAATTTGGACGTTAGCAGGTGTTCAAAATTGATCTCCCTTTCCAATCGCCATTCCCGTTCTAGGAAAACCCACTGATAGATATACTCAAAGACCCTCCCGCTGATGGAGTCGTCGAGCTCGGTGGTCAGGATCCAGTCGCGCAGGGCGATGTAGCGCGACTGGGGCCAAGCTCTGATGCGGTCGGCGGTCAGGGCGAACTGGGCGCAGCAGGGTTGGGACAGGGTGTCGGGCAGGTCGTCGAGGGGGAAGATGCCGGCCCAGGCGGCGGCGAAGACGGCCTGCTCGGGCTTGAAGGCGTCGTACTCGGTGTTGCGCGGGTGGATGTGGTCCGGGCAGCCCGGGTCCCAGCCGCAGCGCAGGTTCATGAAGCCGAGGCGCACGACGCGGTCCAGGTTCAGCCGCCGCAGCGTCTGCACCGCATCCAGAGCGAACATGTTGTCGTGCCACGACGACAGGTGCGCGTGCATGAACACGCTGATGTCGGGAAGGTCCGCGTACCGGTCTACCATGTACGTCAGATACGCCATGGCCTCGCGGCCCTTGTTCAGCGGTGTGTGCAAGCCCGCCGCGCCGAGGTCGTCCGTCGTGTACATGTACATGGCCCAGTCCTCAACCACGGCGCCCCCGCCGCCGTCGGTATCCAGAGGCGTGCTAGCCCACGTCACCTCTTCGCTCTTGGTGCGGGCGATGACCACGGCCTTGGTGTAAGCGGCCCCGAGTGGCCTCGGGCTGCCAGGCAAAAAAAGGGGCGAGCCGGGGGTGATGACGGCAGAGGGATTGAGCAAGAGCTGCGGCGTGCTGATGTCGCCGCCAGTTTGGTTCTCCGAGAACCTGGGGAAACCTTTAGGGTCGACCTGAACAACCGAGACTTGCTGTGGTGAGTCGGGTAGAGAACTTTGGTGATAGAGAAGCACAAGAATAGCAACAAGGCCTGCTCCAACCCCGAGAGCCTTTCGATGGCGCAAGGCTACGCGGACTATTGGAGGGACGCTGGGGAACATGTTTGTATTTGAGCAGCAGTCGGTACATTGATCGACGGTCGGATCGGTGGGCTTGCCAGACAAAAGTTGGGAAAGCCTCAGAGGCATTCGCATTGCGGGATTCTCGAGTCTGGTCCTATAGGCATAAGCCTTTGAACACCCCCAGAAATGGAGGCCGCCTTGATACTATACTTGCAGTGGAGCCTCCACGGAGACGTCGGAGGGACTGTGGTCTTCCTCTTCGGGGCATTAGAGAATGCATTCCAGGTCAGGGTCATAGGCGCCGCGAAAGATTACAACTGAAACTCGAGACGATGCCAGGAGCTCCGAGCTGGAGACGACTTTGACAAAGAGGCCCTACAAGCAAGTGAAATAAACACTTCCATGAGGCTATGATAATCAACGCAATCTGCGATGACCCTCGGCGGTGCGCAAGAGATATTCAAGGGCCTTAAGATGGCACAGACAGTCTGTGCCAGACTGGTCGGCGAGAGATTATGGAACTGCGTGGTATTACGTGGCTAATGTGGTTATGGTGGTTATTGTACAACGTTTGTGCCCAAGACACAGGGAAGATAGTGCCATCCGGGGTGCGCGAGAGGTGTGACTGCTCAGTTTGTGAACCGAAAGTGGCCAAGAAAGAAGCAACATCTCTATCGGAGCCCCGCAGAATGAAACATTTGGCTATCAGAATGGCAGTGTGTGGGTATGTAAAGTGTAAGGCCGCAAATTTCGCCAGAATTTGAACTAGCCTGCTGGGAAGGAATATAAAGAAGAGAGTGGATTGGTAGTGGAGGGTATTAGATCTGATATGGCGCCCCAGAGGTTTGTTATACGAATTTTCTTAGTCGGTGGCCTGGTTAAGTCTGGTCTGGATTCTGAATGCCTGCGGGATCGGCGGGGGTGGTATCTGAATGGGCAAGGTCGGACAAGCTCATTAGGTCATCTAGGGTAGGCTTTCTCGTGAGATAGGTGCTGTTGGATTTCGGCCGGATATCTGCGTCAACGGCAGGGGCTCGGCGTTTGGGCCTGGTTCGTATGTCCTCTTCGTCGTCAACAATTACAACCATCCAGACGCCTATCGTACCGTCATTTCCCAGCAGAGGTGTACAATGGAGCCATCTCGTCCGGCCATCGCCATCGAATCGGTTTATCCATCGTACTTTTGCAGTGACGACAGTCCCGTCGGCAAACGCCCTGGTAAGCTCACCTCGGACATGGTCAGAGCCCCCGATCCTAGAGAACAGCGGACTCTGAAGTATTCCGGGCACGCGAAGAGAAGGCGAGGTGAAGAGGATCCGTAGATTAGGAAACGGCCGCACAAGGAGGTAATGCTCGTAGATGCCCGCAAGTCGTCCGTTGGCCAAATCGATGGCGGCTTGCGGATCAGGGGTGTTTGAAGTCTCTTCTTGGATGACCAATCGTGGCTTTTGCCAGTTCGAAATGGCGCCGTCGTGCTGTATCCCCTCGCGGAAGCGATGCATTTCGCCGCCATGCCTCCTCACAGTTTCCATCTCGGCGACGTCAAATAGCTCGCTCATCTCCCGGAACGCGTCGTTCTTGGTCTGGACCCCGTTTTCATTCCCCGTGAAGTCCTCTGCCACTTGGTTAGAAGTAGTCTCGCTATTGACGAGCCGCCGTAGAGACTCGAGGCCGACACAATCCTTAACAAGTCCGGAGACGTCGATCTGCGCCCCAAGCATATATCTCATGACCCCCTGGCTGTCGACAAGAGGGGCGCACATGAGCAGGTTCATGAAGGGAGAGCCGTCTCTGCGGTAGTTGAGAATTGTTTCACAATGCTCTTTGCCAACCGACAAATTCCTCCTCAGTCGCTGGATGCTGGAGCGGTCCGTCTTTGGCCCCTGAAGAAAACGGCAATTCCGACCTACCACGTAATTTGTGCCATACTGGGTTGTTCGGTAGAATTCTGCGCAGGGGTTTAGCACTCGTTTCATACGCCGCCATACTCCAACTTTCAGGACCCCGAGAAGCTCACCTTCTGAAGCGAAAACAATTGGATTGTCTTCACGGGACGGGTCTGTCAAGCAAAAGACTTCTGCTAAGCCTTCAGACATTTCTCGGAGGTGAGCTGGTAGCGACCCGGTGATTCTTTTCTTGATGGAAATAGTTGCTGTCCGGATCCATGTGTGGGTGATAAAAGCCGGGAGTTCTTCTCGAACGAGTGCATCGAACGCCAGGTCGGCCTTTTTCTGGAGGAGAAGGTTTACCGTCGATGGAGCCTTGTCCTTGGCAAAGTCGTGATCTCCAAGAGACGGCAGGTTGCTTGCAATGGTGTTTGAGTACTCGACAGCCCGTAGTGCCTTGAGGATGTCAAAATAGTAAACCAATAACGGGGCCGAAGCCGGTCGGTAAGTTTGAACAAAGTCGTTGAATCGTATCATGAGGTTCTGGTCGGCAAGCATGAATGCTAGGTGACGGCCCGAGAAGAGCTGCTCCGATCGCTTCTCCATACAATACCGGCCGCTATCGTCAGATGCCGCGGGGTTGATCAGGTCAAAGCTACCAGGCTCGACTTCCTCTTCGCGGAGCGGTTTGATATCTGGCCCCCTTACTTGAAGCGGGGCCAAAGAGGTGGCATTGGTCTGGCAGGTCGATGCAATAGAACTGGGTCTGGATATCGTGGGCAGGGTGGTGGCGGCTGTCGGCGACGATGAAGGGGCCATAGAGAAAACCTGAGATTGCGGTCTTGCCGACCCCTGGCTTTGCAGCATGTCATCCCAGCAGATACTCCTGGCGCCAAAGGTCAGCCGCTACCTAGTTAGCAACCGAGTGTGCCGTTCTTACCCTCTCTCGATAGTCACTGAAATTGGACAGGGGGCGGATGGCGATAGCTCTGGACGCGGCGCAACAGCAGACTCATTGTGACCTGGCTGGGCCTGTCCGGCAACCTCGGGGAGCGGTGATGAATCTGGCCCGATATTTGGCCCATTGACCATTCCGGGGGCGAGCCTAGACGAGCTCCGGGGCGGTATGTTGGGAGATTCTTTGGCGATAGGAGAGACTTTCTCGACCGCGTTGCCTCCTCCAGGCACGGGTTGGCTGCCCATGCCGCTCTGGCGTGTAGAGGGAGAGATGTGGTATGTCAAACAAACGAACGTACCAGAGATCCCACAGGCGCCTACCAATACACTCGTGTGGCTGTCGCAATTCTCGAAACGAACGGGATATCGATGCTGCGTTCTGTGTCTATAGCCTATCGACGGACCAATGATGCGAATCTTGGGCAATGGGCAGAAACAGGACCAGGAAAACCGCAGCTGAAGAGATATATGGACGAGACTGGCCAAGCTAAGGTATCCGTACCTTAGGTTCAACCAAGCCGACGGGTCCGGCCTAATTCTTCTTTTCCTAGTCCAAGTCCCAATAGTCCTGACCTAACTAAGGTACCTCTTAAGGTAGGAAGTGGTAGTGCCATGCCGTGAACCAAATAGAGGGAGGGCTAACATTACATCTGTAAGGAAACTTGGGTCGACATACATCTTGAATCAACCGTTTGTTTCGAGTTGACGAGCGATCATGTCTGTCCATCTCAGTAGTAGGCTCTCATACCCTGGTCTGCAGTCCGGCGAAACACCTAAGTATCGTAGGTTAGGTGTTTTAAACACTTTAGGGACTAGAACCTAGCGACATTCGGCGAAAGCTTTCAACTAGCGTAATCTTTTTTTTTTTCCTTTTTTTTGGGGGGGGGGGAGGGCGCGCGGTCTATGAGAGGACTAAGACGTCACAAAGTTGACGACGGCCAAAGTCTGTGGGACAGGCGTGTGACCGCCTGCGCCTAGACTACTAGAACCACTAGTAGTACTGTGTGTATCCTCGAGATGGCAGGGCAGGCACGAGGCAGGTAGGGCTGAGCTGGGCAGCAGAAGGAGCAACCGGCAGTCAAGATTAAGCCAGCCCACATTTACGAAAGATCGCCAGCCAGAAGAGACCCGCAGCTCGAGCATTGCCGTATTCTTGGGTTTCACCTCCCATGGAGCACTGCGGGTGCAGTGTGCAGTGCTTCGGCTGGTGAATCCCTATCCGCACTTCGGTGGCTGGGTTTGTACGCCCCTTCGTGGGACCGACCGAGGTCACGACGAGTGCCCGCTTCCCAGGCAGGTTCCCGGAGTTCCACAGAGCTCGTCACGGTCTGTCTGCTCTGCTGCCATGCTGCTCTGCGGCTTCCTTTTTAGGCCCACCTCGAGGCGCAGACGGACATTGCCTGGGTTTTGCTTGGGTGGCCGGAAAACGCTGGCCCTAGCCTCGAGGTAACAGACCCATCCGGACCTGCAAAGCCATCGCGTGGACCTGCATTGGATCTTGTGCGCCCTGTGCTGAAGCTTAAATACCTTAGGTCGAGACGCAATTAAGGTGTTCCTCAATGGACTCTAGCTGCAACCCAGCTACAGCCGTTTTGTAGTGTGTAATATTCACTAAGCCACCTGAGATCTGGAGAGAGACTGGGAAGATAACAGAGGTAGGTTGGTAGCACACCTTACCTTACTTATGACGGACGGCAGCTTTAAGCCATACTAGCCTCACACCAGCCTTTGGGGACCTTGCAACCCATCTAGACCCTCGGGATGAGCTTCCACGGCCAAGCCCGTCTTTCTCGTTCCGCTATCGGCAGCGAGGGGACGTTTGCACTGGACTTTAGTGATTGGACCACACGTTGAGGTCTATGGGATTCGATCCATCCATCCCGTGCCGAGCCGAAGCCACTCGACGAGAGAGCATGGAAATTGAAATTTGCATCGCGTCATTGGACAAGATGTGCGTCTTCGTGGTTCCTGTTGTTGTTTTGTGGACGTCTATCTGTGCTTCGTGCATATATTGGAGAGTGCGGACTGTGCCACCGGGATTGGAATGAAGGAAACACGAACCACACGCGCGGATGTCTGCCCGAACACGTCGCAGCGCTGGGCCCAGGCTTGGCTGCGGGGACGTGCGTGGGCCCCTTGCCTCTCGGCCCGCGGTGCGCTCAGAGACTCAGCCAGTCGGAGGATTCGCAGCCGCGACGTTGAAGGGGACCAGCGCAGCCGACCAAAACAATAACAAGCCCAATCCAGCGAACTGGGAAAGGAGACGCTTCCGCCACGTCTGGCCCCAGGCGGTCAGACTTGCAGTTTTAGCTTCCAGTGTGCAATACAATAACAAACATCGCGAAATACTAACAGGGTTCCCCCCAACAGTTTCGCCCTTGTTTACGGAGAAGACAATCCTCCACCCCCCCAATCCCCTACAATTGGGGCCATGTCACCTCCACCATCAATGGACGCAAGTATTCCACATTTGGCAGCCCGAGCTGGCCTGAGCCTGATTGAAGTCTGGGCCTGTGAGCCTGACAGCGAACAGAAGACAACCCCACCCAGGCACCTCACCTCACCAGCCCAGGAAGCGAGTTTTATGAGAGGGGTTGGGCTCGACGGCACTGGCCACCGATCACCTCAACTCGCTGTGGCTGCCGCTGCTCAGACAACACTGCTAGAATTGGTTTGGCAAAAGGGCCCAGGACCCATTTTGCTCGTGAGTCGTGAGCAGTTTGCGTGCGCGAGCGTGTCCTCCAATCCAACCTCTCATAATAAACATCACTTCGTGCAGCATTCTGGATAGACAGCGGGTCGCAGAGTAAAACGGAGCAAGGCCCCGCATTGACAGACGGCCGCCCCGTCCACCGCGTCTAGGTGTATATGAACGAGTTTGGTAGATGTGTAGGCAGTGTGCAAACGAGCAATCTCCATGCATGCAAACGTGCAATCGCGCAGCGAATTTAATAAACTAGCTCTGATGGTGTCGGGCTGCCGGCCTGGAAGGCAACGGTAACGGTGGGCGTTGGATTTCCGGGGAAGGGCAGCTGGATACGTATTAGAGTATTAGGCGCCGTCGAGTTTCAACTGCTCCAGAGGCGGCTCCCGTTCTTGTCTGCCAGCTGCCTTTCTGCTGTGTTGTGAGTGGACCGTGCGTAGCTGTGGACAGGGGCATACGCTGCTTGCTTGTTTGAAATCGGCTAATCAACGGCTTTAGCGCGACTGTCGCCGCGACCCGTCCCACAGGGCGCCCCAGCTCTCTCTCACCTGCACTGACACTGACCTTCCATTCCCGCGACTCCTAACCTCAACCACCACTCGACCGCACCACACCTGACCTGTGAGTTGCAACACATCGCATCTGAGTTTCGCTTCTCTCGTTCGGCACTTTCCTATGTTTGCCTGCTTCAACGGCGACGAGCTAGAGTCTGCGGGATTGTCTGCGATTGAAGTGCATCTCGAATCTTATCGCCCTGGCACCCCCCGAGTTCCCACAGGAACCTAAGCTCCATCGCCCCGCCACCTCAACTGTTGTTGACGCCATCCCGGAGCCGCACGCCGTTTTCATTTGGCCAACCAGCCATCCAGAGCCCCGTCATCGAACCCAAACCGTTGATGGAGGTGCGCCCCTCTGGGCGACAAACATTTCTCTGCGACGGCGTCGGATCTTCTTTGGTACATTGCGCGTTCTCATTCCCGCCCTCCGAGCTGCCTCAGTGTCACGACTCGGAGAGCTCCCTCGCCCTCGCTGCGACAAAACCGACGACGCAGCCGAGCGGGAGTTGCTCTAGGCACCTACCTACCCTTTACCCCGCACCTATAGAGACATCGTCTTGTATTCCCGATTACTGCGTCGCTTCTGCCCCTGAACGATGGGCCTGAACGGCGACTCTGGCGGCGGCGCCCTCTCTGCCGCCCTGAAAAGGCCTGTCCCAGATTCCAATAGTCCCACAGTCGCTAGCCCCTCAAGAGTATCTACACCACCCCCGCAGTCTGACCGATTGCGCGGAGAAGCGAGGCAAGGAGAACGGAATGGACGGATCAGCTCGAGACCTTCTGATTTCGGCCGATTTGCCGGCTTGGATGCCGATGCAGTGGACAGTGCCTTGCGACGGGAGCTCGGACGTCAGCAGCGCGAGGACACGCCTGGCGCGAGCCCGCACAGAAAACGCCAGAGAATAAACGGAGATCGGTTAGTAACCTTCGCACTAGCAGCTCTGATTCTGAGTATGTCTGCATTAGATGCTTACATTTGCCTCCAGCTTCATTCCCACCCGATCAGGCCAGGACTTGCAAGCTGGTTTCAGTCTCTTGCACGAGGATGGCTCCCCCGCGACGCCGTCGAGGCTTAAGAAGAGGACCCCGCACGGGGAGCTGCACTTCCAAAAGAGTAAGTGAGATCATGACACGGCCTAGGAGGGTATGTTAACATGTCGTGCAGCTGAGGAAGCCAATCGGACCTTCTCTACTCTGTTAAGAGCCGAGCTGTTTGAAAACTCGATACCTCAGGCTACGCCACCCAGCATGTCGCCCGACCACGGGCGAGCCTCGAATGGCGGCCATGATGGAATGAGGTCTCACACACCCCCCAACGGCGCAGCCCCATCACTCCCCTCCACGCTGACGCCATCCACGCCCCATAAAAACCTTTTTTCTTATATGAGCCCGAGGCACAGCAATATAGGGGGCCATCTGACCCCGTCAAGAACCCCGCAAAGCCGCCATGGACCGAATATGGACACGCGCTCAGAAGTTTACAGTCTATCACCAGTCCGGTTCAATAGCCAGCAGATGCTTTTGAGTCCAAGACGTCAACCGCGGGCCGTTAGCAAAGTACCGTACAAGGTCCTGGACGCCCCGGATTTGGCCGACGACTTTTATCTCAACCTCGTGGACTGGGGAAGCGCCAATGTTTTGGGCGTTGGTCTTGGGAATAGCGTCTACTTGTGGAATGCTGCAACAAGCCGCGTGAACAAGCTCTGTCAACTGGAGGACGACACAGTGACGAGCGTATCATGGATCCAAAAAGGTACTCACATTGCGATTGGGACAGGAAAGGGTTTGGTGCAGATCTGGGACGCCGAGAAGGCTAGGAGACTTCGGACCATGACCGGCCATACGATGCGAGTAGGCTCGCTCGCGTGGAACACGCACATCCTTACGTCTGGATCCCGAGATCGGTTAATATATCACCGCGATGTGCGGGCGCCCGACCAGTGGCTGAAAAAACTGGTGGGCCACAAGCAAGAAGTTTGCGGGCTGAAGTGGAATTGCGAGGACGGACAGTTGGCTAGCGGTGGTAACGACAACAAGCTCATGGTCTGGGATAAACTCTCAGACACGCCTCTTTGGAAATTCTCAGATCACACGGCAGCAGTGAAGGCGATTGCGTGGTCTCCACACCAGCGTGGCCTTCTGGCTTCAGGCGGAGGCACGGCCGACCGGCGCATCATATTCCACGACACTGTTCGCGGAACGGTTGTCAACGAGATCGACACGGGAAGTCAGGTGTGTAACCTGGCCTGGTCCAAAAACTCGAATGAGATCGTGTCGACGCACGGCTACAGCCAGAACCAGATCGTGGTATGGAAATACCCATCCATGACCCAGGTGGCAAGTCTGACGGGCCACACGTACCGGGTCTTGTACCTCGCCATGAGTCCAGATGGAAGAGTCGTTGTGACTGGAGCAGGTGACGAGACGCTTCGCTTCTGGAACGTGTTCGGCAAGCGTCCCGGCGTGAGGGACGATAGCGATGGTGGCGGCAGTGGACGCCTTCAGGACTGGGCAGTCATCCGGTAGACGATGGGCTGCAGTAGCTTCTCGCGTCTGCGAGGAAAGCGGAGGAGGGTGGATGGGCAGGAAAGGTCCAGACCCCTTTCAGAACTTGTGACGCCCGACTGCAAACCGGCCGCATAAGTTCTGTGTGCAATTTCGTCCGACTCGGTTTGCTCAATCTCATCTCAACCCAGGCGACGACAAAAAAGACCTGAGGTTTTTTGTCTTTGCTGCAACGCCAAACAGTAGAAATCTCTTCTTATCGTGCGAAACAAGCAGGGCACTACCAACAACACGACTCATACGACGCAATCTAACGAAAAAAAATACCCTCATCTGCTCAACTTTTTTCCCACCTCTCTTATTGTACATGGGAGCAACGATATGAATGCTCCCTCATCTTTGCATCAGCGGCGACATGGGAGAAGGTCGGCGTTTCATGGCCTGGTTTTGGCTTTTTGGGGTGGTTTGCTTTGGGCCAGCGGGGGTGTAAAGGGGGAAGGGGCTGGTACTGCTTCATCATTACTATTATTATTTTATTTGCGAACACAATGGGTGCCTGGCATGCAGCATTAGCATTGCGAGGGGATACAATTTTGGCAGGGCACTATGGAGACAGCGTATGTATCCCGACGGCACTACTACGAGGTGCTTTCAGCGGTGCTTTCTGGCTTTGTTTGATCACGTTGTTGAAGCGGCTTTACCAACTTGCTACTCTCTAGCAATACGCATCTGGCTTCCAGTGTCATGGATACGATATCTGGGTTGGCCCTACAAAGAAGGCGCTTTCTGTACAACAACGGTTGCCGTTATGGGCAGCTTGCTAGCTTACCTACCTTAGCTGTTTATTGCCAACGCACATTGAGATCCATCTACATGGTTCTTTCTGCAGTTCTCTTACGGTACATGTTTTGTGGTATTTCTCAAAGGTAGGCAAGTACCTCAAGTCTCTCTGGACCTCTATGGGTATAAACTCGGAATCATGTCTCCATAAGACTTCCATTGCCTGCCTCCCTTCGGTGTTCTGTGCTCCGCAAGTCAAAAAAACTCCCGTCGTCGTCTCCACAAAAGACCTGAGGTAGGTTATTTGTCCCGGTCTTCCCCGCCATATCCCTTCTTAGAAAACGCCGTACGTACGGAGTACTCGGACGGGACAATGGAGACCCACCTACCTAGAGCCCTCTCCACCCGGATGACCATAACCTGCTGTCAATGACGCAGCTCAGCCAAGCAAGTGTCGGATCATGGGTGTCTTTATCACTTGACTTGATTTCACTTCACTTCACATTATGTAGCGTCGTGTAGCGCAATGATAAGTATTCGTAATTTCTCGTTTATACCTATAGAAGTAAGAGAGCAAAGGGTATTTGATCTGTAAGCACCCAACGAGTCCGACCACCGAAACTAGACCCGGGCTCTAAAGCAAACTACGCCCATACCGGCCTGATGACACCGGAAAACAGGAGAAAGGAAAATAGGGAAACCGGTAAATATAACTCGGGGTGGGTATACCAGCAACAAAAGCCCGACAGAATAGGAAAGACGAGAGAGAAATAAACCAAGTACAACTCCCAGCCCGTGTAACAAATGCGCAGGGTGCAGATGGTAGCTGTTTCCATATTTACCCCCTTCCGTCCGGCCATCAATAGGGGCGCCGCAAAGGCTCCACGGCCAAGCCAAGAGGAAGGTGAAGGGTGAAAATTGGTAATATCCATGAATAATGGACACAAAACACCAAAACAGAAACAGATGAATAACTACGATGCAGTATCGGTTTCTCCGCGCTTGCGCTCCCTCGCAACGTCTCTTGCGCCGCCATCCATATCCGTGCCCGTTGTGATGCCCAGTTGTTCGGTGGTATTTAGCATTGTACTAGTGATGGCGGCGTTGACCGAACTGCCACCGTCAGTGCTAGCGTTGTCATCGAGGATGAGGCTAGCCGTCTCGTCAAAGGCGCCTCCTCCGGTGGAGCTGCCTTCAGCCCCGGGTTGCGGCGCTAGTACTGGGCTTTGCTGCAAGCTCATGCCATCCGTGCTGTGTTGCCATTTGGTGACCTCGGCCTTCATATCCTCAAGCTCCTTCTGAAAGCGCTTGCCAAAAATGTCAATGTAGTAGGTGCTACCGTTGTAGACGGACCAGGTGAAGACGGCCATGAGGAAGCCAGCCGAAGACCACCGACTGTAGAACCAGAGAGGGCAGGGCAGCATCGTTAGCACAGCGTAGAGGTACTGGATCAACATGAAGGCGGGTTCCTGCAACATTGAAGGTAGCGACAGAACGACCTTGCCGATCCAGGTTTTGCTGTACGATTTGCGAAGCCAGGTAAATGACGTGGGTCGGCCAGCGGCGATCTTGTCGCGCCGGCGCACCGTGATAAAGAAGTAATAGCTGAGCTGCCAGAAGGCATACGGGATGGTGGACCAAGAGAGCATGGAAATCACGTTGGCGTAGGCGGTGGGAGAACCTGGTGGCGACGTCTTGACGGTCCAGGAGGCGGGGAACCTCTCCCTCTGAACTTCCGAATCGATTAGGTGTAGGATGCAATGTAGCGTTACGCAGGGCATGATGTGGATGAAGAGAGAGGTGACCTTGTCAAAGCTGTGGAAGACGAGCGAGTTGCGCCACATTATGATGGCGACGGCGTTGTTGCCAAAGGCCAGGCAGAAGACGGAGGTGAAAAGGCGCTTGGAGCCGGGGAAGATCCACAAGCTTAGTAGTAGGAGGAAGTTGACAAAGTAGCACAGATCGGCGAGGAAGTAGTGGTATCCGCGCCGGTGGTACGTGATGAAGCGGATGGGCAAAAAGTACAGGGCCTGGGCAGTGTACCAGAGGTGAAACATCTCGGGGTATGCGCCGATCAGGTAGCCGCTTACGAAGATGTTCATGACGCCGCATATGAATGAGATCTTCTCGCGCAGCGTAATGGCCTTGGTGTCGTTCCACCGGCTTCCCAGCTTCTCGACACTCACGCGCATTCGTTTCCGGTAAATTGTAAGCTGTTCCTCGGCCGAAGGAACCCGCCTTCGCCACTCATCCACCATGCGCTCGCGGGCCATTACGCTCCTATTCTTGAGGGCCTCGCGCGACTTGCGCACCTTCTCCGTCTGGGCGGAAATGCCCTTTTGTATCTTCTCTAGCTGCTGGGGAAGAGCAAAGTTGTCGAGCAGATCGAGCATCGACACGCGATCCAGCGGCGGGAATGCGTCCCAATCTTCATGGTACGAGCTGCTACCCGAAAAGGATGGATTCCTCGACAACCTCGGGCTCTTGGACGACGTCGGCCCCAGCGTGGGCGTGTCGACGGCATGGTCGATGGCATGTTCGGGCGCCGAGTTTCCCAACGGGGGCGTGCCGCTGGCCTCCGGCGTCAGAACCGGCTCGCTGTCCGTTGAAGGGCTATCGGGTTTGTGATCCGGGATGGGTATTGGAAGGCTGTCTGTGTCTAGTTCCGCCATCTCGATTTCGGCTCCCGGGGTGGGACTGGTATTATTTGGTGATTTCTACGAGGGGATTTTGCTAAAAAGTCAGCCCGCTGTCTTTGCCAGTTGAACGCGTCGCGAATCTCATGAGCAAAGTCAAGATGGGTGCGCATAAATATTGTAGATTCCAGTAGGGAAGAAGAACGATTTTTCAAAAAATCAAAAGGCGCGGCCAAGGAGAGAGTTCGCAAATGACCGTGGAAGACGGGAGCAAAATGTTGGGGGGGCACTTTCGACTTTGACTTACACAAGGAAGCCCCCAAAAAGGCAACCAGCAGCCTTCCTCCCTATATGCCAGATTTGACCACAGCTATCAAGGGAAATGCAAAGCACGAAAAAGAAGAAAAAAGAGATGGCCAGCTGACAGTAGGTGCTATTGTGCATTCAGTCAGGCTGTCAAAGCTGTTGTGATTAATTGTTGGGGATGTGGTGGTGTGTAATGGCAAAGGTGCGGGATGGAAGACCCATTCATGTGATGCAATGACGGGTGTCACTGTCGTTTGCAGGCTTGTGAAGCTAGGTCGCAACTAGGAACCTGGAAGTGGGTGTGCTCAGCGCTCAGTGCTCAGTGCTTAGTAGAGTTAATGCCTCAGGTCCTAAACGTTGTGGCGCCACACTTTCCGTATCATTGGCTGGAGCACCCAGGCGTGTGTCGATGGTCGTATTCTACTGGACCTCAAACACTGACACCAACTGGCCTTGGTCCAATGATAAGGCCACGCCCCAAGGCTCAGTGTGAAGGTCGGCCGAATTTGTATCAAGCCAGGTGACACTTTGAACGGCCAGGCAGATAGAGACCGCTGCGCGATTCTTTGGTTGGTGGACATGTCAAGTACCTACCTTACATAATTACCAAGATGGGCTTGTGGAGAGGCAAGAGGAGCCTGAGCAGTAGTGGTACGGAGTATGCCGCACTTGCCTTACTATAGAAAATGGAAAGGTCGGGATAGCAAAGAATCCGGCTTATATAACCCTAACCCTATTCCTCTTGTTAGACTTTACCCACGAACCGCGTTGGCCCATGCGCTAAACTCCCCCACCACAAACTGGCTCCCCTGTTGCAGCGCCATGGAGGTAAATTTATGGGTCAATCGCGAGTTGAGAAGCGGGACAGCGCGATTGTCAAGTTCCTAATTGCACGAGAACCTCGTCGACTACCGGATTCGCTCGCGTCTACACAGCTTGATGGTCGCGTAACTCTTGCAAACTCGTGGCTAATCGGGTACATCTACTCTTCGATCCCAGTTTGTGTGCGCGACAACAAAACTGCCGTCGACTCCGCGTCTAAGAGCGATCGCGACCGCAACCGAAACCGCGACCATGGGGAAGCTCATCCGCCTCGAGCTTTTCAGTATGTATCACCGCCGCCACCACCGCGCGCGCATGTATGCGAACCAATATAACATCTGACACGCTTCTACAGACTTCAAGTCCTACAAGGGACACCACACTCTGTTGTTCGGTGATTCTTACTTCACCTCCATCGTCGGCCCCAATGGCTCGGGAAAGTCAAACTCGTGAGTCGCGCCCGCTCTTGCCCGATGGTGTTGATGTTGACATGCTCGTTTTTTTCTAGGATGGACGCCATCTCCTTCGTCCTGGGTATCAAGTCATCGCATCTTCGATCTACCCACCTCCGAGACCTGGTGTACCGCGGCCGGGTTATGAAAACATCCAAAATACAGGAGGACGGCACTGCGGCACTAGCCACAAATGGCTACGTGAATGGTCACCAAGGCGGCGATGACGAAGATGCATCCCAGAGAGCGTCACGAAACGATCCCAAGACAGCCTGGGTTATGGCCGTCTACGAGGATGACGCCGGCGATGAGCAGAAGTGGAAGCGGAGCATCACTAGCAGCGGCTCGAGTGAATACCGCATCAACGAGCGCGTAGTCACGGCGCAGCAATACAACGAGGCCCTTGAGACGGAGAACATCCTGATCAAGGCGCGCAATTTCCTCGTCTTCCAGGGAGATGTCGAGGCCATCGCATCCCAATCCCCCCAGGATCTCACGCGCTTGATCGAACAGATTTCGGGGAGTCTGGAATACAAGGCCGAGTACGAGAAGCTCCAGGCAGAGGTCGAGCAAGCTGCCGAAAACCAAAACTTCCAGCTGCACAGGAGGCGCGGCATAAACTCGGAAATCAAGCAGTATCAGGACCAGAAGAAGGAGGCCGAAAACTTCCAGAAGAAGACCGAGGAGAGAGACGAAGCCGTCATCACTCACATTCTGTGGAAGTTGTACCACTTCCAGCAAGTCATGGACGAGTCCAGCGCCAAGATCCACGAACACCAGGAGAACCTCAAAGAGTTCCGCCGCAATGTTGAGGCTTTCGAGAAGAAGTTAGAGGGTGCCCGCCGAGAGCAGGCTACCGTCGGGCGAGAGGTCGGAAAGGTCGAGAGGAACATGAAGGCGAAAGAGAAGAGCATCCAGGACCGAGAAAACAGCCTGGTTCCCATTGACGAGAAAATTGCGCAAAGCACCCAGAACATGGGACTGCTCCGCAAACGAATCGGTGACGTGAAGAAAGATCGCGATAACCAAGTTGCCAACATTCAAAAGTTGCAAAAAGATCTCGCTGCCGTCGAAAAGGCACAGCAACTGTTCGAGAAGCAGTGGGCTGAGACGCTGAAGAGGCAGGGCAAAGAACTCAGCGACGCAGACCGAAAGGAGTACAACAGCCTCCGGGCCGAGGCCATGAAGAAATCATCAGATAGCCGATCGAAGCTGGACAACCTCGGCCGCCAGCTGAAGAGCGACGAGGTGACGGTGAACAGCCTCAAAGGGAAAATCGAGAGCTTCGAGGCGGCTATCGAAAAGCTGCAGAGCGAAGTTCAGGTGATTAAGGACCGCCGGGATGCCAGCCAAGATGCAGTTCGCCAGATTACTGGTGAGATCAGCGCCAAGAAGAAGGAGTTCAATAGTCTGCAGTCGGACAGGATCCGGACGAGTGAGTATCGGACCCAGCTTGAAGAGAAGCTCTTAGATGTCTCCAAGAAGCTAGACGACGCGGATATCGGCCGACGGCAGAACGAAAAGGAGACCAGGACAAGAAACATGATCAGCGATCTCAAGCGTATCTATCCTGGCGTGCGAGGACGAGTTGGCGAGCTTTGCAAGCCCAAGCAGAAGAAATTCGACGAGGCTGTTATCACAGCGCTCGGGCGCGAGTTTGATGCTGTCGTCGTTGACACGGAGAAAATCGGCATGGACTGTGTCCAGTATCTCAAGGAGCAGCGCTTTCCTCCCATGACCTTTATCCCACTCGACAACATCAAGGTCAACACGTCCAACTCGGCTGTTAAGGGCATCCCCGGCGCACGGCTCACCATTGATACTATCGACTTCGACCCCTCACTCGAGCGCGCCATCGCATATGCATGCGGCGGATCCGTTGTATGCGATAGCCTCAGCATTGCCAAGGATATAGTCTTTGGCAGGAAGATTCTGGTCAAGGCAGTGACGGTGGAGGGATATGTGATACACAAAGCCGGAACAATGACAGGCGGTCGGCTGCCAGAAGCTAGGGGGGGTAAGCGGCGATTTGAGGAGCACGATGTCCAGAATCTGCAGCGAATGGCCGAGAAGTTCCAGGATGAGCTCTTGAAGCTTCCTCAAGCTGGGCGGCAAGCAAACGCCGAAGGATCCCTGCAGAATGACATTTCCGCATTGGAGCAACGCCTCAGAATCCAGCAGAGCGAGTTGGCTGCCTTTGAGAAGAATCTCAAGGGCAAGCAAAAGGAGCTTGAACACCAAAAGCGACAGCTCCATGAGTATGAGCCCAGGTTCAAGGACAAGGACGGCGAGCTGCAGGTGGTACGTGTGACTGTTGAAAAGTTCGAGAAAGCGATCTCGGATGTCGAGGATAAGATCTTCTCCGGGTTCTGCAAGAGGCTCGGATACGAAAACGTTCGAGACTACAAAGCCCAGCAAGGAACCCTCGAGCAAGAGGCAGTCCAGAAACGCCAGGACTTCAGCCTGCAAAAACAAAAAATCGGGAGCACGCTCTCCTGGGAAAAGTCGCAGCACAGCGCGACAAGCGAAAGACTGCAAACCTTGGAGGCTACTCTTGGGCGGCACGATGCGGATGTAAAAGCATACCAGCAAGAAAAGTCCGACATTGAGGAGGCAATGAAAGAAGACCAGGACGAGCTTGAAGCCCTCCAGAAGAGCCTGGAAGAACTCAGAGCCTCACACGCAGAGAAGTCCAAGAAGGTTGCCGAAGCGAAGCAGGAGCTGCAAAAGAAAAACAAGGACATCGAGGGTAGGTTAAAAGAAACCAGCAACCTCGAAGCGACTGTCCAGAAGAATGGCACCGACAAGCTGGCCTTGCTGCGGAGATGCAAGCTCGAGCAAATACAAATTCCGCTCCAAGAGGGGTCTCTCGACGACATCCCGAACGAGGACGTACTTCTCCAAAAGGAACAAGACGCAATGGACATTGATGGAGAGCACGACGAGGAGGAGGCACTAGAAGCTGTCATGGATAAGTATGGCATCGAGATTAACTTTGATGGTCTAGACGACGATCTGAAGAACGTGAGTTTTCCTTTCTCACACCCCCTGATGTTATTTTCTTGCACAGATACTGACATGGCCAAATCTGGACAGGCCGACGACGGGGACGTTGAGGAAAAGCTGCAGGAAAAGATCTCGGCATTAGCGGCGGAGCTGGAGAAGCTGAACCCCAACATGCGAGCCATTGAGCGTCTCGAGTCGGTGCGGTCGCGGCTTGAGTCGACAGACAAGGACTTTGAGGACTCGCGGTCAGCGCTCAAGGCGGCGCGCGACTCGTTCGTGCAGGTTAAGGAGAAGCGCTTCGAGCTCTTCAACAAGGCCTTCTCGCACATCCAGGAGCAAATCACGCACGTGTACAAGGACCTGACGCGGTCCGACGCGTACCCGCTCGGTGGGCAGGCCTACCTCGACATCGAGGAGGACACGGACACGCCGTACCTGTCGGGCATCAAGTACCACGCCATGCCGCCGCTCAAGCGCTTCCGCGACATGGAGCACCTGTCGGGCGGCGAGAAGACCATGGCCGCCCTCGCCCTGCTGTTCGCCATCCACAGCTACCAGCCCAGCCCCTTCTTCGTGCTCGACGAGGTCGACGCCGCCCTCGACAACGCCAACGTAGACAAGATCAAAAAGTACATCCGCGAGCATGCCGGCCCCGGCATGCAGTTCATCGTCATCAGCCTCAAGGCTGGCCTCTTCCAGGACAGCGAGAGTCTCGTCGGCGTCTACCGCGACCAGGACGTCAACAGCTCCCGCACTTTGACTTTGGATGTGAGTTTTTTCTTCTGGTCTCTACATCCTCGCCCGTGCAATCTTTTACTGACTTTGTTTCTTCTCCTTCAACGCAGCTTCGGAAGTACGTCTAAAATCCATTACCGTCCGCATGGGGGTTTGAAACAAGCTAGCGAGCCAGCGAGCGAGCAAGCATAATATGTTGTTGTTGGTACATAAGGGAGCGAGGCAGATGATGCGAGCGTATGTGTTAATATATGCGGTTGGGGGGAAGAGACAATGTCCTTTATATGTACGAACGAGGCTTTTTCTTTCGTCTTTCTCTTCTCGAGGTGTTCTTTCTAGGAGACACGGGAACCGGGGGGTGTGGAGCGGGGCTTTTTTCTTCTTCTTTTCTCTCTTTTTCTTGATTCTCTCTCGAGAAGGAGGATGCCGATGCAAAGGTCATGGTATCTATGCAGTTTTATTATCTCTTATCACGAGGCGCTTTCACACAACTCGTTCGAGCTTTCACATTCGGGCTTTTGATCTTCACCTATGCTCTCGCTCTTCGATCTCGTGGTCTCTGTTTCACTGTGCTGTCCTTTTTCAACCAGCATTTTCTTTTCAGAGGTGATTTATATAATATGATATCACGGTTATTCCGGCAAAAGTAAGCAGTGTCCTTTTCATTGATATTCCTTCCAGCCCTATGAAGAAAAGGGAGATGAAGACGAATTCTCAGAGAACGTCAGGGTTCATGCAGGTTTCCCCAGACCAGACCCCTAGATGTGCTTTTAGGTTGGTTTTGTTCTACTGGGAACAGATTGCTACCGACATACGCCTTTGCCGCAGGTGAACAACTTCATCTCCTAACGCCCTCGATGTTTTATGCACAGAAGCCAATGCCCTCACTCCCTTGCCGTTAGAGATTGCGCTGTGCCCGAAAATAACCCCTATCTCAAGTCGAATTCCACCGGACCTTTTAAAGTCCTCGTGCTTTCCGGAAGGAAAGGGATGCAGGCGATGTGACTTGATCAGGCAGAGGAGACCCACAAGCAACCGGGCTATATTGAGCCTAGGCTGCGTGTGTAACGTGGCGATGCCGACGGTGGAAATCATGCGCCGAAAGCAAGCTCTGGGCCGTTAAATTCTGAGCGTTTGGCCGGATATCAAGCCTCATCACTTGCCTCAAAGAGGAATGGGGGCTTTATTTCTTCCGTAGATCCATACCAATCAAGCATTGGTGCCAATTCCTGGGCAGAGAAGAAATAGGCTTCTTCCATATGCAAGGCGCCTCGTAGAATCGACACAGCTGCAGACCTGGCGGGGCACGCTCTGACAAAACAAGGCGAGACTACGGTCAGATCACATCCTCGAATTCGAAGTCGTCATCCTCGTCCTCGTCTCCGCCCTCGGCCTTGACGTTTGTGAAGGAGACGCTCATCTCGTCTCCACCGCTAACAGCCGGGGCGGCGTCCTCCAGCTTGACTCTCTTGGCTGGTGCGCCGCCGTCCTCGTCCTTGTCCTCGTCCATAGCGTCGGACTGAGTCTGGACTGGCACCGAGCTCGTGGTCATCCATATGGGTAGGGCATTCTCGGCCAGCAGACGCTCTTTCCGCTTCTTGTTCTCGAGGTTCTCCTGCTCGCTGTTGCCGTCGGAGATGGTTACCGACATGGTCTTGGGCCCTGTTATGGCCAAACCCTTGACTGCCGACGGCTTGCTGAAGCTAACGTCTACCGGGATGCTGGTCAGGACCTCGTGGGTGACCTCGCGCACAACGGGCCTGGCGACGGCGATGGCCTTGTCAAAGGTGCACTCGGGCACTACGGTCTGGTCAATCTTCTGCAGCATGTCGGTCATGAACTTGAACTGATTGTTCATGCGCGACAGCTGCTGGTGGCCGGGGGCCTCGCGCTCCTTGGACAGCTCGAGCACGCTGCTGCAGCGCTGGCAGGTGAAGCCAGACATGGAGACGGAGTCGAGGACCTCGAGCTGCGACCATTGGGCCTGACACCGGGGGCAGAAGTACTCCTTTGACTCGTCGGCGGGGTTGACAACGCTCTGCATGTCCTTGTCAGTCTTGTAGACACGCCACTTGATGGCGTCAATAGTCTGGCGGTAGTCGATGAAGTAATATGTGCGGTTGATTGGCCGCGTCTTGCCAGCCTGCATCTCTGGCCGTACGTGCACCGTCAGGAAGCGGGCATCGCGCAGAGACGCGCACAGCTTGTGGAGGTCCTTGAGATTCATCTTCATCAGGTAGGCCAGCTCGTCGTCGCGCAAGGCCGAGTGGGTAACCAGGGCGTCGACAGCGAGAATCTCGGTGACCGAGTAGAAGGCCCGCATGACGGAGCGGACCAGCGTCTGTACCACCTCCATCCTTTTGGTCTCCGGTTTAACTGCCTCTCTGCTTGAGGGCGAAAGCGAGCTGAAGCTGGTCGCTTGAAACACAAGGCCAAAAGAAGAGATCCAAACCCGGCCGAATGCGCTTGTCTCTAAGAAGTCGGACGACAGGAGGAAAGAAAGGAACCTTGAGCGGCTAGGTACGCCCCTCCGACCGACCGACAGGAAGCGAACTGAATAATATTACAGAGCCCAAGACCACAAACGAGAGGCAGCCACGAGTTTGCGCTTCCGTGTGGCCGCGCAGAGTGTGTGACTCGAGGCGCAAACCACGGTGCTCGTCGCTGCCTGGACAAATTGACGACGGGAGTGAGGTGGTGAAAGAAGGAGCCGAGGTTGGCGAGGTTGACCGCCGCACCTCAGAAGCTTTGGTAAAATATTACGAAGCCGCAGCGTGTTGGCCCCCCGCAGCGCAGCGGGTGGCAAGGCCCGAGTACATACGGTTTTTCGCACGGTCATCAAGCTCTGCCCACAAAGCCAGGCAATCCGAAGCATAAAACAATGGACGAAAAGACGGAAACAAGTTAAAGACATCTTACGCCTATCCATGCCTGTAATTTATCAAGCCGATTTTGAAAACCGGGAGAAGAGATAACCTTGGTCAAGCAAATCGCACAACGTGGGTAATTTGGCGCTCACTGGTGGAAAAGAAGTTCTTTCTTCGGTTTTGTCATCGTGCCTTCCGCATGCGTACTGCATGTACGTTCCGCAATGGGGGCATTGTTGTTTGTCACCGGCCTCCATGCTTTGCCCACGGGCCGTGACAGGGTGACTGTTACTAAAATGTCTGTATTACCTACTCTACTAAGGTAGTAGGTAGCCCGGTGATTTTCTGGCAATTCGATGTCGGCCTGCAGCTTGCCTGGCGGCTCACACTAGAACCTCGATGCATGTCAACTGAACCGCGCGATTAAGGTTGCGCCATGCAAGTCCACATTCGCCAATGGCATCTCTTCACGATCCATTCGAGTTCTATTTATCGACGCTTTCCGCTTCAATTGCTCTAGAAATCCTCGTTTGAGCCATACATAGTACTTTCTCCCGATGCGCGTCGTCACGTTGTCGCGGTCGTCGCTGCCTCCCTCGCAGCCACCGTGACCGGTTCCCGAGGCCTACCAGCCAGTGTTTGAGCTTCGGCTTCAGTTGGTCTGGACACAATATTTTGCACACGCCGCGTTCAAGCATGGACGATTTTCCAATCATATTCCTCCTGTCGGCTCATTTGGAGTCTGAAGAGCTCCAGGAACTCGAAGCGCAAATCCCCACTCTTACATATGATATTAATGAGGCTGAACTTATTGTCGGCAAAGTCCTTCGAAAACAGCGTATCCAGTTCGAGCTGCGGAAACACAACATCGTGACCGAGGATGTTAATATCGCCGACTCGCCAGCGCCTCCAAGTCCCAAACGGGCGCGGATTGTGGCACCTGCTGAGCGCAGCTCATCCCCCGATTCTGATACGGCATCCGACGGAGAGATGCACGGCCACACAGAAACAGCAGCAGGGACAAAAACCATCCGGGTGGTGAAGCTCGACTGGCTTACCGAGTCTGTGAAGCTAGGCAGAGCGCTCCCTGTACGTGACTATATTGTCTACGAAGGCCGCAAGGTCTCAGCGACGCCCATGAAACCTCCGCCAGCTCCTCCTACGAAGACGGCGCTTTCCGTGAGGAGCGCCCTGGCGAAAGCAGACACTCCTTCTGACAGATGGCGGCCTGGGTCGTCTTACGGGCCAGGGAGAAGACCCAACCAGTTTGGACATGGTTACCACCATCGCCCCGACAGGCCACCGCCATTGATCAGGCAGACTACGTCGGAAAATGAGGTTTATATTCACCTCCCGCCCATCCCGGAACATCTTCACGCGACGTACTCGTGTCAGCGTCCTACCCCGGTCAACCCGCCCAACGAGGTGTTCATCCAGCAGCTTCTAAAAATCAGAACCGGCAGAACTCTGATAGCAGATAAAATAGGCGTCAGAGCCTACTCGAGCGCCATCGCTACCCTCGCCGCATATCCATACACCCTAACCGGCGCAAAAGGTAGGAATTACTTGCATCACGCCACTCATGTTGGGTTCGGCTAAAATATATCACTTGTACAGAGGTGGAAAGACTCCCAGGCTGTGGCTCCAAAATTGCACAGCTCTACCAAGAGTTCCAGGACAGCCACGAGCTTAACGAGGTCAAAGAGTACGAGACAGACCCTAAGCTTAAAGTGTTGAGGCTGTTTTATGAAATATGGGGTGTTGCCGAGACCACTGCGCGAGAATTCTACAACAAGGGCTGGCGAGACCTGGACGACATTGTCGAGCACGGCTGGGATACCCTGACGAGGGTGCAACAGATCGGCGTCAAGTTCTATGACGAGTTTCAGCTCAAGATACCGCGCGCCGAGGTGGAGTCGATCGGCGACACGATCCTCAAGCACGCGAGAAAGATCGACAAGGGATTCCAGATGGTCATCGTCGGGGGCTACAGGAGGGGAAAGCTCGAGAGCGGCGATGTCGACATGGTTCTGAGCCACCCCGAGGAATCGGCAACCAACGGCTTTGTCGAGAGCATCGTGGTCAGCCTGGAGAGGGGCGGGCACATCACGCATACGCTCACGCTCAGCACTAAGAATAGCGAGCGTAGCCAGCTGCCGGTGAGCTGGAAAGGCAACGAAAAGAAAGGCTCCGGGTTCGACACGCTAGACAAGGCGCTGGTGGTCTGGCAAGACCCCAAGTGGGCGTCGGGCGTGGCCAAGAACCCGAACCCGCACCGGCGCGTCGACATCATCATCAGCCCGTGGAAGACGGCTGGGTGCGCCGTTTTGGGATGGTCGAGCGGCACGACGTTCCAGCGCGACTTGCGCAGATACTGCAAGAAAGAGCGGGCGCTCAAGTTCGACAGCAGCGGCATCCGGAGCCGCCTCGACGGGTCGTGGGTCGATTTTGAGAGCGACCTCGACGGCCGGCCGGCGCCGGACATGCTGACGGCCGAACGCCGAGTCTTTGCGGGCCTTGAGCTGGAATGGCGGCCACCAGAGGAGCGGTGCACCAATTAAATACATTGCGCCTGAGTTGATGATGGCCATTCTGGCGATTTTATACGGGCGGGTTAGAGATACATCTTAGTCGCGTGTTGTCAGGAACAGAGGAGAAACCCGACAGCCTGGGACCCGCCCGCCTCCCGTGCCTTTTTGATGGTGCAATCGCGCAAGAGAATATCGCGACCGGAAACGGTTGGGTGAGGCTGTCCACTGTACGCTGATGCGACCAGGGGTCCCTAAAGAAGATGCTGACAGGCACTGAGCAGCACTGCAAACAAGCTTTTAACGTCATGCCGACTGCTGCACGACATTCCAGCAAGCACCCTGGGCTGCATTCCCGCACCTGGGACCCTTGATTGGGATTTCGGATTTACTTTATTATTGACATCTTGCCCCCTTCCCCTTTTCTCACCACGCTCTCGGTGTTCCACCGCGGTTTTGGATACGTATTCCACGGATTTTGAAGCCTTCCATGCCCTGTCATCCAAATGACAAAAACGTGGCCAACCGTGCTAGATCGGCAGTTGATTTGGCTACCCTCAAGCTCGGTGCTCGGGCAGATCCAAAGGCCGCGGGCCCGCCCCTCATTGGACAGACGAGCCTGCCCGGCAAGACTACCCCAGACAGACGCGGATAATGTCTCCGTTCAGGGGGGTTAAGCCAGGCACGGAAATGTACGTATATCCATGGAGGTACGCCGTAGTGACGCTTGTATACGTAAGAATTTGGAACCGACACATGGGTGCATCCACCCTTGTTTTCTGCGCAATACCGGTGCGTGTGTACGTACATCTGCGCATGACCAGGTAATTACCCTTGTGCGCTAGAGTTCCATCTAGCACAACTAAGAGAAGGACATGATTTTTTTGTTTGCCTGCCCGTGGTCCGTCCGTTGTCCGTCCGCACTACATCACGATACACGAACGATATCTGCCCGCCCACCTACCTACCTGACTTACCTGACCTCATTTTCTTCTGGACATATTTGATCCCGTCAAACACATATCCAGATCCCTTTCCACACTAAGGCTTAGGTTCCCCAGTTTTGCGACTTGCTGTTTGACCTAGTCTGCTCTACTCTGCCCGCGAATCTACGACACAACAGACAAAACCGAAAAATGGGTTTCACATTTCCTGACGAATACGGGTGAGTGAGAGTTAGACGGCTGCCGTGATGATAACCCATCCCCCCCCTTTTTTTTTGTGGTCTCGTCCCCGTTCTGTGTGTGATGCGCATCTACAGCCCACGTATTTTCACATGATATGATATAGACATAGGTACCATGCTAACCACCTGGGTCCTAGATACGTCCTCCTCGCGGCGACGTCGACTTTCTTCGTCAACGTCTACCACTCCACCCTCACCTCAAAGTACCGCAAGGCCAGCGGCGTCAAGTACCCTGCCGCGTATGCCAGCAACGATGTAGCCGAGAAGGACCCCAAGGCTTTTTCGTTCAACTGCGGTGAGTTTTTTTCTTATTATTCTTGTTGCTGCTATTTGTTCTCGGTTTTCTTTTATCTTTGCGTATGGGTTTATGTATACCTATGTCTACTGGTGACCTGTCATTTGAGATGCGGCTATGCCTTTTTTTCGGGGTGTGAATGTCTCCACCTTCCTGTCCTGGCTACTTCCACTATCGAGATGGCGAGGAGGGGTGAGAGGAATAGATGTGGAGAGGGTTTAAACATGGAAAATGGACTTCTTGAAAGTAAAGGGGCGGAAGAGGACAAGACTGACAAGTACAACAGCCCAGCGCGCCCACGCCAACTACACCGAGAACCTCGTCCCGCTTCTCGGCGCGCTCGCCATTGCCGGCCTGCGCTTCCCCGTGGCCGCCGCCACCCTCGGCGCCACCTGGTCCGTCGCTCGCGTGTTTTATGCCCGCGGCTACGCTACCTACGGCCCAGCAGGGCGCATCAAGTAAGCCATTCTTTTCATAACCCCGCTCCCCATTCCTGTTTTGCATATGTGCAGGGGGTTTTTTTTTTTTTTTTTTTTTTTAGAAAGGGAGGCCGCGACTGGCGTGGCTGACACCGGAACAGGTACAGCATTGCCTCCTCGCTAACGGGCGCCGTCCTGCTCGTGACGGCCCTCGCCTCGTCCATCCTGTTTGTCTTGGAAAAGTAGGAGCTGCTGGCCGTGCCCCCCTCTCTATGGCTCGTGGGCGGGCAAGGTGGCATGGCATGATGTAGCGATCGATACGAACAAATGTATATTTACTTATTGCTGTTGTTCTCGCGCGTCTTGTTTCCTTGTGGGTGCTGGGCTGGAATCTCTTCTCTGCATATCATGGGAACCGGGTAACACAAGCCTTCTCTATATTCTCTGTATGTATTACATGTTCTTCTATCAACCAACATTGGCTGCAAAACTGCTACCTCCCAGGCTTTAGTCAGCTGAGAAACTGCCGAGATGCATCCTACACGTTTTGCCAACCCCGAATTATACAAGGGGGTCCCAATACAAGATACTCCCCTTCTACGCAAGTTCATACCTCACCCGGCTCGCGCCAGACAGCTCGTGGGCGCCGCCCGCTTCGGATTCCGTGGGAGCCGCCAGTTCGAAAACATGCGGAGGTGGCAGCGCCGCCGCCGGCGACTGCGGCGACTGCGGCTTCTCGTTCTTCAGCGCCTGCTCCAGGCCCTGGGGGCGCGGCGACACTGGAAACGGCACTTCGATGGTGCGCCGGGCATTGCGACGGCTGCGCGCCCGCCTGAAGAAGATGGCCAGCGCGCTGATGGCAGCGACCGCGGCCACGCCGCCGACCACGCCACCTGCGATGGCGCCCGTGTTACTGTAGCGCGTGCGGCCGCTGTTGTTGGACGCTCCAAAGTTCTCGACCGAGAAAAGCGTTTTCAGATCGGTCGAGTCGAATCCCCCGTCGGGCGTCCGTCCGCTTTTGGGTGGGAGGGGATCGTGTTAGACTAGGGACGACACAAGGAAGTCATTAGGACAAGACTACTCACTTTGCGTTGTAGTACTTCTGGATCTGCGGCGCAGACACGTAGGCCGCTGGCTTCGAAACGTACGCGTCCTTCCACGCGAGGCTTCCCAAGTCGAAGACGGCGAGACCCTGCACGAACGGGTCCGGGGTGCCGAACACGGCCTCGTAGGCGTCGGCAGACGCAGACATATTCTGCGTCGGGTCGACGCCACCGATGGTCAGGACCTGGCCGCCGCCGGCGGCGTTGCAGGTCAGGCCGTAGCGCGGGTGCCGGGCGGGGTAGTCGGCCTTGATCCAGCGGAAGCCGGGGAGCGTGAGCACAAAGGCCTCGTCGTAGGACACCGCCGCCGAGCCGAGCTCCCCCGCCCAGCCACCGTACACGAGCAGCTCGTACGTGCGGTTGTTGGACTCGACTCCAGCCAGGCAGAACTGGAGCCGCGGCTTGGGCGCGTCCCCTGACGTCATCTGGTCGTACCATTTCTGATTCCCTGGGTCGTAGACGCGGACGCTGGTGAAGGGCGTTAGACTGCTGGAAGAACCGACCGGGCCGCCGTTCTGGCCGCCGTTCTGGTCGCCGTTCTGGCCGCCGTTCTGGCCGCCGTTCTGGCCGCCGTTCTGGCCGCCGTTCTGGCCGCCGTTCTGGCCGCCGTTCTGGCCGCCGTTCTGGCCGCCGTTCTGGCCGCCGTTCTGGCCGCCGTTCTGGCCGCCGTTCTGGCCGCCGTTCTGGCCGCCGTTCTGGCCGCCGTTCTGGCCCACTTGGCCGCCGAGGCTGCTGCCGCCCATGGACACGAGGATCCCGTGGTGGCCAAAGCTGGGGACGTAGAGTATCCCGCCATCTTGTCCGCCTGGCTGCGTAGTAGGCAGGCTCGAGGTCGTCGTTGCGCTTGTCGCCTTCTTGGAGGAATAGTCATAGACAACGAGGCCGCCAGGGAGTCCCTGGAAATTTGCGTTATTGTTGATGTTGCTGCTGTTATTGTCGACAGACCCTATCAGCCGTCGGCTGTTTTAGCATCGCCCCCTAACTGTCTGTGGCCGATTGGTAGCTGACTTACCGCCGAGAAGGAAGCCGGAGCCGCCGCCGCTTGCCACCTGCCCCCCGTAAGTCCTCGCTTGGTTGGTAAAGCGCCCGTCAGCCGTGGAATTCAGGTTTTGCCAAGTTGCGCCCCCTGTCCCGTCTGGCGCAAACGACCAGAGTCCCTGTGCATACGAGGCGCCGTTACCGAATATGGGGTTGGTACCGGCAAATCCGGTGTACAGGATTTGGTTCTTGTCGTCCACCCAGATGCCCCCGTCCCTTAGATTCGGGGCTCCCGAAGGCTTCGACGTTGAATGCAGTGCCAGGGAGGTATTAGTCCAGTCCTTGGACAGATCGATAGACAGTAAGGTATTCGCTGGCAACACCGAAAGTGTTAGAAGGGGTGTGGCCGGCTCTCGTAACAGGATTCGACGTAGGAGACCTTACAGTACTGATAGACAATGCCGCTTCCACTGGAGTATGAGAATTCCCCGCCGTCGATATACACCCAGCCATTGAGCACAGCAGCTTTCGGGTTAGGTTATCAGTCAGCAGGAAATGTGAGGAGACATACAACCGGCTCGACAAGGCTTACATGAGTGATAAGCCCTCCTTAGGAAGACCGATGCAGCAACGGCACCATTCGCCTGTCGTGCCGCGATGGAGATGGGAGAGTGTTTCGTGCGAGAGGCAACTGCAGCGCAGATAAGGCACCAAAAAAGGGATATTATTCTCTTCGACATAACCATAATGCCGGTAGTAGAGGCAGCCATGAGAGAATCAACAACAAGAAGGCCAGGATATCGGGGAAAGGCAGACAAGTTCACAACACAAGACGATTGCCCAGAACGCGTGGACAACGTGACTAAATACCCGCCCAGGAAACGTAGGTAGCGCCCCAGGGGGCGAACTGCTCCTTGTTTGGCCGATGCCGTGGACCTGGCTTGGACTGCAAGCTAAGGCCTCGACGGAGTTGACGGGATATGGAATACACGAATAGAAGAGCGTAGACGACCAGAAGCAACATAGTCGTTATTTCCATCTCGCCATAAACGAGGCGGTGCCTTGCATGACGACTTCTCCGAAATATGACCCTTTCCGTCTTTCTTTCTTTTGTTCCGTCTGAATATGAAGTATTCTTTTGCTCCCTTGCTACCATTTTAAACAGGGGGGTGGTCAAGAAGCTAAATTTGAGCGGTTTGGACGGTTATTGATGGGCCGGACCAAAAAGAAACGGCGTGTGTTGATCAAGTCAGAGCGCGTGTGATCCACTCGGTCACCCCTTCGGAGAGAAGGAAAAGAAACCACGGAAAGAAAAAGGAAACAAATTTTTTTTTTGCATGCCAGTTACGAGCGGTTTTCAAGGTGAACTCAAGAAATAAAAGAGTGGACAATCTAGAACGCGTTTATTCTGTGTGGTTGGTATATAATGTGGAAGAAACGCTCATTGATAGAGGCAAGGTTGGGTGTAAATAAACATCAGGGCTCCAGGGGGCCGATTGTGGTGCGGAACAAAATAAAGAAGCACTGGTAGAGCGACTAAAAAGAAAAGCCTTGGGAAAGGCCAAAGACGCAAAAAAGAACGGGCTCAATCGGGATTCGAACCCGAGACCTCGCACATGCTTGTTTACTTGTTGACCAAGTAAGGGAGTTGAAAAACCACCCGAAGCGCGAATCATACCACTAGACCATTGAGCCAGAACAGATCCTTGTTGATTGACGGAAACTAAGCCGACTAGGAGCGGATATAATGGGGAGTCAGGATGGAGAAAGTGATTTTGAGCAGTTGCCGAGTCGAAACATGTAACGGCTTGTTTGGTGACTCACATACGAAGAAGGAGCGGGATGTGGCTGCTTTCAAGGTTCGCTTTCATCTTCCCCGTCTCATCAAGTCTGCTACGAAATGCAGTTGCCCTACGAAGCAGCAATGGGCGGAAGCAAGCAAAAAAATTATTCCTCGATGATTTCCCCTTGCAAAAATGGCCAAATCTTAGAAATATTCTCATCTGATACGCCTGCACAGATGGGTAACAGGTCTTAGTGGCAATGGCTATAAATCTGAGGAAGTTTCAGTGGGCCGATGATATTATCGGAGCCAGCATTCCAGGAAGGCGCAGGGCATGGAGAGTTTTTGGCGCAACTCGGCTGTCAAGAAGTCATGTCCCCTTGTGCCAGCCAGCCTGCGGCTCCTCCCAGTTGGAGGGAAGCCGCATCTTGATAGGCTCAGCCACATGCACGTGCCACCTCCTGGCTGATGCGCCACCGCCCTCAATTCAATAACTTGGAACTTGTCCTTTTCAATGAGGGGAGGGGGACAACAAGCTCCAGAGCTGTTCGCATCCCGGTTGCTGCATCAAGACGACACTCTGGAGAACAGCTCTCGACGACACTCGAACGAACGCTGCGACTGCTGCTCTCCCACCACAGCGGTACCTCAGCTGAGCCGTAGCAAAGTAGCTGGATCGGCAGGGATTTCATAGAGCAACTCAGGGTTAATTAAGTCTTTCACTTTCTTTCCTCCTCGGCCATCAGGTGCCCCGTCGCTCCACCTGCCCGACGCTCGACATTCGCCCCGACCGAGCTCCGATCCCCAGGTATTTCGTACGCCAGGCTCTTTCCCCGGCACACGCGTGTGCCTCTGGGCTAGTAGCGACTTGCGCAGCCACCAACAAGACAGGCGCCTGCTTACTTCCCACATTACTGCTCGCGGAGCAAAACCATTTAATTTCCATCAACCTCAGCATCATCCACACCCGAACGGGCACCACAGACACCTGGCACGATGGACACGTACGAGCGGAAGAAGGAGGTGTGGAGCGCCATCGAAGATAGCGACGGCGTTCGCCTGAGCTGGAATGTCTTTCCCAGCTCTCGCATGGTCAGCGCTCTTCCCATTGCGATGCTTCGTCTGTGTCCCAAGGCGCTAACTGGCCTCTAGGAAGCTTCCAGGCTGGTTGTCCCCATCGGCGCCCTCTACACGCCCCTCAAGGAGAAACCCGATGCCCCTCTTCTGCAATTCGAGCCCGTCACCTGCAAGCAGCCTTGCCGCTCTGTCCTGAACCCCTACTGGTAGGTAATCTGGCGACTTCTCCGTCTATTGCCCCAGCTGCTGACTATCCTCCTAGCCAAGTCGATGTACGGGCTCGCATCTGGATCTGCCCTTTCTGCCTTTCGAGAAACCCACTGCCGCCTCACTATAAGGACATCACGGCCAATGCAATCCCCCCAGAGATCCACCCCTCCAACACGACGATTGAGTACAGGCTATCACGCCCGGCCCCGAGCCCCCCCATCTTCCTCTATGTCGTCGACATGTGCCAGGAGGAGGACAGCTTGGCCGCCCTCAAGGAATCGCTCATCATGAGCCTCAGCCTGCTGCCAGAGCACGCTCTTGTCGGCCTGATCACCTTCGGGACCATGGCGCAGGTTCACGAAATCGGCTATACCGAGTGTGCCAAGTCCTATGTCTTCCGAGGCAGCAAGGAGTATACGGCGAAGCAAGTGCAGGAGATGTTGGCTCTCTCGCAACCCGCAATGCGCCCCGGAGTGCCCATGCAACAGGGCAGGCCGATGCCCATGGGCCCGGCCTCGCGCTTCCTTCTCCCCGTTCAGCAAGCCGAGTTCCAGCTCACCAAGGCCCTTGAGCAACTCCAAAAGGACCCGTGGCCTGTTTCTAGCGACCGCAGAAACCTGCGCTGCACCGGTGTTGCGCTCTCTGTCGCCGTTGGTCTGCTCGAGACGTCCTTCCAGAATGCCGGAGGGCGCATCATGCTGTTCGCTGGCGGTCCCGCAACCGAAGGCCCTGGCATGGTTGTTGGTCCGGAGCTGAGAGAGCCCATTCGGTCACATCACGATATTGACCGTGACAACGTCAAGTATTATAAGAAGGCTCTGAAGGTAAGACCTTAACCTGGGCGACTTAATGGGGTTGTGCTAACTAACAATGTCAGTTTTACGATAATCTCGCAAAGAGAACCGCACACAACGGTCACACTATCGATATTTTTGCTGGCTGTCTCGACCAAGTTGGTCTGCTAGAAATGAAGGCACTCTGCAATTCGACTGGCGGCCACATGATCTTGACTGACAGCTTCACTTCGTCAATGTTCAAGCAGTCATTTATTCGGATTTTCGACAAGGATGCTGACGACAACCTTTTGATGGGATTTAATGCCGTGCTTGAGGTGCTTACGACCAAAGAGCTCAAAGTCACAGGCCTTATAGGCCACGCGGTGTCTCTGAACAAGAAGTCGACCTCTGTAGGCGAGACTGAGTGCGGCATTGGCAATACGTGCTCCTGGAAAATGTGCGGAATCGACCCCAACGCCAGTTACGGAATCTATTTCGAAATTGCTAGCCAAGGCGGCCCGTCCCAGCACCAACAACCCGCCCAGCAAGGAATGATTCAGTTCCTTACCTACTACCAGCACTCGTCGGGCCAGTTCCACCTTCGTGTCACTACAATTGCCAAACCTCTCAGCGGGCCCGCTGGAGACCCTACCATCGCCCAGTCATTCGACCAAGAAGCGGCTGCAGTCCTCATGTCCAGGATTGCTGTCTTTAAGGCCGAAGTCGATGATGGTCCGGATGTGCTTCGGTGGGTGGATAGAATGCTCATCAGGCTGTGCTCGAGATTTGCCGATTACCGCAAGGACGACCCATCATCCTTCCGCCTCGAAAAGAACTTTACTCTCTACCCGCAATTTATGTTCCATTTGCGGAGAAGTCAGTTTTTGCAGGTATTCAACAACTCGCCGGATGAGACGGCGTTCTATCGGCACGTGCTCAACCATGAGGATGTTAGCAATTCCCTCATCATGATCCAGCCCACGCTCGACTCGTACACGTTTGACCAGGACGCCGGGCAACCCGTGCTTCTTGATTCGACCTCGATCCAGCCCACACATATCCTCCTCCTTGATACCTTCTTCCACATTCTCATCTTCCACGGCGAGACGATTGCAGAGTGGAGAAAGGCAGGGTATCAAGACCAAGAGGGATACGAGAACTTTGCCGCCCTCCTAGAGCTTCCCAAGGAAGACGCAAGAGTAAGTTTAATCTTGGCCGGCCCCTTTTTCTGATATTTCTAATGTCATGCTAACGAATGTAGGATCTCATTACGGACCGTTTCCCTCTTCCGCGGTTCATTGTGTGCGATCACGGCGGCTCTCAAGCGCGTTTCTTGTTGTCCAAGCTCAACCCATCGACTTCGTATACGTCAGGAGCTGGACCCTACGGCGGCGTTGGGGCCCAGAGCGCCCAAACTCTTTTCACCGACGATGTGTCGTTGCAATCGTTTATGGAGCATCTAATGAAGTTGGCAGTTAGTGGCACCAACTAACTGTAATGTGAAGAGAGAAGGGCAAAGACAGGGATGGAAATGAGACGTGTTTCGGCTGATGCGTCAGGAGTGACAGAGCCGCCTCTTCTTGTGCTGTGCTCTGAGATGGTTTTCTGAATGTCTAGCGTACTGTTATCAAGGTTCATATCATAAAAATTAGATTTTTGAACCTCCTGCTGCTCATATGCTGTTTCCAAAACAATGGCCGACGGCTGTCGTCTCTGTATACTTGGCCAGTCTGGTGGAAAATATAGGGTACCTTTTGGTGAGAATGCCAAGCTTTTGTCGATGTGGCTAGTGCTGGTTGTGTAACTGTGGCTCGGTTCTCCACACTTTGCCCCGCATGAAATCCCAGCCACACCCAGTGAAATTCTTAGGGCAGGTGTGGTAAATCCCACAATTACCATTTTTTTCGATTTTGTTATCTTGATCTTTGGCAGGGCTGTATCTTCGACCACAACACCATCCCAGTGCATCTTGACCTAAACAACCGTCACCATGCGTAGGTACTCCCCATTTAGGACCATTCGAATCACTGCGAAATTGCTAATTGCCGTGGCCGTTCACAGCTCCTAAGTTGGACCCCAATGAGATCAAGGTGATGTAGGGAAATTCCTCCTCGGCGACAAGCCCCAGCCCGCACCGAGCAAAACTGACGGTTTCGCAGCTACCTTCTCGCCACCGGCGGTGAGGTCGGCGCTTCGTCCGCGCTTGCCCCCAAGATCGGTCCCCTCGGTCTGTCCCCGAAGAAGGTCGGCGAGGATATCGCTAAGGCGACTGGTGACTGGGTATGGAAACTCCCCCTGTTTCCACGCGAAATAGGATATATGCGATGGGCAATTGGCACGAAAGAATGCGCATCTAACAGGATTTTTTGCACTACTATAGAAGGGCCTCCGCGTCACGGTCAAGCTCACAATCCAGAACCGTCAAGCGGCCGTCTCGGTCGTGCCCACCGCCTCATCACTCATCATCCGCGCCCTCAAGGAGCCCCCCCGCGACCGCAAGAAGGAGAAGAACATCAAGCACAGCAAGTCTGTCGCTCTGGAGGAGATCATCGAGATTGCGCGGACGATGCAGCACAAGTCCTTCTCCAAGACGCTGGAGGGAGGAGTCAAGGAGATTCTGGGAACGGCGAACAGCGTCGGATGCCAGGTGGATGGAAAGAGCCCCAGAGATATCACGGCCGCGATCGAGGCGGGCGAGATTGAGAGTATGTGGAACCCCTCCCTAGAAATTTAGCCTCGCCCCTCGAACTCGATGCGGCATTGTGCCATTTCCACCGTTGAGACGTGTCTGTTTCGAGAGAATGTCGACGGACCACCCGAAACTTTTGAGCTCGTTTTGCTAACTATGGCGTTACAGTTCCTGAGAAATAAATTCTCAGTTTACGTCTACACATATACATGAAGATCAATTTGGGATTTCTTGGCATGTGATTAGGAGTTCAGGTGGCTTGCTTTCCATCAGGCTTGCCAAACCGCGGCAGAAACAAATCAACAGAACGATTTTCATGACCAACGGGTTTCGTCTTTTAGTTGTCAACTTCATATGTGGGATCCCGGCTTGCGAAATAGTCTTGAACTAACAAACGCCCTCCTGTGATCCAATACGGAACTTTGCGCTGTGTTCAATATTCACCTCCCATTTCATCCCATTTCATCCCATTTCATCTACCCTATACTGCACCTGGCTGTTCACTCGCGAGATTGACCCTTTCTTCCGTGGTCTCTTTCCATATATTAAAGCACAGGAAGATAAAACCCGTCCGATTACTCACCACGGCGTTCGTTGGTCCTTTGGGCTGTGGACGTCGAGGTCCATATTGAGGTCGACATTCTCTTATTAGTCTGTTGATCTGGAACGGCCCGGCTTGCTGCCAAGGTACTGTCCGGCCGAGGCTTGCGGCCAGACTCCTAGAGCGGTGAGCCCGTTTCTTCACCTAGGAGGAAAGATACAGTGGAGGAGGCAGTGATGCTTTGCACTGTTCCAGAATATTACCAGCTATTTACCAAGGTAGATTTATCTAGGAGGGAGGAAGTTGTGGTGAGAGGTGATACTGTTTACTATTCCAGGGCACTGGCAGTTATCTGGCTAGATTAGGGTTGAAAATGACAGAAATACCAAGCATGGTCCTACTTTTGCTTTGTCCTAGTCAAGCTTTAAATAACGCCTAGCGTGCTCTTCCATGTCCCGCTGTTGTCGCGCGAGAGTGCGGGAGGAAGGTGAAGCACGTTTCGCCTGTTCCTTGGATTGATGTGCGAAATCCTGAAAGGATCGGCGGTTCGGCCCACTGTTTCTCTGTCTTGTGTGTGTGTGTGTGTGTGTGTGTGTGTGTGTGCGTGTACATTCGTTGTGTCGGTCTCTGTCTGTCTGTGTGGGTGGTCTGTGTTACAAACCGGGCATTTATTTTTCGGTTGGGTGACACGAATGAGTGAAGTGAAGTGACGCGCATTAAAGCTGAGAGGGGCACAGCTACCTATTCCGTACCTATATAATGTAAGCCTTTTTTTCTTTCTTCTCTTTCCTTCCATTTTAGTTGGGGCTTTGGTTTGCGGAGGAGGGGGGGACCGGAAAGAAGGAAATAGAAACAAAAGAAAAGAAAAGAAAAGAAATTCCCCGAGCCACACACACAATGGAAATCAGGAAGTTTGATGGTTCGGAACATTTTCTTCACTCGATTACGCGCATTTGTGCAAGATGTGTGTGTGTGTGTATGTGTGCCCTCCCCTTTCTCCTTTTGGGCATGGAATACGAATACTACGTACCGATCTACGGATACATTACTACCTCCTACTGCGGTGTGTGAAGAAGTTTGTTTGCGGTGAGAGATAGATAAAGAGTTGTAAGAAGCAAATATGGATGTAGGTACCACACATACACACCGAGACCGAGACCGAGACCGAAGACAGACCAAATGACCGATGAAATGGAGCTTTCCTGGGGGTGATGGGCCCCGCCTCCCGCCTCCCGCCCGCCGCCGCCGCCGCCGCCGCCGCCCCACGCGCCGCCCGTCTAACGGCATTGCGCCGCATTCTTCCCCGTTGGAACCTCCCCTGTTTTATCGCGTGTATGCATTTGTGTATTTCTTATTCCGTCTCTGTTCGAGGAGCGACTTTTCCATGGTTTTAGACTTGTCACGGTAGTGAAATGAATGGACCTAATTATAGCCATACAACTACGGATATAGGGGGAACACGTTAAGATGTTCATGTGTACCATGGACGTATGTGCATGTGCGCGTTGATGTGCGAGAAGAGGAGGCGGCAACCGCAACCGCATGAGAAATCCATCATCCCACGGACGGCGGATAGCCGGCAGGGGACATGGGAAGGGGGGGTGGGGGATGGATGGATAATCGCCGTGTTTCCTTCCAGATCCTCTCTGTTTTCTTTACGACAACACGAAGTGCTAACTACTAACAAACTATATTCCTTCATTCTACTAGTCTTGCCTTTGAGAAGTCCTTTCCCCTGCCGTTGTCCTCGACCTGTTTCCCTCCCAACGGGCATTGCCGGGTGCTTCTCTCTTTTGTTTAATAATTTGGACGTGAACATAGATACAATAGGTTACGTGGACGGCTAGGTTGCGACATATGTGTCTCTCTCTTGTCTTTTCTGTTTGGCTGTCTGACCGCCGCTTCTGTCTGGCCCTCCTTCCAGGTTGTTGCTGCCTTCCTCCCTTGCATTGCCAAGGAACCGACTGCTCCGAGCCAGGGTGGAGAGGAGGCCGGTTCGCGAAAACGACTCTGGTTTTGCTTTGCGCATTACTCGGTATCGAGGTGGGAAGATGGTCCGACCTTATATTACCTGCGTTCTCGCGTGTGCCTCTGTTCGGTAACGTCTACGGATAACTTCTCTGTGTGTATGCACGACGCGGTGAAACAGGAGAGACAGGTGTATATAAAAGAAGTTGATTGGAGACAGGCCCGGACCGAGATGACCGTTGTCCTTCACTCGGAGTTCGGTCCCTGGCGCCCTTTTTCGTGTCCACGGGGGTGCAACGTCGGGGGCTTGAAAGCAAGGGCCAACCATCAACTTGTTGCAATCTGTGCCGCCATTCTGTCGCGGGATTTGCGGCTTTCGCGCAAGCCAGCCGAGAGCAAAGACGCAGATCATCGGCAGCTGAGCGGCGGTAACCAAAAAAGAGTGGGAAGTGGGTGGGCGCTGACTTGGTTATGAAGGTGATTTCTCAAAGTGTTTGCTGGCTGTTGTGTTGTGCGCAGGCCACAGTGTTACACATCTCTCGAGTGTATGCATGATTATCCAGATTTGTTAACACATTTTCGTGTGGTGCCAGGCTTTTTTTTTTTTTTTTTTTTTCATTCTTCTCGAAGCGGTGTCGTTTTTCTAATGCCACAGCAGCATTTCCCGGCATCCGTGAGCCTATGGACTCACCGGATTGGGTTCCGGAGAGACTTGACTCTTGGGCCACACACCAGCCGTTGGTTCCTTCCTGCAGTGTGTATGTGCGTGCCGATTTTGACGGGACAGGTGCACCGCAGCAATTCCATTCCACGGACTGCCCTGCACACACACACACGTACACGGACGGATTGACAATGTAACCGCAGAACAGTAGAGGCAAGGCACGATATCCATCTCCCGCGCTCTGCCCTCTCGCCCTTCTCAGATGGGACGAAATGAGACGAGGTTCGACCCCAAACCCCCGAATGTATATACACCTGCGAAGCAACGGAGACGTGAGGTCAGGCCGAGGGGGGGATGGGGCCGGGATGGGGAACAGCCCGTCAGGCCAAGGCCTGGCCTGGGCCAGCGAACGGAACTGGGCGGTGGTGTGGTGGGGGGCCCGGACACGCACCTCTGTAAGTGGGGTCGAAAGGGGGCGGCATACGCGGCGGTGGGTGGCCGGCGGGCATGGCTATTCCCTTGGGCCTTTACTTAACCGAATGAGAGAACGAATGCAAGAGGCGAGTTATTCGGTACTCAGATCACTGGCTTGAAAATCCAGATCAACCCGTTATTTGCTTGCCTGCCTGGCGTGCTTGTGGTATGTGTGGGTGTAACTACTACCTACAGGCATGTTTGTTTGTTTGTCTATCTGTTTGCGCGGATACGACTGGACAGGGAATATCCGGACTGAGGTCACCAAGGCAGGAACTTCCTGACGACAGGATATAGGTATGGGTGAAGGTGATCACGCTTCGGGACGGCTGTCCAGTAAATGACGGGTACCTTGGGTCTGGGTGAGTGAGTTTAGGTTACCGGCAGGGCTGTCACCGTCCGAAATGCCACCCTCGAAGTCTCAGAGGCTAAAGACATGAAGCGCCTGAGCCAGTAGGCGCCCGAACCCGCGTCCTCGCCGAGTGAGTGGTCCGACAACAAATCTCCATATACGTCGGGTGCAGTGTGCGTGCGTTTGTGTGCGTGGGCGTGTGTGCCCAGTCAGCCAGCCCTGCCTGCCTGTGTCTGTCTGTCTGCCTGGCTGTCTGGCTTGCATGCCTATATACCTTACTTTACTTAGTACAGTATTTGAACATGCCAAGAAAGATGATGGCCATCACGATTGCACGAGTTTGAAGAACTGGTGAGGTGGTTTGAAAAAGAAAAACAGAGAGCCCATGTGCCTTTTGCCGTCACCGACGGGAAGGCGATCAAATTCTCCCTTCGCAAACCAGTGGAGTGTGTACATACATTCGTGGCGGATACTTTGACGCCTCCATCAATGAGGTGGCTCCTGCCTGGGGCCAAGTTGCCAACGGCACTCGGAACTGCCTGCACATGCGGGCATGTCTGGTCTGGTCTTGCCTGATACTGCTTCTCTTGTTCTATCTTGTGTTCCGGTGTGCGTCAAATGCTGAGACACGCAGACCTGAGTGTCTCGCTTGACCGCAACTTGCCGAGTCCCTGGACTGTCCAACGTATAATGGTGGAAAAATATAGCAAAACCAAGAAACCCGGAGGGTAACCAAGCAAGGAGGGCTTACAATCCCCAAGGACATACGGATAGGAACCCCAGATGGGTAGGTAGGGGTCTGCCATAGCGGCCACTCACCTCATCCATCCACTGCGATGTGGGTTTGAACGGGACGGTGACATTGACGGATTGCTTTTCCCAACTCCCATGGACTGGAGACCGGACGGTTGGCCCCTGAACCTCGGGGTTGGGGCCTTCTGCGAGACCACCACTGCGCGGCCCGCAGCAGCCCCCCTACCACTGGAGCCTGGCAGCGGCGGGGGGAGGCCAGGGTGGGCAGGGGGGGAAGCCTTAGCGACGCTAACGGCCCCAGGCCCACCCCCCCACGCCGATCCAGCTCAGCTTTAACAGTCGGCTTCCCAGCAGCATGAGCCGGACTACACACGCCCGCCAGACGGTAAGGTAGCGCCTTTACTACTACTTCGTACCTTCCACTTACTCCGCAGACCCGACTAAAGAAAGGTTCCCGTCTTGTACTGGATGGCATGGAAAGTGCCGAGAGCTTTCGGCCGTTTTATCTAGGAACTCATTGACTTTTCCTTATCACTCTAAAGTATGTTAGGTTTTCACTGGTTGGCCCACATCCACATTTGTTAGTCGAAGGCCTTCGTCAGATTCCCAATCAAAGGTCCCTCAGTTGCTTTGGAGGTACGGATACTTTGTCGGGTACTGGGGATTACTAGAGGTCGGTAGATCTCTCCTCACATTGCTTACTGTTTCCGGAACAGGTCGCCGGATCCAGTCTGGACGACAGCGTTACAAGACATCTTATTCGCGAGTCCTGTGCGACGACGACAACGACGACGGCGACGACGGACGACGACAACAACAATTTGAGCGCGGAAGGCGGCTGTTTCCCTAGGTGCTTACTGGGATCTACTTTACACTACTGCAGAATCGCAGATGCAAAGGCTTCTGGGCAGAGGCGGCTGATTGACCGACTTGCAGCGCAGCGCATGATTGGGAGCTCGGGCGGCCCCGGCTGAGAGTCCCGCCCTGTTGGCTTCCCTGCTGGTGGAGGTGCTGCCGTCCTGTCTGCACTCCATTCATCTGGCTCATGCTCATGCTCACGCCCACGCCACCCCCCCATGTCCCTGCCCATCCCAATGCACCTTGCGCTGTAGTGTAGTGTAGGCTCGCGGGAGGGCACTGCTACTCGACTCGAAACACGACCTCTACCACCACCGCCTCCGCCTCCGTCAACATCACCAGAGCCCCTCTTGACAATGCTCTAACGGCTGGGCCATGACGACCTGTCGAGCCTGATCCCGTCAGGTGCCGTCGTTCTCGGCGACACTCCTTTCGTCGCGCTTTGGCTTCCGTCCCTTCCTTTCTGTTCGCTTTCGTCTCGTCTCCACTCGCCTCACGTCGGTCGTTCCTCGCCCGCCCTCGCCCCAGCTCTCGCTCAGGTCGAAGCCCTTTCTGTCCCCTGTTGCACGCCAGTACCCTGACCGATTCGCCGACCCAGATCTAGCCGCCCAACCAACTCTGTCGCGCCGAACCGTCCTCATGAATAGGCTGTGATGCTGCCCCTCGTCCAGATGCACCAGATGGTGCAGACACCCCTCGATCCCCTCGTCGGGCCACTCCAGACCCCCGGGAGGCCAGACTACGGCTTGGCCCACCACCACCAATTCCTCCTGGCACGGCCGTCGCACTCTCCCTCTCCCTTTCACCCCGGCGCCGACTTGATCCCGCGCGCCTCGGCCGTCCATGCTTCTCAGCAGCATGCTCCGACCCTCCACCGCATTACAACTACGTTCAACCGTTCCCATGCTCAGGCTCAGGCTCAGGCTCAGGCACAGGCGCAGGCGCAAGCCCGGCCCCACACCCAAGACCACGGCGCCGAGTATTCTCTCCGCCGAAAGACGCCCAGCGGTACGATCGACAATGGCTACGACGGCTCCCTAGCCCATCTAGCTTCCGGGCCCCCGCCCCTAAAGCACATGATATTGCCGGTATCATCCAAGATATTCCCCACTGCTCTCGTCCATAGAGCCTCGGGCTCTTCAGGGCTCCTTCTACAGCGCTCCCTGCCGCCGGCGTGGCATCACCTGGCGCCAGTCCCGAGTGGCCGGCCCGATGAGCATGTTGGGGAGGCTCTAAATACGCCCCCAGCAACCCCAGGCGTGTGGGGCATCGGATCGAACATGACACCAGAGTCCGGCGTGGCAGATCGCGCAAGCTTCATGCAGACCATGCCTCAACACACTTACCATGTGGTGTCCGCCTTGCAGCCTCTGCTGGGTCCTGGGTACCAACAGCCGCTGTCCCAGACTGTGTACGATGCTGCGACGTACCAACCGCCTGGGCCCTGGAGGGATGGCAGCATGACCGAATACCGGAGTCCTGTTCCCCTAGCTAACGGTTACACGGTCCAGAACGCAGTTGTTGACAGTGCCTTTATGCCCTCTCAGTCAACCATTAATCAGGGTTTGCCGAACGGGTCAGCACTGGGCCAGGCCAATCCGTTTAGGCTCCCCCTATCAAGCCACGCCCTTGACGACGGCTTTTCCCGATACGACCAAAACCGCCCCGCACAGCATACATCCTACCAAAGATTAGAGGCTCTGTCGCCAGGCTCGGCCGCTGGGGCATTGGGCGGTGGCGATGCGTCTCCAGCTCGCTTTAAGGAACGAGCCCTGCAGCATGCCCACAGGACTTACAACGAGCTTCTCTACTTTCTCGGGCACTCCAAGAAAATCCACCACGGGAGAAGCGGTTCTAGCTCGAGGACGCCCACTAAAATGGTGGTGTATCCCAAAATCCCGAAATCGCTGGCTGCCAGTATGAATGTCGGCAAACCCCGGCCCCCCCCCCATATCTACGCCGATGCCACTGAAGTTTATGCCCAGCATCTCGCGCAAAAGGAGGCGGCTTCTAGGGTGCTCGCTTTTAGATCCCGTATGGCCGACCCTCGTGCCATAGCGCAGGCTGACGCCGACGAGCGGGCTATGATGGGGGGGAACATGGCCATTATGGCGGAAATCATAGGTGGCCCTGGCGCGCACAGGAACATGTACTCTGCAAAACCCAACCGGCCATATATCGAGATGGGCTCGCCTCTTCTCAACGCCAAGGCATCGCTGGAAATGCTCTCTAATTTGTGTGAGCAGAGCGGCTGGAAATGGGTCGACGGAATGTTGCTCGGAGGCTGTCTTCACTACGGACTCGAGCATTACGATGACGCGCTTGAGTGGTTCAAGCGGATAGTTAATCTGGACGAAAGGTAAGCCGATTTTCTGGCATAGTGTGTAGGTGTATATGACTGACCATGACCAGCCACGTCGAGGCAATCTCGAATATTGCCGCAACGCTGTACTGCTTGAACAGACAAGAGGAGGCCGAGCAACACTGGGTGCAGGCGGTCAAAATCAGACCAAGCTATCTCGAGGCAGTTGAGCATCTTGTGGGCCTTCTGTGTTCGAATCACAGGAGCCAGGAGGCAGTAAACACCATTGAGTTTGTTCAGCGCACCCTCAGGATGCCAGGTTCGGGAAATTCTCTTCGAAATCAGGCTACCGAAACTGCCAGTGAGGCCAGTTCGCGTTCAACGACGACAACCGGCGACTCGACTCCGGATAGTTATGCGTTAGATACGGACAAAAGCGACAGTCCTGGACGGTCCTTTGCGACAGCGGCAGAGAGCAGCAGGCAGCCGGGGTTCGGATCCAGCGGTTACGCCATACCCGGAAGTGAGAATGGTCGGATGATACTCCTTATCCACGCTAAGGGGAATATGATGTACGCTCTGAAGGACATTGATCGTGCGTCCGAGGCTTTTGAGGAAGCTGTTTTAATAAGTGCGGGACGCAACATTAAGGGTGTACAGTCCCTCATAAGCACAATACAGAGCGTGCTGGCTCCCGGGGATGCCCGGTCGGGCGAGCCCCGGGTCTCTGCCCAGAGGAACCTTTCGGCGCCACTACTACTGCCGCCGGAGAGGGCAAAGCACACGGCCCAGCTAGTATTCTCCTCCAGTGGCGGCCAGTTGCCTGGTCTCCAGCACGTCGCCGAAGGAACCCACCGGAAGTCGGCAGTGTCGACGACGAGCAACTCCCTGCTCTCTCTAGCAAAGATATTTCAGGACGCCATGTCCAACGCAGGTCCGAATGCCGGCCTGATACGGCAACCCGCGGGAGTTGGTGACATACTGGCGCTTTATTATCTGTCCCTGTCGCTCCAAGAGAGCCCATCAACGGCTAACAATGTGGGGATTCTCCTGGCAAGTGTCCAACAGTCGTCGGCCCAGCAGGTGCCAGTTTCGGACAGCAGAGCGGCTGTCACAGCAACGGTCCCGGGCATCATCCCAGGCACTGGTCTTGCGCTTGCGCTGGCATACTACAACTACGGACTCTCGCTGGACCCCAAGCATGTGCACCTCCACACCAACTTGGGCAGCCTGCTCAAGGACATTGGCCAACTAGACATGGCCATTTCCATGTACGAACAGGCGGTGGCGTGCGATGGGACCTTTGACATTGCCCTGACGAACCTTGCAAATGCCGTCAAGGACAGAGGGCGCATCAGCGACGCCATAATATACTACAAGCGGGCCGTCACATCTAACCCGGACTTTGCCGAGGCCGTCTGCGGCCTTTCGACTGCTCTCAACTCGGTCTGCGATTGGAGGGGTCGTGGCGGTGTGGTTCTGTCGGGAGGGCAATTTGACCGCTGGCATGTTGGTGACGACGGCATGCTCCAGGATGCCAGGAACCACGGCCTCGCCAGCGGCCTTATGAAGCGTGTCGTCGATATTGTTGGGCGCCAACTACGAGAGTCATCCACGTGGGGGTGCGGGGCGTTGCAGGAGCGCACAATATTGCAGCTGGTTACACAGCTCCGGGATGCCGGAGCCGGGCGGACCGACGCTTCCTTGGATTTGAATGCCGAGCTTCGAAAGTGGTCCGGGAGGTCGTGGGAAGGCGCTAGGATTCTGCGCCTTGTTGAAAGGTCAACGAGGGCGGCTATGCGTTCCTGGTATCTCGACAAGTATGTCAAGGGAGGCCAGCTGAACCCTGCCGGATATCTTCGGGCTCGACCCCCGGCCAGTCTTTCGATTCCCTCGGCGCCTACGGTTCTGCCCTTCCACACTTTCACCTGCCCGCTGACGGCCAAGGACATTCGCAAGATTTCGCAGAGGAACGCAATCAGGATAACTTGCTCTACACTCCGATCTCCCTGGGTTCCAGCTACAGTATATCAACCTCCGAGCCCGCCGAGTCCCCAGCTTCGTGTTGGTTACGTTTCATCCGACTTCAACAACCATCCCTTGGCGCACCTGTAAGTTTTCCACCTCTGTTGATTGTTCATGGCCTGCATTATGCTAACCATATCACAGTATGCAATCCGTATTTGGGTTCCACGATCAGTCTCGTGTGCTGGCGTATTGCTACGCGACGACGGCCAGCGACAAGTCGGTTCACCGGCAGCAAATCGAACGCGAAGCGCCAACGTTCCGAGACGTGAGTAACTGGACCTCGGATCGACTTGTCGAACAGATCGTAGAGGACGGCATCCACATTCTGGTCAACCTGAACGGATATACGCGCGGTGCCCGCAACGAGATCTTCGCAGCGCGGCCTGCGCCAATACAAATGTCATTTATGGGGTTTGCCGGAACAATGGGCGCCGAGTGGTGCGACTATCTACTCGCCGACACGACTGCCATCCCTCCTTCGACACTTCGGCCCTACCGCAACAACTTGACTTTGCAGGACATCTTCCGCGACGAGGCCGATGCCGATGCCAGCGACTGGGTGTACTCGGAGAACATCATCTACAGTCGCGACACGTTTTTCTGCTGCGACCACGCCCAGTCTGCCGACGGAGCCGACGAAAGGGGTATGACATGGCAAGACGACCAGAAGAGGCGGTGGGAGATGCGAAAAGAGTTGTTTCCGAGCCTTCCCGATGACGCCATAATCCTCGGAAACTTCAATCAACTTTACAAGGTATGTTTGTGTTGCGTAACCTGTTTCGCTTAAATTAATTAGCTGACCATTTACCCTAAGATTGATCCGACAACGTTTCGGACATGGCTCCGCATCCTCTCCCACGTCCCCAAGGCCGTCCTGTGGCTCCTACGATTTCCGGATCTGGGCGAAACGCACCTGAGGCGGACGGCAAGGTTGTGGGCCGGAGACGGCGTGGCAAACCGCATCATCTTTACCGACGTAGCACCAAAGCAACAACACATTTCGCGCGCAAGGGTGTGCGACCTATTCCTCGACACGCCTGAGTGCAATGCGCACACAACGGCGGCCGATATACTGTGGTCCAGCACGCCGCTGCTGACGCTGCCGCGCTACGAGTACAAGATGTGCTCACGTATAGCGGCGTCGATCCTTAGGGGCGCGCTCCCCAAGACGCCCGACGGTGACGCCGCCGCCGCCGAGCTCATCGCGGCCGATGACGCCGAGTACGAGGATTTTGCCATCACACTCGGCAATGGCCTGTCGTATCGCCACAAGAACGGGTACGGCGAGGGCGTCGGTCGCCTCGCCGACATGCGCAGGCTGCTCTGGCAGAGCAAGTGGACCTGCGCCCTGTTCGACACGCGCCGCTGGGTCAGAGACCTCGAGGACGCGTATGATGAAGCCTGGCGCCGGTGGGTCGCCGGCGAGGGAGGAGATATATACCTATGATATTCTTTCTTTCCTTCTAATATCTCTCTGGCGGTTTAGATCTGTGAAGCCGGGCTTTTCCCAATCCCCCTTCCTTGCCTACTATATATGGCCGACAAACTCGTGTTGGGGATTTTGGGTCTATCACCACTTTATACGGGGATGGGATCGTGCGCGAGCTACGACCCGGTGTTTCTTCGTGCTTTTTTTGCTTTATATTTTCTGTCGTTGAGCTTGGCGACTGCGGGTTTTGTTTTCCTCCATAAAAAGAAGGGGGGCTTCTCTGTTGCGTCTGGCGTATATTTGATCTGGTCTGGGGGTCTGAACATTTAACGGTTATAAGCACTCACACTGGATAGGACTGGCTGGTTGGATATTTTCGGGGTTTGGGAAATCTTTGGCGATACTCTATACGGGATTTTTTGGGGGGGTTTGCTATGAGGTTTTTTTAAGGCACAAGGGATACTATGGGATATGAAACTCGGGGGACTGCTATATATTACTATACCACGCCGCATATGTACGCACATATGACGGCTCTGATGATGATGGTTTGTTTGGGGTTCCACTGGCGATCGGTATATAAGGGTCTCTCTGTCTGTGTTCGAGATGAGAAATGGGAATCTAGGGGGTGATGGAGGGTCAGGAGGGGGGGGGAACGAGGATGAATATAAGATCTCCCTTTCTGTCTCAATGTCTGGCTGGCTGGTTGACTGACTGCTTGGTTCTGCGTTGGGTGACTGGCTGAGTTGCTGACAGGTTGACGGCGACGATGCAGATAACAGGAAGTCTACAGGTCGCATACCCAGACACCCACCCGGTCGTGTGCCGAACAGTGCCGGCGTAGTTCGTGATCCGGAAACTCTGTGACGTCGGTACCACTGAGTGAGGCTGCTCTACAGAACAGCGGTTGGTCAGGTACTCTTCCGTATCTTCGGCACCTTTTGCATCTATTTCCCCATTCTTTCCAAGTTTCCATTTTCATTTAATGTTTAAACTAGGATTTGTTTTGTGCGATTTTCCTCGAGCTATATACTCCGCACGCGCAGCACGTCTTGTTCTTCTTCTCTCTTCTTCCCTCGTAGTTAGTTGTGCTCAGGTGGTCTAATAGGTTTGCCCTGGCCTCTGGAGAGTCTTGTCATGTGTGTGTCCTATCATCTCGAGGGTGTTGTATGTACTTGCCATGGATCGCGGATATAAGCGTCCTACGCAATCTCTAGTCTCAGTGGGTGTTGGTGTTGGTGTGTGTTGGTGTTGACTGAAAGCTGTCTTTATGGCTTCTGTTGTACAATTCTACATCCTTCTAGTGGCGGATGACACTATGTGTGTTATTGACATCTAAACGCTATCGTTGATCTGGAATTTTTGTGTCGAAGTGGTTGAAGAGCAACTAATCGTTAAAACAGACCGTTTCCTAGTTTCCTCCTTTTGTTGTTGTTGTTGTTGTTGTTGTTGTTGTCACATCGAAGAGGTTCTCCCTTCTACTCTTGGTACCCTTGTACATAACGGCTTCAATATCGGCGAGAAACCAGAACAGCAGCGATGCCTGGTTGCGTCAGAGACACTCAGGTAAAATATCTCGTCCCACCAGCTATGGCCCATTTAGACTCCGTCCTGTTGCAACTCACTCTTCGTTTGTCGCCATTGTCCCCCTTAAAGGGGTTATAGACATACATGCATACAGCAGTATTACCGCTGCCCGCGAGTTTCGTCGTCTCTTGTCCTCGCGAAACACGCCATACCGCACTGCAGATTCGCCGGCTGCCTAATCCTGTTTCTCTCTCTCTCTCTCTCTCTCTCTCTCTCTCTCTCGCATAAAGTATACGAGGCCGGCCAGAGAGGGCCACGTGTGCTACATGTCTTCACCGTTGCGCCTGGAACAAACGGTCATCAAACAAATGCGAAGGCAAAGTTTTCCGCTATCAGCAGTCTGGCAATGCGCAGCTCTACGCCGTCTGGATCCACACAGACGCACGCTCCTTTCTCCCTTCCCCTACACAGCAAAAAACGGCCGCGGCGCATGATGTTTCTTCCATACCAGAATCAGAGAAACCCCAGCAGGAGCTACCTAACTACCTGGGATACGCACACACAGGGGAAGAGCAAAGCAGAGCAAAGCATACAAGACACACAAGCAGACAGGCAGGCAAGTGTAAGAAGTGAGGAGGGAACTAGGAGTCGAAGGAAGCACGAATGCGAAGTGTTGAATGCGAGCTCCACAAGCATGAACGCCTTGACACGAGTCGTGCCGCAACGACAGTAGCACGGCACAGCAGAGCACAGGGCAGCGCAGCGCAGAGAAACGGAGAAAATAGCAGAGCACCAAGGTCGCCGTGGCTAGGCCGACAACGCGCAAATCCCCCATCCTTCAGGGTAAACTCCGCCGTAACACAAACACACAAAAAAGGCCACGCCAGCGGTGTTTGGAGACAGAACAAAGTGCTGGTCGCCATTCAGGGGCAAGGGGTGAAGTCTACCTAGGTAAGTAGCGGTGGTTACGGATGCCCACCTAGGTAATTCGTATCGTAGGTATTTGTTTGTTTAAAGAAAAAAGCCAGATGAAACCAGCACGAGTAGTAAGACGAGTAAGAAACACCCTTTCACTGTCAGCAGCACCTCGTAAGCTCCCCCGTGAGCCCATCGGTACGGCAATACAGAGCTTTCTCACGCAGCCAGCTCTGGCGGTCAGTTTGTTTGCTCTTTTCTGTTTGCTTGAATTCGCCCCACTCCCCCATCCTGACTGAACGAATACCCAGAGGGCCTTCCTTCCTTACGGAACAACAGCCCTGGGAGCCTTGGTAAGCAGCGGCTTTGCTCTCTCAGCAGCATGTTCTAGACGCAAAGCTATCATATGGGAACGGCGCGCAACCATCGAGCATCATTCATGTTCTGTGTGGCTAGAAAGGAAGAGGCAAGAAGGACTGGGCACTGTCTCAGTATCAGGCCACGGTGCATTATACTGAGCCGGAAGAGGAAATACAGTGCCTGCGCTACCGACCTACTTGGGCCGAGCCGGAACCGAAAGCGAAAAGGCCGCCTGAAGCCTAGGCCCGCGGGGGCGGGAGGGCAAGGTGAGAGGAAGAAGAAAAAAAAAGCAAAAAAGGGGACGAGACGAGAAGAAGATTTGTGAGGGGTTTCTCGATCGAGCGATATCTCGGCGGCTATGGGCTCGAGAGGGCAAAGAAGATCACGCCAGAGATCAACATATGGCCTAATCTAGACATGCTCTGTGTCTCAGGTAGTCCTCGAAGCACTGCTGTTTCGTGGGTAGTGGAATAGAACGACATGCCTGGCTAAATGAACAGGCTGGTGAGCGACTATGCTTCTGGGGAACGAAGAGGGGAGAGATTACTATCGTCGTCGGTGCTTCTACAAGCGAACGAGCGAGCGGTGTCCCTCTGCCATGCAAAGCTTCAAAAATAACACCATGCTCAGAGGTGTTTGAGGATTCTAGATGGCCCACGACAGTCTTGATGTGCTCTTCTGCGTCGTCCCTATCTCGGCAAAGAGAGAACAAGACTCATGGGCAGCCCAGGCATGTCTGCTCTCTTCCTTCTTCTCGTCTCACTCCTTCACACCTTCCTTGGATGCGGGTACGATTTGAAAGCAAATCTTTTACACTAGTGGTCAAACTATGGCATAGGCGAGAGATAAGGAGGCCAGGATCGCCTGGAACACGGCCACGAAGAGAAAGGAAATGGTGGGGAGGTTTGGGGTGAGCCGACCAAGCAACGAAGCCCGTTTTCGAGAGAGGGCCTGGCAATAACGGGCTCGAGATAGTTCCGCCGGGCTCTTGACTGCAAAAACGGGCCCGCTGGCGAACCGCGGCAGGTGGGCAGTCCACCGTCTACCGACTGGGGTAGCAACGAGGTGAGAGAAGGTGGAGCTGGATAGGGATAGGGGGAGCGAGGCGAGGAGGTAGGAGAGATGGAGAGAGGCTATGATGGTGGGTGCCCATCAACCATCACCTGCGTGAGAAGGGTGCGGTATTCTACCGTTCCCAGGCCTCCTATTTGGGCCATCTGCAGTGCCTTCTGCAGCTCTACGTGTTGTGCGCAACAACAGCACCTTCTCCTAGCCCGTGAACTCTGCCGTAGCAAGCTTGGCCATCAGCCGAAGGGGAACGGCGGTGCATTGGCGTATCGTTTGTGTCCTTAGTCCCCTCTCCTCTCCTCTTTAACAACGTCTCGTGCATTGCCTTTTGTCTCACTGCCAGACCTCGATCCAAGTGGTGTGGCGACAAGCGAGGCAAGGAGGCTTATGGCCGGCCAGTGAGGTGCTCTCCGCGGAGGCCTAGCCGAGAAGAAGTTGTACGAATGACTAGTGGGCGAACGGGGATGAACTGGACAGGAAACCTGACAGGGCGCTTCCAACGAGGCGAGGTTGAGCAGCACAGGACATGAAGACCAGATACAACCCCCAGAACGGAACACCATGGTGCATGCTGCGGGTCGTCGTCTCTGACGCAGCATGTTCCGAGTGTCAGTGATGGGCAGGCAAGAGCCAGGATCGCGCAATACGAGCCACGTCAGTATTCAGCGCATCTGGGGCTCTCGCGATGCCCTTTGATGGCTGCCATAGTCACCAGTGCATGGGTACGGAGGAGATGATGTAGTGTCGGATCCTGACTTCCAAGGCTATGTATGTATTGTTGAATACATGCTATAGACAGCATCGGAGCCACTCAGGCCCCAGGACTAGCACCTCAGCTGCCATGTTCCCCAAAGCAATTTCCTTAACAGGAAGAGATACACGGCTTGGACGAGCCACTCGTCTCGGCTCTTCAACACCTGGGCGGCGGGAGTAGAGCCAGAGCAGAGAACCGCAGCCGACCGTTGAGCGTGAAGGCACGCGCTCCAGCAAAGCACATCGAAACTGTGGAGCGGACCCATCTAGCAAGGCCGCCATGAGAACTTTGCTTGCCCAGGGCCTCGCAGAACTGCAGCTTGGGCCAATGGGAGGACGCAGGACGGCGGCGGTCTCACCCACCCAAACGGCCACTATCCCGGGTGCGCCCAGAG